AATTATCAGTCATATCGGAACATAGATTATTGAACCATGAATTTAATTGGGAGGATGTAAAAGTCTTGGACGAGGAGCCTTTTTTAGGTAAACGTTTGATATCCGAAATGATCCACATAAAGCGTCAGAAGAATAGTCTAAATTTACATAGCGACACCGACAAATTAAACGAGAATTTTGATCTGTTAATTGAAAAATTTACCAAAATCTAGCTTTGTGATTATACATAACCGGATTTTTTCGTTAGACCTTTGACATGAGTGCCGATAAGTATTAGTTGTTTTTATTTTCATTTTCATATTTTATTTTTATATTTGTTTTTTTTTTTTGCGTATATATGTATATATATATATTAGTGTTGGTAAGGGAGTCACTGCTCTGCTTCCTTCCTGACGATGGTCACCGTTAGGGAGACACTCCGACGGCCGGACGGTTCGAATAGGGAGGAGAATGATATTTAATTTATTTGCGGATTGTATGTATACGAGTTTTATAATTTTCTGATTGTACCGATTATCTTTTATTTTTGTTTCTGTGTATTTTGCAGCTACTGAAGAAGACCCGAAGTGGGTCAAAACGTTTAGAATTTAATAAATGAGTTTGACTTGAGATCTCATTTTAATTTATTAATTTTGTGCATGTCATCCGCACAGGCTCCGATTGCCGTCGAGATTTTATTTTTATTGTAACACAATAATTTGAGCCGAGATGAACAGTTTTTTTATATTAAAAATATTGATCCTATCGAATTGAAAACAACATCATCGACAAATATTGTTGATAACGCTGTTTCTGCCGACAGTTTTCGTTGTGCTACACATAATCCTTTACAACAAACTAACCAGAAATGGTTTATTAATTTAACTGATAAAAAAATTCCCCCCAATGTAACCAATCTATTACAATTGGGAGGTGAATTTAGTCTCCCAGTTAACTTAAATAAAAAAGTAGCTATACACGAATTCATCAAAGATATAGAAAGCAATTCTAACGGGATCAGAAATCGTACTTCGATTCGTAATGCTGCCATTCCACAATTTTCATTATTTTTAAACAATAATGACAAAAAACAGACATACAAGAAAAATTATTTCACATGCATAAAGACACAATTAAATTCTGCAATCAAAATCCTAATATTTTATTTACTAGAGCAGATAAAAGCAGCATTACAGTCGCACTAGAAAAAGAATTTTATATAAAAAAAGTTGAGAGTCTCCTAGAAGACGATTCTACGTATACCATAGTTAAAAACAATCCATCAACAAAAATAGAAAAAGACCTCAATATTTGTTTAAAAAAATAGTTGAAAAAAGATTTCATCAACAAAAAAGAATATTATTATTTATTTTCAAGCGATTCTCTTCTTCCTAAAGCCTATGGGCTCCCCAAGATCCACAAGGAAAATATTCCTTTTAGATTAATAGTTTCCTCAATAAATACTTCTCTATATAATATTGCTTCCTTCTTTCATAAAATTTTAAAAGATAGCCTTCCTAGAGCGGACAGTTTTGTAAATAACAGTTTTGATATATGCAACATTCTATCAGGGAAAACAATACAAGATTCCGACATAATAGTTTCATTGGACGTTGTTTCATTATTTACTAATGTTTCCGTAGATCTTGCATTAAACGGTATCAATAATAGATGGCATTTTATAGAGTCACACACAAAGATTCCCAAAAATGAATTCATAGGTATGATAAAATTTATATTAACTTCTACATTTTTCACTTTTAATAACATAACTTACAAACAAATTTATGGGACTCCTATGGGTTCCCCACTTTCTCCGATCATTGCCGATATAGTCATGCAGGACTTGGAAACATTGGTAATTAGTAATTTAAATTGCGAAATGACTTTTTATTTCCGTTATGTAGACGACATTATTTTATGCACTTCCGCTGACAATATTACATATGTTTTGAACGAATTCAACAATTATAACGATAGACTACAATTTACATTGGAAAAAGAGGATAATCGGTGTATAAGCTTTTTAGACATAATGATCAAAGTAATAGATAATAAAATTTATTTAGATTGGTATCACAAAAAGACATTCTCAGGTAGATTACTTTCATTTTTTTCAAATCATCCGACTTGTCATAAAATAGGAACAATTTATAACTTGGTAGATAGAGCTTTATTACTATCACATCCGCAATTTCACAAAAAAATATAGAGAAAGCTATTAACATTTTGCTATCCAACGGTTATCCTCTTGATCTAATTTTCACAGAAATAAAACGCAGATTAAAAAATCTCTCAACTAAGAAAATTAACAAGCCTAATAATAACAATATAACAGATACTAATAATACTAATACTAACATTAAATATTTTGTCATACCATATATAGAATCAATATCTGAGAAAGTTGCTTCAGCAATAAGAAGACCTGACGTAGTGGTAGGATATCGTTGCATTAAAAAATTGAATGACTTCATAAAAGTTCAAAAGGACAAAAATAATTGCCCCACGAATTCTAACGTTATTTATAAATTGAATTGCAACGATTGTGATGCCACATATGTCGGACAGACAAAAAGACAGTTAGGAACGAGACTTAAAGAACATAAAAATAATATTAAATTAGACTCTGCTAGACATTCGGTTGTCACTGAACACATTCTAAACGAACAACATACATTTGACTGGGACAATATTAAAATTATGGATCATGAAAAGAATTACCATAAAAGACTAATATCTGAAATGATCCACATTAAAGAACAGAAAAATGGAATTAATTTAAATAAAGACACCGAATTGTTAGACAGTAGTTATTTTGACATACTTAAAAAATTTGCTGAATCATAATTTAGAAAAAACATTGGTAATAAATAAATACATCACGCTCTCTATTTTGACATTTGGTATTCAGACTTCGCAACACACACTTGAAATATCGGGAAAAAGGACTTGTTAAAACGATAATGTAAGTTGAAAGATTTTTTAATTTTCTCTAACATTGATTTAATTTGCGCATTATATCCGCAGCATGTTTAAATATCGCATAACTTGGCATCTCAGACCAATCGCCTTGCATATCTATTGGTCAACAGCGAAGAATCGTTTTAATTTTATATTTTAATATTTAACTAACTTTGTATTTTTAACATTTAACTTTGTATTTTAATATTTAACTTTTATGTATTGATAAAGACTGTAGTGCAGTCGAAACGTTTACAATTTATATCGATTCTGTAACGGAATGTTATTTTAATTATTTAACTATTAATAAAAAATTTTTACACCTTATTTATTTGCTCGTTTAGTTGGCCTATTATTTGATTTGTTTAATTTTGTTAATTTATACGAGCCTTTTATTAATTAATTTTCGTATTAATTATATAATTAATATATAATATGATCTGTATATGTACATAATATATATATAACATATTATATATTATATTATTATTTTATATATGCCAACACACACACACACACACCACGCACGCACGCACACGCACATATATTTGTATATATAAGCGACCTTAGAAGTTTCGTTGGCCAGAGAATCAGTTAGTCTTTCGTCGTCTTTCGAATCACATCGTGGTAGATAGAAAACTTTTAATAAAGTGTGTGTGAATATATTATATTTTTCAACATTGGGTGCTGCTAGCATTAATTTTGTTCCAGTGAATTATTAAAAAATATAATTTTTATCAATATATATACTTTTGTAATCAAATACTGTTCCGAAATAAAAGGTAAATCAGAATAAGTTAAATATATAAAAATATATATATTTGTCTACAAATACAAAATAATTTAATCATACAGTATTACGGAATTTTAAAGAATTGCAAACATATAAATATATAAAGAGAATAATTTTATTCTAAATTATCTTTAGATTTTAATGCAGAAATAAGTTCGAATAATATCGATAATATAATATTTTACAAATTGTAATGTTGAAATAAACTTACAAAACTTTGATATTAAATAATATAATTCTAAAATTTAAAATACTGCAATTTACATAACAGATGATAAATATTATAATAGACACACTTAATTGTTCTTTTATTACTACATAATTAAAATTCTGTTTTCTAAAATTTTTCGTACTTTTTACTTTTTATAAAAAATATCTGTGTATTTTCACATTTAAAATAATGTATAAGTTGTGCTGACATTAAATAGAATAACTTTAACAAGAACAAAGAATCAAATATTAACTTTTTTGTTGTGTGTTAAAGATCATATATGTAATTAACTTTGCATGCCTTTTATACAAAGAGATCCGTGGCTAATTTAATACTTTTATTGATAATTAAGTAATTCTGACACTAAATAAAATACTGTACAAAGGAAGGAATCGTGGATGTTAATTTTCATTAAAAATAGTTAATATGAATAAGATAAACAGAATTATTAAGAATTATTGTGAGATAATTATTACAATTATAAAATTAAGACAATTATTAAGATAAAATTATCGGAAGCGATGAGTATATTACGAGATATTAGACCATATTTTTTGCAACCATGTTTTTTGAAATAAGTAATATAAATTTGTAAATAATGCATATTTATTTGATAAATTGGGCAAAATTTGAAAATGTTTAATTAAGACAACAGTTATACACAAATGCCTCCACACACACACAAACACATACATATATAAACGACCTCAGAAGTTTTGTTGCCCTAACACATCATATTTATCATGATGAAATGTTGAGAGAATCAGTCGGTCTATCATGGTCTTTCGAACCATATCGTGGTAGATATAATACTTGTAATAAAGTGTGTGTGAATATATTATATTCTTCCAACATTGTGTGCTGCTAAAGTATTAATTTGTAGCAATTAGTTGTTTAAAAATATAATTTTTATTAACGTACTTTTGCAATTATACTGTTCCAAAAAATAAAGTAAGTTCGAATAAGTTGAAAAAATATATAAATGTATATATTTATCTAAAAAAAGATTAATCTTACAGCCTAACAGAATATTAAAGAATTATCAATTTAAAGGAATTACCAATCTACTAATTGTCAATCCAATGAAAAATTCATAATATTATATATTTTATGCAATTGTTAACTCCACATCTATTTTGATGTCTTCAATCTGAAATATTTACAAGAATCCTATTATATATACAGAATGTTCCAGAACTAATAATAAATCTGTTAATAGTAGATTCCAGGGATCATTTAGAGTCGATATTTTCTCTGTGAGAATGTCGAGGAAGGTAATCATTATATTTGCATGTTCTCAAATTTGCCATCATGTATCTTTTGTAATTAAGCCTTAAATTAAGGTTCTGTTAAGAGAAAATCTTACTACAAATTTAATGACAAATGTGATCTTGTTAATGTTTTATTTCCACAAGGCTTAGTTTGCGAGAAATAATTTATTTTTAATAGCTTATAATTATGAAATTATTAGTACTTCGACAATTTCACTAAAAGAAAAATTGTCTAAAAAATGATATCAAGTATTGCTATTAATAGCTTCATTGCCAATATTGGGATATCTTGTATATATGTATATAATTTTTATTATCAAGTTTATAATTTATACAATTTAAAATTGATTTTATGTTAGTTTTATTATTGGTGATTTTTGAAGTTTATAATATACAATTTAAGAAATAAAATAACACAGACCTCTAAATGAAAATAATAGTAAATATGTGCTCTCTGTCACCGCTGCTCAGTCTTTCTTAACCTTTTATTGTCTTCTTCTTATTTTGAATAAACATACAGGTTTTCATGTAGGTAAATCAATATCAATAACTCGCGCGAAAAGCGCGCTTGTATTATCTGGCACATTACAAAAATTCAGAAATTAAAGTTATACACATTATTAAAATTCAGCAAATTTATATTATGTATATAATTATAAAGACACTTGAGAATTAAAATAGAAGTGCAGATGGAAAATAATAATATACATGTGCTCTCTTTCTCTCTCTTTCTCTCCTCTCTATCTCTCTCTCTCTCTCTTTCTCTGTCTGTCGCACACGCACACGCACACACACACGCACACGAACACACTAGTATGTGTATATATATATATATTATATATATATATATATATATATATATATATATTTATATGAAAAAAACATCCAACCATATTTAATTTCTCTATTTATCTTTTGTTTCACAGATCTAAAATAAATATTTTTTTTCCGACATGATGATATTTGTAAAACTATTATTAATAAGTAGCGGATTAATGTTTATTCCTGAGACTGCTTCTATTCGTAATGAATCATTGTTATGCTATCCACCATCAAAATATATAAAACCAATCCATTACGATATCAAGCTTATAACATATCTTGAAGGACATATTTTCTATGGAGAATATAATATCAGCATAAGCATTCTTAACCTAACGCAACGAATATTTTTACAATCAGAAAAATTAAGTATTCAAGATATAGTTTTATTTAAAAATGCAAAAAAATATCATGAGTATGATAAAGATACAGTTTATAAATCGACATATAATATTAAAGAAAACAGAATTTATATTCTATTTACGGATAAGTTATCACCAGGAAATTACATTTTAAATATAAAATATCTTGGTATTGCTGATAAAGTTTTTAGAGTTTACGACGTGAAAGGAAAAATAGCGTACGTAAATAATATATGTTTATTAAAAAAGTACAATGTGCAATTACATAAAACGTAATTAATATATTTTATTTATGTATTAAATGTTTCAAAAATTATTATATATCATGGAATTTAAATATAAAGACGTCCAATCTTTATCTTTAGTGCATATTATTACATATTACATTTTTTTAATTTCCAATATTTTTATGCTTGCTAAAAATGTTTCATTAATTTATCCTTTATGAAATGTATAGTTGGGTAGCTGCTATTCATTTCCATATAATATACCCTCGACGAAGGCTTTCATGTGAGGATGAACAGAATTTATTGTTAGAAGCAACCTTTAACATATCTATAGGATGTAATCAATGTACGGCTTTGTCAAATATGCCATTGCAAAATGAAGAAGAAAATGAGTACAAAATGTTATGGACACACTTTGCTACCACATCTGCAATGTCGCCTTATCTTGTAAGAATGATTATGTCTAATTTCCTATCACGTATTGATAATGACAATCGAAACATTGAAATGTGGTGCAATAACAAATATGGATTTTATATGAAATTTGCAAAAAATTTTGCTGAAAATATCACGTTGTTTTTTAAAAATCATTGGAATTCACGTTTGAACATAATTCTGAAGGTGACTCATGTTGCAATTCCAAATTTCCATGACAATGGCATAATAGATTTCGGATTTGTTTTTTATAAGTGAGTACAAGTGCTTGAAAGTACATTAAAAATAAAATTATATTAGTATGCAAAATTATAAAATTTATTAAATATAAAATTTATTTAATCTCAGGGAAACAGATATCATCTACGATAAAAAATTATATCCTATTACTCGCAAAATGGAAGTGGCTCAATTAGTAGGACGTAAAGTGATGCAGGAATGGTTTAATACCTGTTGATCAGTCCGCTTGTGTCGGATTTTTGGATTAAAAAAGGTTTTAGTGCATTATTTGCAACGTATGCTGTTAATAAGGTACGTCATTTTAAATGATTACATGCAGATATATTTATAATTTAATTTATTAAAAATTAATATTTTTTAACGCTACTTTATTACAAAATTTTTAATTTTAATGCAATATAAAATAAGATATATTAATCAAAAACTAATCATTTATTTTACATATTATATTTATTTTAATAAATTTGATAAAGAGAAATCTGCAAAATAATATCATGAGAAAATAATTTAAAAAATATGTAATATTTGCTAATTATATTAATACAAAATTTTAGATTTTATTATTATATTTATTTTAATGTGTGTTTCAAAATGAGATAATGTTTTGTTTTAACAGTGAGGTAACGATAATAATATTAGTATTTGTATTTAATGCTAGTATATATTCAGAACGGTCATATCTATATATTAACTATTTTATTTATAGATTTATGAAAATCATCAAATAATAAATTTATTTGTTGTTCAAAATCAACATTACTCTTTTAATTTGGATAGTTATTACATGTTGAATTCTGCTTCACGTGTTAACAGTTCATTGGAAATTCCCAATTCTATTAGAGGTATACGTACTATAATAAAATATTCTGTGCAAATTTTTAACCGTTATTATTTTAAAATATGTGCAAAATTAGAAGATAATTAATTCTCTCTTTATTTGGATTTTAAATAAATATTGTATTATATTTATAAAAATACACACATACGCGCGCACATGTCCACACAAAGTGTCCGGTAATAGGTGCACATATGTAGGTAGAGGGAATTAATCGAATGTCCTTTAAAGCTTAGCTATCTTCGTAGGTAGGTAACGAAAAATGTACTTATAAAATAGAATAATGAACGATGCGGCTATAAAAAATATTTCGTTTACACGCGATTACTACCCTGTATACGTATACAATATTTACTATAAAAAATCACTATGTTTACAAGTAATTATTATAATAAATATATATTTATAATATATCTAATTCATAATTTTGATGTAAATCATAGCTCCTTTTATACTGCGCATGATGGAACGCTTACTAACCGTAAAAACACTTAGTAAATTAAGGAGCCTATATGACAAGTAAGTAATACAATATAGAATATATTATAAAAAAAATAAATTTTTTCAACTTAAATAATTTATAATAATAGAAGTTTCATATAATGTCTCTTATCTTCTTTCGTTTCTTCTGACATTATTAATATAATAATGTTTTTCTCTTAGTATTACAATTCCGCTTTTTTTATATCTTCTACAAGAATTATTTTTAATTTTATTACTCTTATTCTTATGAAAACCGATTCTAAATTTTATTTTAAATTATGTTGTATTCTTTATTATTAGAATATATAGATGTAAGATATATAAATATATAAATAGAAGTGTGCAATATATGTATATTTTGATTCTTGGTATTTATTAAATTGTTTTATAATATTCATGTTATACAGACAAAATTTTAACATATTTTTATACATTTTAAATACTTTGTGAATTTAGGCTATCACAACGTTTAAGCTCTGCGGATTTTATTGCAAATTTTACTGCAACAATAAATCAAGATACGCGTGTACAACTAGTGAGAATGGAAGATTGGGCTTCGGAAAAGCATTGTCCTCTCATTAAAGTAGCACTAAGTTATAAGTTGACGGGCAAAATAATAGTATGGGTAGAATATAGTGACACATTAGAAATTGGCTACGTTCCTGTATCTTATACTACGGAAATATCTCCCGATTTTAACAATTTCACTATGCATTTTTTACCCGTGTCAGAGCGTTTCTTCTTTCCATTTAAAAAGGATGGTTGGGTGATATTTAATATACAACAAGTTGGTAAATATGGACAAATGAACTTATTATGATTTATTTCTCGCCTTTATTTTACACACACATAATTGACATAATTTTATATTTTTATCTATGTTATTCATTGTCCTATAAAAATCTGAGATATTCATTATATAACTATAATATTTATAAAATGTTTTGTGTATATATATATATATATATATATATATATATAACATATAAATATATAACATTATATTTAAAATATAGGTAGGCGGTTATTTCTAAATATTATAATTCAATTTAGTTAACAATAGTAAGTGCAGGTAACATACAATTTTCGTAACGTTACATGTTACAGAAATTATATTGTTGGTTAGTATAAAATAAATATTAATTTTGCATAACTAGAATCAATTTATTTTATAGTATATAACAATATATCTTACATAGTTTTATTTTTTTTTATTAGAAGTATTAGGATGACATTTTTATAATTATTTTTTATATTTTATTTGCATTTTATTTACATGTATAAAATTTTTGATAATAGTATAAAAAATAGGTTTGAAAATATTAAATATTAATTATAAAATTATTCAAAACAATAAAAATTAATAAAATTTATTTATTATTCGACAGGATATTATCGCGTTAACTATGATGATGACAATTGGCGAAGAATTTCAAATTATCTAAACTCTGATAATTACATGAAAATTCATGTTCTTAATCGTGCCCAAATTATCGATGATGCATTTCATTTAATGATAGGAAGCCAACTTAACTGCCATATATTCTGGGATCTAATAAAGTATTTACATCGAGAAGAAGATTATGTGGCCTGGTATCCTATGTTTAAAGCTATGGAATACATGTATGGTACTTTTCCATGGAAAGAAATGGTTGGAAATGTTACGGTAAATATTATTAAATTTCAATGAAAATATTACATTTTAAATATATAAATATACACTCATTGATCAAAAATTAGAAAAATATGTCCATCAACGATAAAAATTTACATACTGTTGCGTTGCAAACAAATGTACAAACAAATTCAGTTTGAATAATCACTCACCCGAAGAACTGTCCGAAAAGTCTGATTTTCATTACTCCAAATATTGACTAGCTCATATAGCCTATATTAAATCCGTTTTAACACAAAAAATTAATTCTTTTTTTGTATTACCGCGAACTACTTCCACATTTGTGGACCGTTTTTCATGAAATTGGTACCAAAATGTAAATTAATAATTCTTATTTATCTCTTTCTTTAAGACACACTATGTTAAAAAATTAAAAATTAAAAAAATCATCATCTCATTACACTCCCCAAAAAATTTGCTACTTATATATATATAGATATATAGATATAAATAAATATTAAATTTGAGAAAATTAATCAATAAATGTATGAATGCGTATGTAGTATGTAAAACTTAAAAAAAAACACATAGTAGTGATCCTCGAAAAATATGCAAAATTTTGGTACCAATTTCGAGAAAATCGGTCTATAAATGTGTTGATGCGTGGGTGGTTGCGTGGGTGAGTGAATAGAGTGTTAAAAATTTTTAAAATCATATATTGACCATCCCCGACAAATTTATAAAATTTTAGTACAAATTTCAAAAAACTTTGTGAATAAATGTGTGAATGCGTGAGTAGATGCGTGATTGGAATAAAACTTAAAAAAACTACACAACAGCTTTCTATTAAAAATTTGCAACATTTTGGTACTAATTTCGTGAAAATTGGTCCATAAATGCGCATGCGTGTGGGTGAATGCGTGGGTGGAGGTGTAAAACTTGAAAAAACCGCATTGTCGCTATCTCCAAAAAATTTGCAACATTTCGATACCATGTATTCAGAAATATAGCAAAAAAGATTTTCTTCGCAAAAATATACCCTTCTCTGAAGAAGGAAAATAGAATTAGAAAAATTAAAAAAAAACTCACAACAGCCACCTCCGAAAAATTTGCAACATTTTGGTACCAATTTCACGAAAATCGGTCCACAAATGCGGAAGTAATTCGCGTACAGACAGACAGACAGACGGTGCTTATATATATATATAGATATATAACATTGTTATTATTGTAGATATATAGCAAGGTGCTTAAAATCTTTCTTAATGAATGCAATTATAATGGCTTTATATCAATATTACATGTTGTAATTAAAAACAATTAAACATATATGTAATTGGAAAACATTAATTATATATTTCAAAAATTTATATTTTATACCTTAATTAAAAATAAAATATAATTAAAAAATAGTTATGAAATTTTAATATCTATTAAATATTATAAAACATTTCGCACAAGTTAAACCATATTTTTGCGTACGTGTATAATACATAGTATATTTGCACGTGCATATGTACGTGAATAGATAAACGTTAGCGTCTATAAGTGAATTTGTATGTATGTTTATTTCATACAGTAAATTTTAATAATCTATTAGAAAATAATATAAAAATATGATATATTATAAAGACATTTATAATATGAACAAATAAATATGTATTTAACAATTTATAGTTTAGAATAAAGCACGCATTATACAAGGTACTTGAAAAAATCAAATATGAAGAAATTGATGATACAGACGAACTTAGAATATGTTTACGACAAGAAGCTACAAGATGGGCATGTTTTCTCGGTGACTACGTTTGTATGAGAGAAGCGAAAAATAAATTAGTACATCATCTCCAAAATCATACAAAACACAAGTAAATTTTGTTATATATATTTAGCCTTCCCTACATAATCAAATTCTCTTGTATGTATCGCCTACAATGTTTAAACGATTTGATCGAGAGATCCATATAATAATCTTTAATAAGAAAATTTAATTTTTTATTATGTTATAGACTTTTGCCATGGTGGCAGGAATGGACATATTGTAACGGTTTGATGATAACTAACAACAAAACGATTTGGCGATTAGTGTATGATATAGGATATGAAAAATTTAATCCTAAATTTATACAATATTTGACTTGCCCTGATAATGCTTATATGACTAGAGACTATTTACGATTTAAATCTATTACAGAACGAGAAAATCAATATGTTCTTACATACAGTCTCTTACATATTATTACGAGGCATGCTAAGGATCAAAATACACTGTTTTTCATATTAGATGATCTTTTGCAAGTAAAACCAAAGTAATTTGATATATTTTTATAAATATTTTCTAAAAATTTATTATGTGATTTATATATATATTATATATATATATATATATATATCACATATATATAGAAAATATATACAACATATATATATATATATATATATATATACATATGCATATATATATGTATATTTGTTTTTTTTTGTTTTTAGACATGTTGATATCACTGCAGCAATAATTATTATTATTAATAACGTATATTCCGTAAATCGAATTCAGGTAAAAATTTACATGTTTATATATGTATGTATATACAAAAAATGTGTTATAAATACGATATTAATAATTATTATTTAATGTTAAATAATTTTGATAATGTTACAACAACATTATTTATTAATAATGTTAAAAATAATACATTCTAGCAAATAAGCAGATTCATTCAAGATTTATTGAAAGACAATGTATACATAATTGTTGATATGGAAGCAAAGGTAAATTTAAGAAATATTATTTTGGAAAGCGAAAGAAAACGAAATATTGTTCTATTTTATTAATTTCTAAATATGAATTTTATATTCGTTTTGTTTCTTATATAAAGAGTATATATTGATTTTGTTATGCAAATCTTTGTTTATATATATTAGGATGTCATAAAGCAGAATTTCAACAAAATTAAAAGCAAGATATCAATTCGCAACAGTCAAATCAAAAGACAAAGACAGTATTTTGATAGTATTTTTTATTATTAATAGAAAATACTACAAAGTAAAAAAATTGCAGCTTTGCATTGTGTGCGTGGATATATTTCATACTAATACTTTTCTTTATTATTTAAATATATAAATAAATAATTATATATGTATATATATATTAAACATGTTTGTGTAACTATAAGAATTAGTAAGATGTTAAAATTATATGTAAACTAAGTATAATTATATGTGCTTATATGTTCAATATTTAAATATCTTTTACATTTAATATGTTACTATATAAAATTTGTGATTGATTAGCATTTTATAGTTTACATTAAATTACATAACACAATTTCTCTCTCTCTCTCTCTCTCTCTCTCTATCCCTAACCCTTTACTTCTATTTTCTGTAAATCCATATTTTAATTTCAATAAAGTTATTTAAATAAAATATTAATTTTAATATTAATATTTATTAAAATATGTTACATAACTTTCAAATTATGCAATCTAATTTGGCGCTTATTACTAATGATTTAATAGACATAAAAATACTGCAAAATCGGAATTTTAACTTAGTTATATTTAATTAATTTTTGCAATTACGTTTAAAAGAAATATAAGCATAGATTGAAGATAAAAATATAAAAATTTTTATTATTAAATTGACGTTTTCAATAAATTCGCGTCTAACATGTGTTTCTTCCAATCAATGCGATGAGTTTTAATATTAACAAATTAAATTATTATTTTATTTGTCTCTATTATTTATTGTTTTTTAGTATTTTTTAATAATAAATGTCGATTCTATTTTAGCAAAATAAAATTTGTAAAACACTGTTGCAACGTGTTCGAAAAAAATAGAAATCCGTTATACTAAAATCGGAAAAGAATTAATATATCTTAAAAGCTTATATATGCACATTAAATTAAATTACATTCACATATGGAGATGTATGTACGTTAATATTCTCTCTATAAATAAAATCATGAATAAAATCATGAATATAATCATGAATGAAAAAAAGAAACGTTATAATAATAAAAAGAAAGAAAGAAAGGAGATAAATATCATACCGTATACCATAACCATACGAATTTTCATGATAAATTCGTGCTTTACCAGGTTCAAAATTGGTCAGTTTCTGAATTCCGGAGAATACAGTTACTTCGCGAGATCGTATGGCGCCTCGCATGGCACGTTTCTCCTCTCGTCTTTCAACATCTCTCTACGAATAGTTGATAACTTTTAGTTTATTAATTGTGACTTCACTTTAACTTTAATTAATTATGTATTTTATGTCGCGTATGTTTAGATCCTGTTTTCTTCTTGCGGTATTATATTTTGCCGGCCGACATCTGCAATTATTTCGACATTGCTGTGCAGTAAACTTATATGCGCAAAAACGCATAAAAAAAGAGAAGAAGATTTACCCTTTTTTGTTTACGCTTGTCATTGAATTTCTTTCTTGCACGTCTTTGTCTTCTCAGGTACAAAGTGACTTTTCCGACGTCGACACGTTGATAACGCGATTTTATTCGGGCGCGGTGACGTTTTCTGTGTTTTAACCCTCAGTTACCACTCATTTTTGGCCACCCTATTTTAACACTCATTGATTAAAGTAATCCAGAGTCTTCTTTTGTTTATACTTCTGTATCTAATGAAGCTATTTTGAAGTATTTTTTTTCAATCGATACGCCAGACAGTAAGAAAAAAAAATATATCAGTACAAATATCAACATATTTCTACGACTTAAGATATTTAAGAAAAAATAAAAAGTGATCTTCTAAAATTTCGAAAAAATCATTTTTGATATAGGTTAACGTAATTTAGAGAGGTAACTGAGGAATAATATTACTGCCAGTACTGAAAATCAACACAGTCGTTGACGAAAGAATTTTATGACGTTGATGAAAAGTAAAACTGTATTATTATTATAATTTTTTTTTCGTTTGCTGTTGATGGTGATGCACATTCGCACATTAATTAAATATTCACAATATAAACTGATTATAGACAATATGTATCACTCGTTCTTCGTAGTGCTCTCGAATGTGGTTTGATCACAAAGAGACGTAGTGCAATAATTGCATCATGAAATTGCATCGTTTGTTCCTTATCTGCGACAGTGGATATGATACAATGAATATACAGAGTGTCCAATAATTAACGGATCAACGATTACAAGTGGATTCTTTGGTCAATTTGGGAACAATTTTTCGTCAGCGAAAATGTCGAAAAAGGTCATCATTTTTTACAATTTTCCAATATTTGTCATTATGTATCTTTATAACTAAGCCTCAAATTAAAATTTTATCATAGTAAACTTTACCTGAAATTAACTGAAGAATGTAATTGTGATAGATTTTTAACTCCAAAACGTTTAGTTTTCATAAAACCCATTTTTTTCAATTGCTTATAACTCGAAAATTATTAACTTCTCAACATTTTCGCTAAGAAAAAATCGTCTTTAAATTGGCTAAAGAATCCGCCCTTAATCATTGGTCCGTTAGTTACCGGACACTCTATATAATATACAGGGTGTCACTTGATTGGCGTCCACTAATTATGTAGCGATGTTTCTCGTGGAAAACTGAGTCGAAAAGTCCTGTATCTTTTTTTTCTGTAAGGCATAATAAAATAGTAATTTTTTAGTAACGTAGTAACGTTAATACTCATCGAAACCTATAAAATTTTATTGTTCGATTTTGGAAAATAAAATTTTATAGTTTTCGACGTGCTCTATAGTTCTATAGCATAGTTCCAATCGTTAGCTGCTACTAAATATATATTTAACCATAGAAACTCAAATTTTCCAATATATGATAAGGTGGCCGTATTTCGAGTATTTTATTTATTTTAAAATAATTCTCGTACTGTCTTAGGCACTTACATTAATTATCCCAAAAAGTTCTGTCCATTTAAATATTTAAAACATTTTTTAGACAATTATGTAATCTTTAAAATTCATAAATAAATTAAATTATTGCTTTAAATGACTGTAACTAATTAAAAAATTAAAAAACAAGCTTTAAAAAATATTGAAATTTTTTATTATCAAATTGAGAACCATTTAAAGGACGTATTCCCACATTCTGAAGCTTGCGCTTTCATTTTTATATAATTAGTTTCCGTACAAGATTGTACGAGAAATATTATACAATAAACAAAATGATCGAATTACAGCCAACTCATAATATACGATATTCGAAAATTCAAGTTTTTATGGTTAAAAATATATATATTTAGTGGCAGCCTACAGTCGGAACTGTGCTACAGAATTATAGAACTCATCGAAGCCTGTAAAATTTAATTTTTAAATTTGAAAAATGTGCAATGATGTGCTAACTTTCAATCCAAGTTAGATGTTAATTGTCCAAGTCAATGGTCAACGAAGACAATTCCTGATATAAAGGTTAGTTTTTACAAGAAAAATGGTGTTTGCGAGGAATCCGGAAGAATTCGCATAGACAAGAAAAATAATAATAAAAATGTGATTCAAATTACTTAAATATAAAATATTATTATTTTCTATATTTTATAAATTATACATATATTTTAGCTTTAAGATTAATTGTAATATTCTTTATGGTAAATATGACTGATATATATATGTATATATATACATAAACGACTTTACAAGTTTTGTTGACCAAACACATCATATTGGCCATCATGACACGTACAGACAATCAGTCAGTCTTTCGTAGTCTGTCGAAACGACATCGTGGTAGATATAATTCTTTTAACAAAGCGTGTGTGAATATGTTATATTCTTCCAACATTGCGTGTTGCTAGTATTAATTTGTTGCAGTTAATTGTTAAAAAAAATATACTTTTTATCAATATACAATATACTTTGGCAGTTAAATACTGTTTTGATATAAACGGTGAGTCAGAATAAGTTAAAAATATTAAAATATATGTATATTTGTTCACAAATACAAAATAATTTAATCATACTGTATTATGAATTTTTAAAGAATTACAAACGTATAAATATATAAAGAGAATAATTTTATTCTAAATCATCTTTATTTAATGCAGATTATTTTAAATAATATTGATAATATAATATTTTATATATACGAATTGTAATGTTGTAATAATCTGGAACTCACAAAAGTTTGATATCGAATAAATTATTTCTAAAACTTAAAAATACTGCAATTTACATAACAAATAATAAATATTATAATAAACACTTTTAATTATTCTTTTAGTTCTAGATAATTAGAATTCTGCTTTCTAAAATTTGTCGTATTTTTATTTTTATAAAAAATATCTATGTGTATTTTAATACTTAAAATAATCTCGAAGCTGTGCTGACATTTAGTAGAATAACTTTAACAAGAAAGAAGAATCAAATATTAATATTTTTGTTGTGTGTTGAAGATCATATATGTAATTAACTTTGCATTTCTTTTATAGAAAGAAATCCGTGACTAATTTAATACTTTAATTGATAATTAAGTAAGTCTGACACTAAATAGAATACTGTACAAAGAAAAAAATCGTGGATGTTAATTTTCATTAAAAATAGTTAATATGAATAAGATAAACAAAATTATTATAAATTATTGTGAGATAATTATTACAATTATATAATTCAGACAATTTATTAAGATAAAATTATCGGAAGCGATGAGCAGTATATTACGAGATATTAGACCATATTTTTTGCGACCATGTTTTTTGAAATAAGTAATATAAATTTGTAAATAATGCATATTTATTTGATAAATTGGGCAAAATTTGAATATGTTTAATTAAGACAACAGTTATACACAAATGCCTCCACACACACACACAAACATAAACATATATAAACGATCTCAAAAGTTTTGCCCTAACACATCATATTTATCATGATAAAATGTTGAGAGAATCAGTCAGTATTTCATGGTCTTTCGAGCCATATCGTGGTAGATATAATACTTGTAATAAAGTGTGTGTGAATATATTATATTCTTACAACATTGTGCTGCTAGAGTATTAATTTGTAGTTATTAGTTGTTTAAAAATATAATTTTTATCAACGTACTTTTGCAATTATACTGTTCCGAAAAATAGAGTAAATTCGAATAAGTTGAAAAATATATAAATGTATATATTTATCTAAAAAAGATTAATCTTACAGCCTAATAGAATATTAAAGAATTATCAATTTAAAAGAATTACCAATCTACTAATTGTCAATCAAATGAAAAATTCATAATATTATATATTTTATGCAATTGTTAACTTCACATATATTTTGATGTCTTCAATCTGAAATATTTACAAGAATCCTATTATATATACAGAATGTTCCAGAACTAGTAATAAATCTGTTATTAGTAGATTCCAGGGATCATTTGGAGTCGATATTTTCTCTGTGAGAATGTCGAGGAAGGCAATCATTATATTTGCATGTTCTCAAATTTGCCATCATGTATCTTTTGTAATTAAGTCTTAAATTAAGGTTCTGTTAGAGGAAATCTTACTTCAAATTTAATGACAAATGTGTTTTTGTTAATATTTTATTTCCACAAGGTTTAGTTTGCGAAAAACCATTTATTTTTAATAGCTTATAACTATAAATTTATTAATACTTCGACAATTTTACTAAAAGAAAAATTGACTAAAAAATGATATCAGGTATTGCTATTAATAGCTTCATTGCCAATATTGGGATATCTTGTATATATGTATATAATTTTTATTATCAAGTTTATAATTTATACAATTTAAAATTGATTTTATGTTGGTTTTATTATTGGTGATTTCTGGAGTTTATAATATACAATTTAAGAAATGAAAATAACACAGATCTCTAAATGAAAATAATAGTAAATATGTGCTCTCTGTCACCGCTGCTCAGTCTTTCTTATCCTTTTATTGTCTTCTTCTTATTTTGAATAAACATACAGGTTTTCATGTAGGTAAATCAATATCAATAACTCGCGCGAATAGCGCGCTTGTATTTTCTGGCACATTACAAAAATTCAGAAATGAAAGTTATACACATAATTAAAATTCAGCAAATTAAAATTATGTATATAATTATAAAGACACTTGAGAATTAAAATAGAAGTGCAGATGGAAAATAATAATATACATGTGCTCTCTTTCTCTCTCTTTCTCTCTTCTCTCTCTCTCTCTCTCTCTCTCTCTCTCTCTCTCTTTCTCTGTCTCTCGCACACGGACACGCACGCACACACGCACACGCACACGCACACACACACAAGTATGTGTATATATATATATATATTTATATATTGAAAAACATCCAACTATATTTAATTTCTCTATTTATCTTTTGTTTCACAGATCTAAAATAAATTTTTTTCCGACATGATGATATTTGTAAAACTATTATTAATAAGTAGCGGATTAATGTTTATTCCTGAGACTGCTTCTATTCGTAATGAATCATCGTTATGCTATCCACCATCAAAATATATAAAACCAATCCATTACGATATCAAGCTTATAACATATCTTGAAGGACATATTTTCTATGGAGAATATAATATCAGCATAAGCATTCTTAACCTAACGCAACGAATATTTTTACTATCAGAAAAATTATGTATTCAAGATATAGTTTTATTTAAAAATGCAAAAAAATATCATGAGTATGATAAAGATACAGTTTATGAATTGACATATGATATTAAAAAAAACAGAATTTATATTCTATTTACGGATAAGTTATCACCAGGAAATTACACTTTAAATATAAAATATCTTGGTATTGCTGATGAAGTTTTTAGAGTTTACAACGTGAAAGAAAAATAGCGTACGTAAATAAGATATGTTTATTAAAAAGTACAATGTGCAATTACATAAAACGTTGTAATTAATATATTTTATTTATGTGTTAAATGTTTCAAAAATTATTATATATCATGAAATTTAAATATAAAGACGTCCAATCTTTATCTTTAGTGCATATTATTACATATTACATTTATACGTCTTTTAATTTTCAATATTTTTATGCTTGCTAAAAATGTTTCATTAATTTATCCTTTATGAAATGTATAGTTGGGTAGCTGCTATTCATTTCCATATAATATGCCCTCGACAAAGGCTTTCATGTGGGGATGAACAGAATATATTGTTAGAAGCAACCTTTAACATATCTATAGGATGTAATCAATGTACGGCTTTGTCAAATATGCCATTGCAAAATGAAGAAGAAAATGAGTACAAAATGTTATGGACACACTTTGCTACTACATCTGCAATGTCGCCTTATCTTGTAAGAATGATTATGTCTAATTTTCTATCACGTATTTATTATGACAATCGAAACATTGAAATATGGTGCAGTAACGAATATGAATTTCACATGAAATTTGCAAAAAATTTTGCTGAAAATATCACGTTGTTTTTTAAAAATCATTGGAATTCACGTTTGAACATAATTCTGAAGATGACTCATGTTGCAATTCCAAATTTCCATGACAATGGAATAATAGATTTCGGATTTGTTTTTATAAGTGAGTACAAGTGCTTGAAAGTACATTAAAAATAAAATTATATTAGTATGCAAAATTATAAAATTTATTAAATATAAATTTATTAAATATAAAATTTATTTAATCTCAGTGAAACAGATATCATCTACGATAAAGAATTATATCCTATTACTCGCAAAATGGAAGTAGCTCAATTAGTAGGACGTAAAGTGATACAGGAATGGTTTAATACTCTGTTGATCAGTCCGCTTGTGTCGGATTTTTGGATTAAAAAGGTTTTAGTGCATTATTTGCAACGTATGCTGTTAATAAGGTACGTCATTTTAAATGATTACATGCAGCTATATTTATAATTTAATTGATTAAAAATTAATATTTTTAACGCCACTTATTTATTACAAAATTTTTAATTTTTATGCAATATAAAATAAGATATATTAATCAAAAACTAATCATTTATTTTACATATTATATTTATTTTAATAAATTTGATAAAGAGAAATCTGCAAAATAATATCATGAGAAAATAATTTAAAAATATGTAATATTTGCTAATTATATTAATACAGAATTTTAGATTTTATTATTATATTTATTTTAATGTGTGTGTTTCAAAATGAGATAATGTTTTGTTTTAACAGTGAGGTAACGATAATAATATTAGTATTTGTATTTAATGCTAGTATATATTCAGAACGGTCATATCTATATATTAACTATTTTATATTTATAGATTTATGAAAATCATCAAATAATAAATTTATTTGTTGTTCAAAATCAACATTACTCTTTTAATTTGGATAGTTATTACATGTTGAATTCTGCTTCACGTGTTAACAGTTCATTGGAAATTCCCAATTCTATTAGAGGTATACGTACTATAATAAAATATTCTGTGCAAATTTTTAACCGTTATTATTTTAAAATATGTGCAAAATTAGAAGATAATTAATTCTCTCCTTATTTGGATTTCAAATAAATATTGTATTATATTTATAAAAATACACACATACGCGCGCACATGTCCACACAAAGTGTCCGGTAATAGTTGCACATATGTAGGTAGAGGGAATTAATCGAATGTCCTTTAAAGCTTAGCTATCTTCGTAGATAGGTAACGAAAAATGTACTTATAAAATAGAATAATGAACGATGCGGCTATAAAAAATATTTCGTTTACACGCGATTACTACCCTGTATACGTATACAATATTTACTATAAAAATCACTATGTTTACAAGTAACTATTATAATAAATATATATTTATAATATATCTAATTCATAATTTTGATGTAAATCATAGCTCCTTTTATACTGCGCATGATGGAACGCTTACTAACTGTAAAAACACTTAGTAAATTAAGGAGCCTATATGACAAGTAAGTAATACAATATAGAATATATTATAAAAAAATAAATTTTTCAACTTAAATAATTTATAATAATAGAAGTTTTATATAATGTCTCTTATCTTCTTTTGTTTCTTCTGACATTATTAATATAATAATGTTTTTCTCTTAGTATTACAATTCCGCTTTTTTTATATCTTCTACAAGAATTATTTTTAATTTTATTACTCTTATTCTTATGAAAATTCTAAGATTCTAAATTTTATTTTAAATTATGTTGTATTCTTTATTATTAGAATATATAGATGTAAGATATATAAATATATAAATAGAAGTGTGCAATATATGTATATTTTGATTCTTGGTATTTATTAAATTGTTTTATAATATTCATGTTATACAGACAAAATTTTAACATATTTTTATACATTTTAAATACTTTGTGAATTTAGGCTATCACATCGTTTAAGCTCTGCGGATTTTATTGCAAATTTTACTGCAATTATAGATAAAGTTCCGCGTGTACAACTAGTGAGAATGGAAGATTGGGCTTCGGAAAAGTATTGTCCTCTCATTAAAATAAAACGATATTATAATGAATCTATCGGTCAAGCATGGGTACAATATAGAGACACATTAAAAATTCGCTACATTCCTGTATCTTATACTACGGAAATATCTCCCGATTTTGACAATTTCACTATGCATTTTTTACTCGTGTCAGAGCATTTCTTATTTCCATTTGAAAAGGATGGTTGGGTGATATTCAATATACAACAAGTTGGTAAATATGGACAAATGAACTTATTATGATTTATTTCTCGCCTTTATTTTACACACACATAATTGACATAATTTTATATTTTTATCTATGTTATTCATTGTCCTATAAAAATCTGAGATATTCATTATATAACTATAATATTTATAAAATGTTTTGTGTGTATATATATATATATATATATATATATATATATATAACACATATATATATAACATTATATATAAAATATAGGTAGGCGGTTATTTCTAAATATTATAATTTAATTTAATTAACAATAGTAAGTGCAGGTAACATACAATTTTCGTAACGTTACATGTTACAGAAATTATATTGTTGGTTAGTATAAAATAAATATTATTTTTGCATAACTAGAATCAATTTATTTTATAGTATATAACAATATATTTTACATAGTTTTATTTTTCTTTATTAGAAGTATAATATTAGGATAACATTTTATAATTATTTTTTATTTGCATTTTATTTACATGTATAAAATTTTTGATAATAGTATAAAAAATAGGTTTAAAATATTAAATATTAATTATAAAATTATTCAAAACAATAAAAATTAATAAAATTTATTTATTACTTGACAGGATATTATCGCGTTAACTATGATGATGAGAATTGGCGAAGAATTTTAATTTATCTAAACTCTGATAATTACATGAAAATTCATGTTCTTAATCGTGCCCAAATTATCAATGATGCATTTTATTTAATGATAGAAGGCCAACTTAACTGTCATATATTCTGGGATCTCATAGAGTATTTGCATCGAGAAGAAGATTACGTGGCATGGTATCCTATGTTTAAAGCTATGGAATACATGTATGGTACTTTTCCATGGAAAGAAATGGTTGGAAATGTTACGGTAAATATTAATAAATTTCAATGAAAAATATTACATTTTAAGATATGAATATACACTCATTGATCAAAAATTAGAAAAATATGTCCATCAACGATAAAAATTTACATACTGTTGCGTCGCAAACAAATGTACAAACAAATTCAGTTTGAATAATCACTCACCCGAAGAACTGTCCGAAAAGTCTGATTTTCATTACTCCAAATATTGACTAGCTCATATAGCCTATATTAAATCCGTTTTAACACATTAATTCTTTTTTTTGTATTACCGCGAACTACTTCCACATTTGTGGACCGTTTTTTGTGAAACTAGTACCAAATGTAAATTAATAATTCTTATTTATCTCTTTCTTTAAAAACACTATGTTAAAAAATTAAAAAATTTTAAAATCATCATCTCATTACACTCCCCAAAAAATTTGCTACTTATATATATATAGATATATAGATATAAATAAATATTAAATTTTGAGAAAATTAATCAATAAATGTATGAATGCGTGGGTGGATGCGTATGTAGTATTGTAAAACTTAAAAAAAACACATAGTAGTGATCCTCGAAAAATATGCAAAATTTTGGTACCAATTTCGAGAAAATCGGTCTATAAATGTGTTGATGCGTGGGTGAGTGAATAGAGTGTTAAAAATTTTTAAAATCATATATTGACCATCCCCGACAAATTTACAAAATTTTAGTACAAATTTCAAAAAACTTTGTGAATAAATGTGTGAATGCGTGAGTAGATGCGTGATTGCAATAAAACTTAAAAAAACTACACAACAGCTTTCTATTAAAAATTTGCAAAATTTTGGTACTAATTTCGTGAAAATTGGTCCATAAATGCGCATGCGTGTGGGTGAATGCGTGGGTGGAGGTGTAACACTTGAAAAAACCGCATCGTCGCTATCTCCAAAAAATTTGCAACATTTCGATACCATGTATTCAGAAATATAGCAAAAAAGATTTTCTTCGCAAAAATATACCCTTCTCTGAAGAAGAAAAATAGAATTAGAAAAATTAAAAAAAAACTCACAACAGCCACCTCCGAAAAATTTGCAACATTTTGGTACCAGTTTCACGAAAATCGGTCTACAAATGCGGAAGTAATTCGCGTACAGACAGACAGACAGACGGTGCTTATATATATAGATATATAACATTGTTATTAGATATATAGCAAGTTGCTTAAAATCTTTCTCAATGAATGCAATTATAATGGCTTTATATCAATATTACACGTTGTAATTAAAAACAATTAAACATATATGTAATTGGAAAACATTAATTATATATTTCAAAAATTTATATTCTATATCTTATTTAAAAATAAAATATAATTAAAAAATAGTTATGAAATTTTAATATCTATTAAATATTATAAAACATTTCGCACAAGTTAAACCATATTTTTGCGTACGTGTATAATACATACGTATATTTGCACGTGCATATGTACGTGAATAGATAAACGTTAGCGTCTATAAGTGATATTGTATATATGTTTATTTCATACAGTAAATTTTAATAATCTATTGGAATATAATATAAAAATATGATATATTATAAATACATTTATAATATAAACAAATAAATATGTATTTAACAATTTTTAGTTTAGAATAAAGCACGCATTATACAAGGTACTCGAAAAATCAAATATGAAGAAATTGATGATACAGACGAACTTAGAATATGTTTACGACAAGAAGCTGCAAGATGGACATGTCTTCTCGGTGACTACGTTTGTATGAGAGAAGCGAAAAATAAATTAGTACATCATCTCCAAGATCATACAAAACACAAGTAAATTTTGTTATATATATTTAGCCTTCCCTACATAATCAAATTCTCTTGTATGTATCGCCTACAATGTTTAAACGATTTGATCGAGAGATCCATATGATAATCTTTAATAAGAAAATTTAATTTTTTATTATGTTATAGACTTTTGCCATGGTGGCAGGAATGGACATATTGTAACGGTTTGATGATGACTAATAACAAAACGATTTGGCAATTAGTGTATGATATAGGATATGAAAAATTTAATTCTAAATTTATACAATATTTGGCTTGCCCTGATAATGCTTATATGATTAGAGACTATTTACGATTTAAATCTATTACAGAACGAGAAAATCAATATGTTCTTACATACAATCTCTTACATATTATTACGAGGCATGCTAAGGATCAAAATACACTGTTTTTCATATTAGATGATCTTTTGCACGTAAAACCAAAGTAATTTGATATATTTTTATAAATATTTTCTACAAAAATTTATTATGTGATTTATATATATTGTATATATATATATATATATATATATATATATATATACATATGCATATATATATGTATATTTGTTTTTTTTTGTTTTTAGACATGTTGATATCACTGCAGCAATAATTATTATTATTAATAACGTATATTCCGTAAGTCGAACTCAGGTAAAAAATTCACATTTTTATATATGTATGTATATACAAAATGTGTTATGATTACGATATTAATAATTATTATTTAATGTTAAATAATTTTGATAATGTTACAACAACATTATTTATTAATAATGTTAAAAATAATACATTCTAGCAAATAAGCAGATTCATTCAAGATTTATTGAAAGACAATGCATACATAATTGTTGATATGGAAGCAAAGGTAAATTTAAAAAATATTATTTTGGAAAGCGAAAGAAAACGAAATATTGTTCTATTTTATTAATTTCTAAATATAAATTTTATATTTGTTTTGTTTCTTATATAAAGAGTATATATTGATTTTATTATGCAAATCTTTGTTTATATATATTAGGATGTCATAAAGCAGAATTTCAACAAAATTAAAAGCAAGATATCAATTCGCAACAGTCAAATCAAAAGACAAAGACAGTATTTTGATAGTATTTTTTATTATTAATAGAAAATACTACAAAGTAAAAAAATTGCAGCTTTGCATTGTGTGCGTGGATATACTTCATACTAATACTTTTCTTTCTTAATTAAACAGTATAATATATAAATAAATAATTATATATGTATATATATATTAAACATGTTTGTGTAACTATAAGAATTAGTAAGATGTTAAAATGATATGTAAACTAATTATAATTATATGTGCTTATATGTTCAATATTTAAATATATTTTACATTTAATATGTTACTATATAAAATTTGTGATTGATTAGCATTTTATAGTTTACATTAAATCACATAACACAATTTCTCTCTCTCTCTCTCTCTCTCTCTCTCTTCTCTCTCTCTAATCCCTTTACTTCTATTTTCTGTAAATCCATATTTTAATTTCAATAAAGTTATTTAATAAAATATTAATTTTAATATTAATATTTATTAAATTATGTTACATAATTTTCAAATAATGCAATCTAATTCGGCACTTATTACTATTGATTTAATAGACATAAAAATACTGCAAAATCGGAATTTTACCTTAATTATATTTAATTAATTTTAGCAATTACGTTTAAAAGAAATATAAGCATAGATAGAAGATAAAAAATATAAAAAATTTTTATTATTAAATTGACGTTTTCAATAAATTCGCGTCTAACATGTGTTTCTTCCAATCAACGCGATGAGTTTTAATATTAACAAATTAAATTATTATTTTATTTGTCTCTATTATTTATTGTTTTTTAGTATTTTTTAATAATAAATGTCGATTCTATTTTAGCAAAATAAAATTTGTAAAACACTGTTGCAACGTGTTCGAAAAACATAGAAATCCGTTATACTAAAATCGGAAAAGAATTAATATATCTTAAAAGCTTATATATGCACATTAAATTAAATTACATTCACATATGGAGATGTATGTACGTTAATATTCTCTCTATGATAGCTTTTTGAATATTAAATTATACTGTCATATCGTTATAAATAAGAATTGAAATCGATATAATATTATTTTTGGATAGAAACTAATATGTGTATCACCAAAATTGAAATATTTATAATACTTTCCATTAAAATCTAAAGCGTGCACATTCTTGTCCTTTTTCACAATTAGTGTTCTGTTACCACGATCACCTGTTTATAACGCCATAATATAAGTAACAATATAAATAAAATCCTGAATAAAATCATGAATATAATCATGAATGAAAAAAGAAACGTTATAATAATAAAAGAAAGAAATAAAGAGATAAATATCATACCGTATACCATAACCATACGAATTTTCATGATAAATTCGTGCTTTACCAGGTTCAAAATTGGCCAGTTTCTGAATTCCGGCCAATACAGTTTCTTCGCAAGATCGTATGGCGCCTCGCACGGCACGTTTCTCCTCTCGTCTTTCAACATCTCTCTACAAATAGTTGATAACTTTCAGTTTATTAATTGTTGACTTCACTTTAACTTTAATTAATTATGTATTTTATGTCGCGTATGTTTAGATCCTGTTTTCTTCTTGCGGTATTATATTTTGCCGGCCGACATCTGCGATTATTTCGACATTGCTGTGCAGTAAACTTATATGCGCAAAAACGCATAAAAAAAGAGAAGAAGATTTACCTTTTTTTGTTTACGCTTGTCGTTGAAATTCTCTCCTGCACGTTTTCGTCTTCTGAGGTACAAAGCGACTTTTCCGACGTCGACACGTTAATAACGCGATTTTTTTCCGGCGCGGTGACGTTTTCTGTGTTTTAACCCACAGTTACCACTCATTTTTGGCCACCCTATTTTAACACTCATTGCTTAAAGTAATTCAGAGTCTTCTTTTGTTTATACTTCTGTATCTAATGAAGCTATTTTGAAGTATTTTTTTTTCAATCGATACGCCAGACAGTAAGAAAAAAGAATATATCGGTACAAATATCACCAGATTTCTACGACTTAAGATATTTAAGAAAAAATAAAAAGTGATCTTCTAAAATTTCGAAAAAATCATTTTGATATAGATTAACGTAATTTAGAAAGGTAACTGAGTAATAATATTACTGCCAGTACTGAAAATCAACACAGTCGTTGACGAAAGAATTTTATGACGTTGATGAAAAGTAAAACTGTATTATTATTATAATTTTTTTTCGTTTGCTGTTGATGGTGATGCACATTCGCACATTAATTAAATATTCACAATATAAACTGATTATAGACAATATGTATCACTCGTTCTTCGTAGTGCTCTCGAATGTGGTTTGATCACAAAGAGACGTAGTGCAATAATTGCATCATGAAATTGCATCGTTTGTTTCTTATCTGCGACAGCGGATATGATACAATGAATATACAGAATGTCCAATAATTAACGGATCAACGATTACAAGTGGATTTTTTGGTCAATATGGGAACAATTTTTCCTCAGCGAAAATGTTGAAAAAGTCATCATTTTTTACAACTTTCCAATATTTGTCATTATGTATCTTTATAACTAAGCCTCAAATTAAAATTTTATTATAGTAAAGTTTACCTGAAATTAACTGAAGAGTGTAATTATGATAGATTTTTAACTCCAAAACGTTTAGTTTTCATAAAACCCATTTTTTTCAATTGCTTATAACTCGAAAATTATTAACTTCTCAACATTTTCGCTAAGGAAAAATCGTCTTTAAATTGGCCAAAGAATCCGCCCTTAATCATTGGTCCGTTAGTTACCGGACACTCTATATAATATATAGAGTGTCACTTGATTGGCGTCCACTAATTATGTAGCGATGTTTCTCGTGGAAAACTTGTGAGTCGAAAAGTCCTGTATCTTTTTTTTGTAAGGCATAATAAATTAGTAATTTTTCAGTAACGTAATAACGTTAATGCTCATCGAAATCTATAAAATTTTATTGTTAAATTTTGGAAAATAAAATTTTATAGTTTTCGACGTGCTCTATAGTTCTATAGCATAGTTCCAATCGTAAGCTGCTACTAAATATATATTTAACCATAGAAACTCAAATTTTCCAATATATGATAGGGTGGCCGTATTTCGAGTATTTTATTTATTTTAAAATAATTCTCGTACAGTCTTAGGCACTTACATTAATTATCCCAAAAAATTCTGTCTATTTAAATATTTAAAACATTTTTTAGACAATTATGTAATCTTTAAAATTCATAGATAAATTAAATTATCGCTTTAAATGACTGTAACTAATTAAAAAATTAAAAAACAAGCTTTAAAAATATTGACATTTTTTATTATCAAATTGAGAACCATTTAAAGGACGTATTCCCACATTCTGAAGCTTGCGCTTTCATTTTTATAATTAGTTTCCGTACAGGATTGTACGAGAAATATTATACAATAAATAAAAAGATCGAAATACGGCCAGCTTATAATATACGATATTCGAAAATTCAAGTTTTTATGGTTAAAAATATATATATTTAGTGGCAGCCTACAGTCGGAACTGTGCTACAGAATTATAGAACTCATCGAAGCCTGTAAAATTTAATTGTTTAAATTTGGAAAATGTGCAATGATGTGCTAACTTTCAATCCAAGTTAGATGTTAATTTTTAAGGAAAAATGGTCTCCAAATTGGCCAAAGATTCCGCCTCTAATCATTGGTCCGTTAGTTATTAGACACCTTGTATATATATATATACATAAACGACCTTACATGTTTTGTTGACCAAACACATCATGTTTGTCATGATGACACGTACAGAGAATCAGTCAGTATTTCGTAGTCGGTCGAACCACATCGTGGTAGATAAAATACTTTTAATAAAACGTGTGTGAATATATTACATTCTTCCAACATTGCGTGCGGCTCGTATTAATTTGTTGCAGCTAATTGTTAAAAAAATAAAATTTTTATCAATATATATACTTTGACAATTAAATACTGTTTCGATATAAAGGGTAAGTCAGAATAAGTTAAAAATATCAAAATATATGTATATTTGTCCACAAATACAAAATAATTTAATCATACTGTATTACGGATTTTTAAAGAATTACAAACGTATAAATATATAAAGAGAATAATTTTATTCTAAATCATCTTTATTTAATGCAGATTATTTTAAATATGATTGATAATATAATATTTTATATATACGAATTGTAATGTTGTAACAATCTTGAATTCACAAAAGTTTGATATCAAATAAATTATATTTGAAACTGAAAAAAACTGCAATTTACATAACGGATCATAAACATTATAATAAACACTTTTAATTATTTTTTTATTTCTATATAATTAAAATTCTGTTTTCTAAAATTTGTCGTACTTTTTATTTTTTATAAAAAATATCTGTGTGTATTTTAATACTTAAAATACTCTTTATGCTGTGCTGACATTGAGTAAATTAATTTTAAAAACAAAAACAAATCAATTATTAATATTTTTGTTGTGTGTTGAAGATCATATATGTAATTAACTTTGCATGCCTTTTATAGAAAAGGATCCGTGGCAAATTTAATACTTTAATTGATAATTAAGTAATTCTGACACTAAATAGAATACTGTGTACAAAAGAAATAATCGTGGATGTTAATTTTCATTAAAATCATTAATATGAGTAAGATAAACAGAATTATTAAGAATTATGTGTATGTTACGAGATATTAGACCATATTTTTTAAACCAAACCAGTTTTTGAAATAAGTAATATAAATTTGTAAATAATGCATATTTATTTGATAAATTGGGCAAAATTTGAATATGTTTAATTAAGACAACAGTTATACACAAATGCCTCCACACACACAGAAACACAAACATATATAAACGACTTCAGAAGTTTTGTTGCCCTAACACATCATATTTATCATGATAAAATGTTGAGAGAATTAGTCGGTTTATCATGGTCTTTCGAACCATATCGTGGTAAATATAATACTTGTAATAAAGTGTGTGTGAATATATTATATTCTTCCAACATTGTGTGCTGCTAAAGTATTATTTGTAGCAATTAGTTGTTTAAAAATATAATTTTTATCAACGTACTTTTGCAAGTATACTGTTCCGAAAAATAGAGTAAGTCAGAATAAGTTAAAAAAATATATAAATGTATATATTCATCTAAAAAAGATTAATCTTACAGCCTAACAGAATATTAAAAAATTATCAATTTTAAAAAATTATAATCTACTAATTGTCAATCGAATGAAAAATTCATATTATATATTTCATGCAATTGTTAACTCCACATCTATTTTGATGTCTTCAATCAGAAATATCTACAAAAATCCTATTATATATACAGAATGTTCTGAAACTAGTAATCAATCTGTTAATAGTAGATTCCAGGGATCATTTGGAGTCGATATTTCTTCTGTGAGAATGTCGAAAGGAAAGCAATCATATATTTGCATGTTCTCAAATTTGCCATCATGTATCTTTTGCAATTAAGCCTTGAATTAAAGTTTTGTTAAAAGTAAACCTTACTTCAAATTTAATGACAAATGTGATTTTCTTAATATTTTATTTCCACAAGGCTTAGTTTGCGAGAAACCATTTATTTATAATAGCTTATAACTATAATTTATTATACTTACTCGACAATTTTACTAAGAAAAAATTGATTAATAAATGATATCAGATATCTGCTATTAATAGCTTCATTGCTAGTACTGGGATACCTGGTATATATGTATATAATTTTTATTATCAAGTTTATAAATCATACAATTTAAAATTGATTTTATGTTGGTTTTATTATCGGTGATTTTTGGAGTTTATAATATATAATTTAAGAAATGAAATAACACAGACCTCTAAATGAAAATAATAATAAATATGTGCTTTCTGTCACCGCTGCTTAGTCCTCCTTATCCTTTTATTGTCTTTTTCTTATTTTGAATAAACATACAAGTTTTCATGTAGGTAAATCAATATCAATAACTCGCGCAAAGCGCGCGCTTGTATTATCTGGCACATTACAAAATTCAGAAATGAAAGTTATACACATAATTAAAATTCAGCAAATCAAAATTATGTATATAATTATAAAGACATTCGAAAATTAAAATAGAAGTGCAAATGGAAAATAATAATGTACCATATGCTCTCTTTCTTTCTTTTCTCTCCTCTCTCTCTCTCTCTCTCTCTCTCTCTCTTTTCTCTTTCTTCTCTTTTCTCTTATTTTCTTTGTCACCGTTGCTCAGTCTTATCCTTACGGTCTTCTTCTTATTTCGAATAAACACACATATATAAATTGATTAGAAAAAGAAATTGTGCAAATAGAGAAATTTGCACATAAATTTTATCTTTACCATTTAATATTTCATTAATTAGAATGGTTTTTAATTAATAATTTTAATACGTTTTGCATTTAAATTATTTTCTTGTTTTTATTTCTTTGTGCATCAAAGACAGAATTTGCTTATAGTGCTGAAAGCGTCAAAGCGAACACAGCCTAATGTTACATTAATAGCATCATACAACTGCCATCGCGAAAGCTAACAATTCAACAGTTGTAAAATAATTAATAGAAATAATATTACTTGCGCGAGGCGCTCTTGAGTCGTCTAGTGATTTGAAAAAGACATCAAAACTACATTTAATTTCTCTATTTATTTTTTGTTTAGAAGATCTAAAATAAATATTGTCTTCCCGACATGATAATATTTTTAAAACTATTATTAATAAGTAGCGGATTAATGTTTATCTCTGAGGCGGCTTCTATTCATAATGAATCATCTTTATGCTACCAACCATCAAAATACATAAAACCGATCCATTACGATATCAAGCTTATATCATGTATTGAAGGACATATTTTCTATGGAGAATACAATATCAGCATAAGCATTCTTAACAAAACGCAACAAATATTTTTACAATCAGAAAAATAAGTATTAAAGATATAGTTTTATTTACAAATGTAAAAAATATCATGAGTATGATAAAGATACAGTTTATAAACTGACATATAATATTGTAGAAGACATAATTAATATTTCGTTAATAGCTGAGTTATCACCAGGAAATTACATTTTAAATATAAAATATCATGGTATTGCTGATGAAGTTTTTAGAATTTACGACGTGAAAGAAAAAATTGCGTAAGTAAATAATATGTTTATTAAAAAGTACAATGCGCAATTACATAAAACGTTGTAATTAATATATTTTATTTATGTATTAAATGTTTCAAAAATTATTATATATCATGGAATTTAAATATAAATACGTTCAATCTTTATCTTTTATGCATATTATTACATATAATACTTATACGTTTTTTAATTCTCAATATTTTTATGCTTATTAAAAATGTTTCATTAATCTATGTTCTTTGAAATGTATAGCTGGGTAGCTGATATTCATTTCCATATAATATGCACGCGTCAAAGGTTTTCATGCTGGGATGAACAGAATTTATTGTTAAAACAACCTTTAACATATCTGTAGGATGTAATCAATGTACGGCTTTGTCAAATATGCCATTGCGAAATAAGAAAAGAAATGAGTACGAAACGTTATGGACACACGTCGCTACCACATCTGCAATATCGCCTTATCTTGTAACAATGATTGTGTCTAATTTCCTATCACGTATTGATTATGACAATCAAAACATTCAAATGTGGTGCAATACGAATATGAGTTTCACATGAAATTTGCAAAAAATTTTGCTGAAATATCACGTTGTTGCTTAAAATAAATGGAATTTACGTTCAAAGCAAATTTTAAACGTGACTCATATTGCAATTCCAAATTTCCATGACAATGGCATAATAGATATCGGACTTGTTTTTTATAAGTAAGTACAAGTGCTTAAAATTACATTAAAAATAAAATTATATTAATATGCAAATCATAAAATTTAAAAGCACTTATAACTTTTTCTTCTGTTAACGTTCGAAATTATATGGAATCACGAAAACGATTTTTGTAGAACTAAGTTTATTCTTCTTATTACAAAGTTAAAGTATATCGGTTTAATAACGTACATAAAGGGTAAACTATGTATGCTAAATCGTACCCCCTAAGGTAGATGTTAAAACTGCAATAAAGCTATAAAAGAAATGACATTTTTTTACTTATTTCAGACTAATGTTTTCTGTCAACGATGTACACATTAGCAGAAATTTATCGTTGTTGCATATTGTAAATTAAAAAATAAAAAATGTTATTTGGTACGATTTATACTGATTTGCTCAATTGTACTCATAAGTTTGTAAATCGTACATACAGGGTTTGTATTTTAAGTAATGAGAATATTTTTGTCCTGACGCGGCTGTACGCCAGAGGGCGCTCCGACCGGTTGGAGTCGGTAGTGGGGCCTTCGACCTTGATAACGCTCCAATCGGCGGTCGCCTGCTGGCTTTGGTTGAGGCAGGATCACGCGTGGCGTAGACGTCTTCAAAAAAGTGTGTGCAAGTTCAAAATGCAACAAAGCATTGAACAGCGTTACGCAATCAAATTTTGCGTTCGCCTTGGAAAATCGGGTGCATCAACGCTGGAAATGATTCAGCAAGCGTACGGCAGGGAAAGCTTATCGCAAGCTCAAGTTTTTAGATGGAACAAAATGTTTAAAAAAGGCCGGGAGAGCGTGGAGGACGAGCCCCGTGCAGGTCGCCCGTCAACATCAAGAACCGCAGAAAACGAACAACGTGTGCGACATTTGCTGAACACGGACCGGCGTTTAAGTGTTCGCATGATCGCAGAAACGCTAGGAATGGATAAAATGGTTGTGCACAAAATCATTAGTGAGGATCTTGGGATGAGGAAGATTTGCGCCAAACTCAAAAAATGGCATCGTAACAATTCCACAGCCTCCCTACAGCCCCGACTTTGCCCCAGCAGACTTTTTCCTCTTCCGCAAAGTGAAAACCGCCCTCAAAGGGCGTCACCACGGGACCCTGGATGTTGTCAAAAGGGCTTGCACGCATGCTCTGAAGGATGTTTCGGTTGGTGACTTCCAGGGAGCGTACGAAGCGTGGAAACGTCGCCTGCAGAAGTGTGTTGATGCTCAAGGAGCATATTTTGAAAACTACTAAAGTTTTGTAGCGATATCTTTAATAAATTATTTTTTGTGGACTTATTCTCATTACTTAAAATACACACCCTGTATAACAATTAAATTAAAATTTTGCAACAAAATAAAGTTTTATTTAAGTTATGAGTCTTTACATTTAAATATAATTTTCAGGGAAACAGATATCATCTACGATAAAAATTTATATCCTATTAGTCACAAAATCGAAGTAGCTCAATTAATAGGACGTAAAGTAATAGAGGAATGGTTTAATATCCCGTTGAATAGTCTGTTAATGTCGAATTTTCTGATGAAAAGAGGTTTTAGTGCATTATTTGCAATGTATGCTGTTAATATGGTACGTTATTTTAAATATTTTAAACGCTATCTTGCTTCCACCTTCTCGCAAACGATGTAATATTGAAGCATTCATATTGCAAGATTTTATTAAATCAAACTTTTTTCAAAATCTATATGCATATACTTTGTGAATTGTCTTGAAAACATATTTAGCATTATTTAAAATAATAATTTTTTTTTAGAAAATACTTCCTTTACATGTTAACATGCATATATAATTATAATTTAATTTATTAAAATTTTTATCTTTTAACATCATTTTATTAAATATTTTAAAATTTCTGTAATATAAAATATAATAAATTAATCACAAACAAGTACACATAATATACATTTAAATAAATTTGCAGACTTTTTTTTAAAATAAAGAGATGTCTGCAATATAATATCATGAGACAATAGTTTAAAAAGTATATAATATATATTTTTTAATTATATTAACATAAAATTCTAGATTTATTTATTATATTTGTTTTAATGTGTGTTTTTTCAAATGTGAAAGTGTTTTGTTTCAACAATAAAGTAACGGAAATAATATTTAGTATTTGTATTTAATGCAAGTATATTTAGTACGGTTATATCGATATATTAATTTTTTTATAGAGTTATCCAGATTCTCGAATAGGAAATTTATTTGTTGTTCAAAATCAACATTACTCTTTTAATTTGGATGATTATTTGTGGAATTGGTATTATTATATGGGGAATTCTACTTTAAAAGTTCACGGATCATTGGAAATTCCCAATTCTATCAGAGGTATACCTAATATAATAATAAAATAGCCAGCTTAAATTTTTAACTGTTAGTATTTTAAAAACTGTGTAAAATTACAATATAAATAATTCTCTTTTTATCTGGATTTTAATTAAGTATTATATTTATAAAAGTATACACATACGAGCGCATACGCCGACGCACATATACATATAAATAAGGAAATTAATTAAATGATCTTTTAAAGCTTAGCTGTCTTCGTAGGTATTAACGAAAAATGTACTTATAAAATAGAATAGAATAATAAAAGATGCGGCTGTAAAAAATATTCTATTCTTACGCGATTACAACCCTGTGTACATACATAATATTTATTTTAAAAAAATCACTATGTTTACATGTAACCTTTACAGTAAATATGTATTTATAATATATCTAATTCATAATTTTGATGTAAATCATAGCACCTTTTATGCTGCGCATGATGGAACACTTACTCACAGGAGGAACATTGCAGAAATTAATGAGCTCATATCACGAGTGAGTAATAGAATATAGAATTCTTTTTGTAAAAAAGGCATGTTAAGTCGATTCTTGCATGTATTTTTGCCGCTTTTCCGCGTTGGTTGTCTCGATTTGCATTGTGTGTTATATTTATATCAAACAGCTGTTATTGCGAAAGTTAATAGTTTGATAGTTGTTTAAAATAATATATATCAAATCAAAGCACACCAAATTATTGTTTCGCGCGCGAAGCGCGCGCTTGTGTTGTCTAGTATATCATAAAATTAATATTGTACTACGTAAATAATTTAGAATAATTTAGAATAATCAAAGTTTTATATTATGTCCCTTATCTTCTTTTGTTTTTTCTGACAATATTTCATAATGTTTTTCTCTTCAGTGTTACAATTCCGCTTTTCTTCTGCATCTTCTACTAGAATTATTTTTAATATTTCATTACTTTTCCTATAAAAACTGATTCTCCAGAAAGAAATTGTTGTTTTATCGTTATCACTTTTTATTTACATATTCATTGATTCATTTTTGTTTTATTATTTGTTATTTTTAAATAATTTTTCAAATTATTTTTCTTTTTCTTTCTTCTTTTATTTCTTATATCGTCTATAATTCTTATATCTATTTCTTTTAATTGCATTTTGTGCTACATTGGTTTTCTAATTTTATTTAACAAGTTTTTAAATATGTAACACTTATATCTATTTTCCATTACTTACCCTATTTTTATTATCTTCTTTCAAAAATCGATCTCCTTTATATTATTTTACATTTTTGTTTGTTTAACTTGTTATTTGTTTTATTTCTTTATTTAACCGTTTTATACTCTCTCAAAACTTTGTTGAAATATAATCTGTATTAATGCTAATAATGCGTAAAAAATTAAATAAAATTATTAAATTTTATTTAAAATTATATTGTATTTCTTATTATCAGATTATAGATATAAGATATATAAATATATACATAGAAATGTGCAACATATATAAATTTTGCTACTTAATATTATTAAATTGTTTTATAATATTAACGTTATACAGACGACATTTTAACATATTTTTATATATTTTAATATTTTGTGAATATAGGCTATCACGTCGTTAAGCTCAATGGGTCTTGAGGTAAATTTTACTGCAATACTAAATCAATATATGCGTTTAGAAATACCGAGAATGGAAGATTGGGCTTCGCAAAGCATTGCCCCTCATTAGAGTAGAAAGAGGTTATAATGATTCTATGGGCCAAACACAATTATGGGTACAATATACTGACAAAATAGAAACTGGTTACATTCCAATAACTTTTACTACGGAAACATCTCCTAACTTTGACAATTTACTACTTATTTTTATTCGTTGTCACAAAATGTCAAATTACCATTTAAAGAGAATGGTTGGGTGATATTCAATATACAACAAGTTGGTAAATATCGACGAATGAACTTATTATGAATTATTTCTCGTCTTTATTTTACACACACATAATTGATATAATTTTTTATTCTTATATCTATTCTATTCATTGTCCTATACAAATCTGAGATATTCATTATATCTCTATAATATTTTAAAATATTTTGTGTAGTTATCTGCATTATATATATATATATATATATATATATATATATATATATATAAATATTTAACATTTAAGTAAACGTTTTTTAAATAATCTAATTCAATATTAATGTTATATTTACAAATACTTTATTCTAATAATAGTAAAAATTATTAAAAGATTAATTATATTTATAAAATTAATAATCATAAGTCAAGGTAACATACAATTTTTGTAACGTTACATGTTACATAATTATATTGGTTAGCATAAAATAGTTATTATTTATGTACAACTAGAATCAATTTAATTTTATGGTATATAACAATATCTTACAGTTTTATTTTCTCTACTATTAGAAGTATTAAAATGACATTTTTATAATCATTTTTTATATTATTTGCATTTTATTTATATGTATAAAAATTTTGTATATGTTTTTAATTTATAATTTATATAAACATAGTATGAAACAATAAGTATGAAACAAAAATTGATGTTCGAAAATAAGTATATTAATGATAAAAACATTCAAAACAATAAGAATAATTGATAAAATTTATTTATTATTCGACAGGATATTATCGCGTTATCTATGATGATGAGAATTGGCGAAGAATTTCAAACTATCTAAACTCTGATAATTACATGAAAATTCATGTTCTTAATCGTGCCCAAATTATCGATGATGCATTTCATTTAATGATAGGAAACCAACTTAACTGCCATATATTCTGGGATCTCATAGAGTATTTGCATCGAGAAGAAGATTATGTGGCATGGTATCCTATGTTTTAAAGCTATGGAATACATGTATGGTACCTTTTTATGGAAAGAAATGGTTGGAAATGTTACGGTAAATATTAATAAATTTCAATGAAAATATTACATTTTAAATATCTGCATTGCCTCATTGATCACAAATTAGAAAAATATGTTCATCAACGATAAAATTTACATACTGTTGCGTCGCAAACAAATGTATAAACAAATTCAGTTTGAATAATCACTCACCCGAAGAACTGTCCGAAAAGTCTGATTTTCATTACTCTAATATTGGCATATAACATTGTTATTTGATATATAGCAAAGTGCTTAAAATCTTTGTCAATGAATGCAATTATATTGGCTTTATATCAATATTACATGTTGTAATTAAAAAGAAATTGAACATATATATATTATTATATTTTGGAAAAATTAATATTATATATTTCAAAATAATATATTATTTATCTTATTTAAAAATAAAATATAATTAATAAATAGTTATAAAACTTTAATATTTATTAAATATTATAAAACATTTTGCACAAGTTAAACCGTATTTTTGCGTACGTGTATAGTACATACGTATATTTGCACGTGCATATGTACGTGAATAGATAAACGTTAGCGTCTATAAGTGAATTTGTATGTATGTTTATTTCATAGAGAAAATTTTATTAATCTATTAAAAAATAATAAATAATATTTGTTATATTTTAAATACATTTATAATATGAACAAATACATATGTATTTAACAATTTTTAGTTAGAATAAGGCACACATTATACAAGGTACTTGAAAGAATCAAATATGAAGAAATTGATGATACAGACGAACTTAGAATATGTTTACGACAAGAAGCTGCAAGATGGCATGTTTCTCGATAGTCCGACATGTAAGAAAAAAGCCAACGATAAATTAAAACAACATGTCCAAGATCCTAAAAAACACAAGTAAATATTGTTATATACTTTAGACCTTCTTAATTAATTTCTTTTGAAGATATCGCCTACGATGTTTAAATGATTTGATCAAAAGATCCATATGCTAATTTTTAATAAGAAAATTTATTTTTTTTATACGTTTTAGACTTTTGCCATGGTGGAAGAAATGGACATATTGTAACGGTTTGATGATAACTAACAACATAGAGACTTGGGGATTAGTGTATAGTATAGGATATGGTATAGATTATGATCGTGATACATTTGACCCTAAATTTATAGAATACTTGGCCTGCTCTGAAGATGCAGATATAATTAAACACTATTCAAAAATTAACGCTCTTAAAAAACGAGAAATTCAATATCTTCTTTTTAGTTTGTTACATATTATTACAAAGCATGCGAAGAATCGCATTTTACTGCGGTACATATTAAATAATTTTTTGGACTTAAAACCAAAGTAATTTGACATATTTTTATAAATATTTTCTACAAAAATTTATTAGGTGTTTTATATATATATATATATATATATTTGTTTTTTTTGTTTTTAGACATGTTGATATACCTGCAGCATTTATTATTATCATTAATAACGTATATTCCGTAAATCAAACTCAGGTAAAAATTTTACATGTTTATATATGTATGTATATACAAAATGTGATAAAAATACAATATTAATAATTGTTATTTCATAATGTTAAATAATTTTGATAATGTTATATTACCGTTGTTTATTAATAATGTCAAAAATAATACATTTTAGGAAATAAACAGATACGTTCAATGGTTGAATACTATAGAGACATATTTGGTAAAAAGGAAGAAAGGGTAAATTTGAAAAATATTATTATAAAGAACGAAAGAAAATGGAATATTGTTCCATTTTATTATTTTTGAAAATTAATTTTATATTTGTTTTGTTTATTATATGAAAAGTATATATTGATTTTATTGTGCAAATCTCTGTTTATATATATTAGGATATTATAACGCAGACTTCTGGCAAAATTGAAAGCAAGATATCAATTCGCAACAGTCAAATCAAAAGACAAAGACAGTATTTTGATAGTATTTTCTATTGGTGAATGTAAAAAAAGTGCAGCTTTGCATTGTGTGCGTGGATATACTTCATATTAATAATTTTATATAATGTACTATATATATTTTATTGCTTTATTACTAGTACATATAGTTTTATTATTTCTACTAGTTACATAATAATTACTATAAACTGTATTGTTAGATATAAAACAAAATAAAATTGTATAATATAAAAAAAATATATATAAATTTTTTGTTAAATAATAAATGCACTATCTATTAATTTTGAATTACATATTGACTTGTTTTTAATTTTTTCTTTAAATTAATAAAAAAAAATTTTACGCACATACACATACACATGTATTGTATATACTTGTGTACCCCAAAAAACTACAAGAATATGAAAAAATTACTGGTATAACAATAATATATTATAGAAAAAGTATTATTATATCAGTAATTTTTTCGTACTTTTCTGGTTTTTTTTTGTACGGGTATAAATAACGAATTTTTATTTACACATTATAAAATTTACAGCCAACATATTTATACTTATACGTATTATTAAATTTGTCATTATCATATGTATATATATATATGCGTGTATATGTGTGTGTGTTTGCATATATATAATAATAATATATATTATATATTATGTATATTATATATATATATATATATACAGATCATATTATATATTAATTATGTAATTAATCTAATACAATTTATATAAATAAATAAATATATATGTATAAATAAATCATGTTTGTATAACTATGAGAATTAGTAAAATGTTAAATTATATGTAAACTAATTATAATTATATGTGCTTACATGTTCAATAATTAAATATCTTTTTTATTTTATATTTTACTATATAAAATTTGTGATTGATTAGCATTTTTTAGTTTACAATAAATCCACCCTTTCTCTCTCTCTCTCTCTCTCTCTCTCTCTCTCTCTCTCTCACTCTCTCTCCCTCTCTCTTTCTCTCTATCTTTCTCTCCCCCCGCCGTCCCTCTTCTTCTTGGGTAAATCCACATTTTAATTTTAATAAATTTAATTAAATAAAATATTAATCTTTATATTAATGTTTATTAAATTATATTACATAACTTTCAAATTGTTCATTATTATATCTAATTAATTTTAACAATCACATTTTAAAGAGATGTAAGCATATAGATCCAAGGAGAACAGAAAAGTCAAAATAATGTCAATTTGATGTCATATTGACTAAATATTGACCAAAAAATGACATAAATTTAGTCAATATGACATCAAATTGACATCATTTTGACCTTCTGTTCTTCTTGGAATCACACGAAAGAAAAAATTGATACGCTTGTATTATACTCTTTTCTTTTCTCTTTCTTTTTCGGTTTGCAAAATAGTGGACCATCTCATCTAATACTTTCACAGAAATGTTCTCTTCCCTGTTTTGTTTGCACGATGATTGATGAGAGATGACTCGTTTCTCGTTTTTAAATTTCAGTCTGCATTTTTACAAACGATAGAGGATATACGATATTTTATATTTTTATTACGCAAATATGTATATGTATAGTTGATATAAATATACAAGAATATTTTTCGATAGAACTAAGATTTTCGCGTATTAAAACATCAAAACGTAATTTGTTCATTGAATTGACAGGTTAATAAAATAATTTATATAAAAAAGCGATTTGGATGTACGTATATTTAATTACGTTTGACTGACAAATCAATATAAAGAACGATGAAACTCACAGACAAAATTCTCGCGTATTAAACATCGACAGTGCGTGAGAAGTATAACAGCTAAAATCTGGACATCGCGAACGAAAAAAAATGCAAGTGCAAATGTTTCGAAACTTCTTGTACGAAGACAATTCCTGATGCAGAGGTTGTTTCTCTACAGAAAAAATGGTGCTGACGAAAATCCGGAAGAATTCGCATAGACAAGAAAAAATAATAAAAATGTGATTCAAATTACTTAAATATAGAATATTATTATTTTTTATATTTTATAAATTATACATATATTTTAGCTTTAAGATTAATTGTAATATTCTTTATGGTAAATATGACTGATATATATATGTATATATATACATAAACGACCTTACAAGTTTTGTTGACCAAACACATCATATTGGCCATCATGACACGTACAGACAATCAGTCAGTCTTTCGTAGTCTGTCGAACGACATTGTGGTAGATATAATTCTTTTAACAAAGCGTGTGTGAATAAGTTATATTCTTCCAACATTGCGTGTTGCTAGTATTAATTTGTTGCAGTTAATTGTTAAAAAAATATACTTTTTATCAATATACAATATACTTTGGCAGTTAAATACTGTTTTGATATAAACGGTGAGTCAGAATAAGTTAAAAATATTAAAATATATGTATATTTGTTCACAAATACAAAATAATTTAATCATATTGTATTACGAATTTTTAAAGAATTACAAACGTATAAATTTATAAAGAAAATAATTTTATTCTAAATCATCTTTATTTAATGCAGATTATTTTAAATAATATTGATAATATATTATTTTATATATACAAATTGTAATGTTGTAATAATCTGAAACTCACAAAAGTTTGATATCGAATAAATTATTTCTAAAACTTAATAATACTGCAATTTACATAACAAATAATAAATATTATAATAAACACTTTTAATTATTTTTTTATTTCTATATAATTAGAATTCTGCTTTCTAAAATTTGTTGTATTTTTTATTTTTTATAAAAAATATCTATGTGTATTTTAATACCTAAAATAATCTCGAAGCTGTGCTGACATTTAGTAGAATAACTTTAACAAGAAAGAAGAATCAACTATTAATATTTTTGTTGTGTGTTGAAGATCATATATGTAATTAACTTTGCATTTCTTTTATAGAAAGAGATCCGTGGCTAATTTAATACTTTAATTGATAATTAAGTAAGTCTGACACTAAAATAGAATACTGTACAAAGAAAAAATCGTGGATGTTAATTTTCATTAAAAATAGTTAATATGAATAAAATAAACAAAATTATTATAAATTATTGTGATAATTATTACAATTATATAATTAAGACAATTTATTAAGATAAAATTATCGGAAGCGATGAGTATATTACGAGATATTAGACCATATTTTTTGCGACCATGTTTTTTGAATTAAGTAATATAAATTTGTAAATAATGCATATTTATTTGATAAATTGGGCAAAATTTGAATATGTTTAATTAAGACAACAGTTATACACAAATGCCTCCACACACACACACAAACATAAACATATATAAACGATCTCAAAAGTTTTGTTGCCCTAACACATCATATTTATCATGATAAAATGTTGAGAGAATCAGTCAGTATTTCATGGTCTTTCGAGCCATATCGTGGTAGATATATTACTTGTAATAAAGTGTGTGTAAATATATTATATTCTTCCAACATTGTGCTGCTAGAGTATTAATTTGTAGTAATTAGTTGTTTAAAAATATAATTTTTATCAACGTACTTTTGCAATTATACTGTTCCGAAATATAGAGTAAGTCAGAATAAGTTGAAAAAATATATAAATGTATATATTTATCTACAAAAAGTTTATTCTTACAGCTTAACAGAACATTAAAGAATTATCAATTTTAAAGAATTACTAATCTACTAATTGTCAATCAAATGAAAAATTCATAATATTATATATTTCATGAATTGTTAACTCCACATCTATTTTGATGTCTTTAATCTGAAATATCTACAAAAATTCTATTATATATACAGAATGTTCCAGAACTAGTAATAAATCTGTTAATAGTAGATTCCAGAGATCATTTGGAGTCACCGCTGCTCAGTCTTTTTTATCCTTTTATTGTCTTCTTCTTATTTTGAATAAACATACAGGTTTTCATGTAGGTAAATCAATATCAATAACTCGCGCGAAAAGCGCGCTTGTATTATCTGGCACATTACAAAAATTCAGAAATGAAAGTTATACACATAATTAAAATTCAGCAAATTAAAATTATGAATATAATTATAAAGACACTTGATAATTAAAATAGAAGTGCAAATGGAAAATAATAATATACATGTGCTCTCTTTCTCTCTCTTTCTCTCCTTCTCTCTATCTCTCTCTCTCTCTCTCTCTCTCTCTCTTTCTCTCTCTCTCTCTTCTCTGTCTCTCGCACACGCACACGCACACGCACACGCACACACAGTACGTGTATATATATATATATATATATAATATGAAAAAAAAACATCCAATTAAATTTAATTTCTCTATTTATCTTTTGTTTCACAGATCTAAAATAAATATTTTCTTTCCGACATGATGATATTTCTAAAACTATTATTAATAAGTAGCGGATTAATGTTTATTCCTGAGACTGCTTCTATTCGTAATGAATCATTTTTATGCTATCCACCATCAAAATGTATAAAATCAATCCATTACGATATCAAGCTTATAACATATATTGAAGGACATATTTTCTATGGAGAATACAATATCAGCATAAGCATACTTAACCTAACGAAAAACATATATTTACAATCAGAAAAATTAAATATTCAAGATATAGTTTTATTTAGAAGTGCAAAAAAATATCATGAGTATGATAAAGATACATTTTATGAATCGACATATAATATTAAAAAAGACAGAATTGATATTCTATTTACGGATGAGTTATCACCAGGAAATTACACTTTAAATATAAAATATTTTGGTATTGCTGATAAAGTTTTTAAAATTTACGACATAAAAGGAAAAATTGCGTACGTAAATAATATATGTTTATTAAAAAAGTACAATGTGCAATTACATAAAACGTTGTAATTAATATATTTTATTTATGTATTAAATGTTTCAAAAATTATTATATATCATGGAATTTAAATATAAAGACGTCCAATCTTTATCTTTAGTGCATATTATTACATATTATATATATACGTTTTTTAATTCCCAATATTTTTATGCCTGCTAAAAATGTTTCATTAATTTATCCTTTATGAAATGTATAGTTGGGTAGCTGCTATTCATTTCCATATAATATGCCCTCGACGAAAGCTTTCATGCTGGGATGAACAGAATTTATTGTTAGAAGCAACCTTTAACATATCTATAGGATGTAATCAATGTACGGCTTTATCAAATATGCCATTGCAAAATGAGAAAGAAAATGAGTACAAAGTGTTATGGACACACTTCGCTACCACTGCAATGTCGCCTTATCTTGTAAGAATGATTGTGTCTAATTTCTTATCACGTATTGATAATGACAATCGAAACATTGAAATATGGTGCAGTAATGAATATGAATTACACATGAAATTTGCAAAAAATTTTGCTGAAAATATCACGTTGTTTTTTCAAAATTATTCGAATTCACGTTTGAACATAATTTGGAAGGTGATTCATGTTGCAATTCCAAATTTTCATGACAATGGCATAATATATTTCGGACTTGTTTTTTATAAGTGAGTACAAGTGCTTAAAATTACATTAAAAATAAAATTATATTAGTATGCAAAATTATAAAATTTATTAAATATAAAATTTATTTAATCTTAGGGAAACAGATATCATCTACGATAAAAAATTATATCCTATTACTCGCAAAATCGAAGTAGCTCAATTAGTAGGACGTAAAGTGATACAGGAATGGTTTAATATCCTGTTGAACAATCCGTTAGTGGCGAATTATTGGATGAAAAAAGGTTTTAGTGCATTATTTGCAACGTATGCTGTTAGTAAGGTACATTATACTAAATATTTTCAACGTTATCTCGCTCTCACCTTCTCGCAATCGATATACATAATACTGAAGCATTCATGTTGCAAGAATTTTTTAAATCAAACTTTTTTTTACAAAATCTATATGCATTCTTTGTGAATTGTCTTGAAAACATATTTAGCATTATTTAAAATAATGAATTGTTTTTTAGAAAATACAATTTTCACATGTTTACATACAGGTATAATTATAATTTAATTTATTAAAAATTTATATTTTTTAACGTTACTTTGTTACAAAATTTTTAATTTTTATGCAATATAAAATAAGATATATCAATCAAAAACTAATCATTTATTTTACATATTATATTTATTTTAATAAATTTGATAAAGAGAAATCTGCAAAATAATATCATCAGACAATAATTAAAAAATATGTAATATTTGCTAATTATATTAATACAAAATTTTAGATTTTATTATTATATTTATTTTAATGTGTGTTTTTCAAAATGAGATAATGTTTTGTTGTAATTGAATGTTAACATTGAGGTAACACTAATAATATTAGTATTTGTATTTAATGCTAGTATACATTCAGAACGGTCATATCTATATATTAACTATTTTTTTTATAGACTTATAAAGATCATCGAATAATAAATTTATTTGTTGTTCAAAATCAACACTACTCTTTTAATTTGGATAGTTATTACATGTTAAATTCTACTTCACGTGTTAACAGTTCATTGGAAATTCCCAATTTTATCAGAGGTACATGTATACGTAATATAATAAAATAATCCGTGCAATTTTTAACCGTTAGTATTTTAAAATATGTGCAAAATTAGAAGATAGTTAATTCTCTATTTATCTGGATTTAAATTAAATATTGTATTATATTTATAAAAGTACACACATACGCGCGCACATGCCCACACAAAGTGTCTGGTAATAGTTGCACATATGTAGGTAGAGGGAATTAATTGAATGACCCTTTAAAGCTTAGCTATCTTCGTAGGTATTAACGAAAAATGTACTTATAAAATAGAATAATGAACGATGCGGTTATAAAAAATATTTCATTTATACGCGATTACTACCCTGTATACGTATACAATATTTACTTTAAAAATCACTATATTTACAAGTAACTATTATAATATATATATATTTATAATATATCTAATTTATAATTTTGATGCAAATTATAGCTCCTTTTATACTGCGCATGATGGAACGCTTACTAGCTAAAGAAACATATAGTGAATTAAGGAGCCTATATTACAGGTGAGTAATACAATATAGAATATATTATAAAAAAAATAAATGTTTCAACTTAAGTAAATTGTAATAATAGAAGTTTTATATAATGTCTCTTATCTTCTTTCGTATCTTCTGACATTATTTCATAATGTTTTTCTCTTAGTATTACAATTCCTCTTTTTTTTGTTTTTTCTACAAGAATTATTTTTAATTTCATTACTCTTATTCTTATGAAAACCGATTTGGCAGATAGAAATTGTTGTTTTTATCGTTATCATTTTTTCATATACATATTCATTGTTGTTTTATTTTTGTTTTATAATTTTTATTTTTTAAAATAATTTTTAAAATTATTTTTTCTGTTATGTCTCATATTTCTTATTTATATCGTCTATAATTCTTATAATATCTATTTTTTTTAAATTGCAATTTGTATTACATTTGTTTTCTAATCGTATTTAACAGGTTTTTAAATATATCTATATTTATATCTATTTTTTATTACTTTCTCTATTTTTATTATCTTTTCTTAAAAATCGATTTCCTTTATATTATTTTTCATATTTTTGTTTTGTCTTCAATTTCTTATTTGTTTTATTTCTTTATTTAATCATTTTATACTCTCTCAATACTTTGCTGAAATATAATCTGTATTAATGCTAATAATGCGTAAAAAATTAACTAAAATTATTGAATTTTATTTAAAATTATGTTGTATTCTTTATTATCATAATATATAGATGTAAGATATATAAATATATAAATAGAAGTGTGCAATATATGTATATTTTGCTTCTTAGTAATTATTTATTAAATTGTTTATAATATTAATGTTATACAGATAAAATTTTAACATATTTTTATACATTTTAAATACTTTGTGAATTTAGGTTATCACATTGTTTAAGTTTTGCGGATTTTATTGCAAAGTTTACTGCAACAATAAATCAAGATGCGCGTGTACAACTAATGAGAATGGAAGATTGGGCTTCGCAAAGGCGTTGCCCTCTCATTAAAGTAGCACGAAATTATAGTGATCCTAAAAACCAAACACAAGTATGGGTACAATACTTTAACGACAAAATAGAAGTTAGTTACATTCCATTAACTTTTACTACGGAAACATCTCCCAACTTTAACAATTTCACTACTTATTTTTTACCCGTGTCACGGTATTATGTATTTTCATTTAAAGAGGATCGTTGGGTAATATTCAATCTACAACAAGTTGGTAAATATCGACAAATAAACTTATTATGATTTATTTCTTGTCTTTATTTTGCATACACATAATTGACATAATTTTATATTCTTATCTATTTTATTTCATTGTCCTATAAAATCTGAGATATTTATTATATAACCATAATATTTTTAAAATGATTTGTGTAGTTTTCTGCATTATATATATAATATATATAATATAATATATAACATATAAAATATAATATTATATTTAAAATATAGATAGGCGGTTATTTCTAAATATTATAATTCAATTTAATTAACAATAGTAAGTGCAGGTAACATACAATTTTCGTAACGTTACATGTTACAGAAATTATATTGGTTAGCATAAAATAAATATTATTTTTGCATAACTAGAATCAATTTATTTTATGGTATATAACAATATATCTTACACAGTTTTATTTTCTTTTCTATTAGAAGTATTAGGATGACATTTTTGTAATTATTTTTTTATATAAAAATGTAAGAATCTTCTCTCGACCGTATTGGCAAATATTATTTATTCAATCACAACGTTTCGACCCTTTTTTGAGTTTTTATCAAGTGATCTAGATATACATAGACAGAGATTAATACAATAAAAAACAAAATTACTTTACTAACAATATTACAAAATAATAAAAAGAAGCGAAACTTACTTGTAAAAATAAAAATAAAATTATAATTTTAAGATGTCAAGAACGAACTTAGTGTCGGTTTGACAACACGTCAAGACTCTTAGACGAATTATTGGAGACTAAACGACCTTTATTATTTTGTCGTAGATATTACTTAGATTGTCGATATCCTTCTGTAAATTAATAGCGTTATTATTTTTCTTAATAAAAAATATTTCAGCAATTTCTCTTTTTTTTACGTGTTTTTCACTATGCAAAATAACAGGCGAAATCCAGTCAAAATCGTGATCGAATTCAATTTTATGTTTGCTGATAACTGATAAATTACTCGAATGCATTTTGATGTTGCTGAAATGTTCCTTTACACGTGTACAAAGATGTCTCTTTGTTTGTCCGATGTATGACCGTTGCAATCCTTACAATTAATTTTGTAAACTACTTCAGTTTTTTTATCAATAGGCAGTCTATCCTTGCCGTGTGTAATTAAATGATTCGGTTATTTAGGAACATTATGAACAACGTTAAATCCGATATTTTTAAAAATTCGATCGATATCGTCTAAGCTATTAACATAAGGTAGTGAAATGAAAGGAGACTTATCAACAATACTTCGCTCATTACTCGATTCATTCATGTTTCTGTGTTTTAAAAAATTAATCATTTTGTTAACCCAACGATCGATTACATGTTTAGGAAAGCAGTTATTAAATAAAATCTGTTTCACAATATTAATATTCTCGTCGTGAAACTGGTCATTAGATAAGAGAATCGCGTGATCTACAAGATTAAAAATTGTGTTCATTTTATATTTAAAAGAGTGATTGGAAAAGAAATTTATATATTTGTTCGAACACGTATCCTTTCTGTACCAATTTGTTACAAGCTTTCCATTTGACCGAGAGATCGTTGTATTCAAAAAATTAATACATCCGTCTGATTCCGTCTCATATGTAAAGGTTAAACGGTGGTGATAATTATTAAAAGTATTAATTATTTTGTGGATTTTTCCGAATCATTTAATTACACTCGGCAAGGATAGACTGCCTATTGATAAAATAACTGAAGTAGTTTACAAAATTAATTGTAGGATTGCAACGCGTCATACATCGGACAAACAAAGAGACATCTTTGTACACGTGTAAAGGAACATTTCAGCAACATCACAATGCATTCGAGTAATTTATCAGTTATCAGCAAACATAAAATTGAATTCGATCACGATTTTGACTGGACTTCGCCTGTTATTTGCATAGTGAAAAACACGTAAGAAAACGAGAAATCGCTGAAATGTTTTTTATTAAGAAAAATAATAACGCTATTAATTTACAAAAGAATATCGACAATCTAAGTAATATCTACGACAAAATAATAAAGGTTGTTTAGTCTCCAATAACTCGTCTAAGAGTCTTGACGTGTTGTCAAACCGACACTAAGTTCGTTCTTGACATCTTAAAATTATAATTTTATTTTTATTTTTACAAGTAAGTTTCGCTTCTTTTTATCATTTTGTAATATTGTTAGTAAAGTAATTTGTTTTTTATTGTATTAATCTCTGTCTATGTATATCTAGATCACTTGATAAGAACTCGAAAAAGGGTCGAACGTTGTGATTGAATAAATAATATTTGCCAGTACGGTCGAGAGAAGATTCTTACATTTTTTAAATTCTGTCTGGCGATTCTCAAATATCTACGTTCTTATTTTTTTTATATGTATTTGCATTTTATTTATATGTATAAAATTTTTGATATGTTTTTAATATAATTTATATAAACAAAATATGAAACGAAAATTGAGTTAGTTTAAAAATTTATATAAAAATAGGTTTAAAATATTAAATATTAATTATAAAATTATTAAAAACAATAAAAGTTAATAAAATTTATTTTCTATTCGACAGGATATTATCGCGTTGACTATGATGATGAGAATTGGCGAAGAATTTCAAATTATTTAAACTCTGATAATTACATGAAAATTCATGTTCTTAATCGTGCCCAAATTATCGATGATGCATTTCATTTAATGATAGCAGGCCAACTTAACTGCCATATTTTCTGGGATCTCATAAAATATTTGCATCGAGAAGAAGATTATGTGGCATGGTATCCTATGTTTAAAGCTATTGAATACATGTATGGTACTTTTCCATGGAAAAAAATGGTTGGAAATGTTACGGTAAATATTAATAAATTTCAATGAAAATGTTACATTTTAAATATCTGCATTTCCTCATTGATCACAAATTAGAAAAATATGTTCATTAATGATGAAAATTTACATACTTTTGCGTCGCAAACAAATGTATAAACAAATTCAGTTTGAATAATCACTCACCCGAAGAACTGTCCGAAAAGTCTGATTTTCATTACTCTATATATTGGCATATAACATTGTTATTGGATATATAGCAAAATGCTTAAAATCTTTGTCAATGAATGCAATTATATTGGGTTTATATCAATATTACATGTTGTAATTAAAAAGAAATTAAACATATATATAATAATATATTTTGGGAAAATTTAATTATATATTTCAAAATAATATAGTATTTATCTTATTTAAAAATAAAATATGATTATAAAATAATATGAAACTTTAATATTTATTAAATATAAAACATTTCGCACAAGTTAAACCGTATGTTTGCGTACGTGTATAATACATACGTATATTTGCAAGTGCATATGTACGTGAATAGATAAACGTTAGCGTCTATAAGTGAATTTGTATGTATGTTTATTTCATCGAGAAAATTTTAATAATCTATTGGAAAATAATAAAAAATATGATATATTTTAAATACATTTATAATATAAACAAATAAATATGTATTTAACAATTTTTAGTTTAGAATAAAGCACGCATTATACATGGTACTTAAAAAAATCAAATATGAAGAAATTGATGATACAGACGAACTTAGAATATGTTTACGACAAGAAGCTGTAAGATGGGCATGTTTTCTCGGTGACAAAGATTGTATGATAAAAGCGAAAAATAAATTAGAACATCATGTCCACGATCCTACAAAACACAAGTAAATTTTGTTATATATATTTAGCCTTCCTTACATAATCAAATTCTCTTGTAGGTATCGCCTACAATGTTCAAACGATTTGATCAAGAGATCCATATGCTAATCTTTAATAAGAAAATTTAATTTTTTAATATGTTATAGACTTTTGCCATGGTGGCAGGAATGGACATATTGTAACGGTTTGATGATAACTAACAACAAAACGATTTGGCGATTAGTGTATGATATAGGATATGAAAATTTAATCCTAAATTTATACAATATTTATCTTGCCCTGATAATGCTTATATGACTAGAGACTATTTACGATTTAAATCTATTACAGAACGAGAAAATCAATATGTTCTTACATACAGTCTCTTACATATTATTACGAAACATGCTAACGATCAAACTACACTGTTTTATATTAAATGATCTTTGGACGTAAAACCAAAGTAATTTGACATATTTTTATAAATATTTTCTACAAAAATTTATTATGTGATTTTTATATATATGTATATATGCATGTATATGTATATGCATATATATATATGTATATTTTTTTTTCGTTTTTAGACATGTTCATATCACTGCAGCAATAATTATTATTATTAATAACGTATATTCCGTATATCGAACTCAGGTAAAAATTCACATGTTTATATATGTATGTATATACAAAATGTGTTAGAATACAATATTAATAATTATTATTTATGTTAAATAATTTTGATAATGTTACAACAACATTGTTTATAATAATATTAAATAATAATACATTTTAGGAAATAAACAGTTACGTTCAACGGTTGAAGGACAATGTATACAAAATGTTGATATGGAAACAAAGGTAAATTTAAAAAATATTATTTTGGCAAGCGAAAGAAAACGAAATATTGTTGTATTTTATTAATTTCTGAATATGAATTTTATATTCGTTATGTTTCTTATATAAAGAGTATATATTGATTACATTATGCAAATCTTTGTTTATATATATTAGGATATCATAACGCAGAATTTCAACAAAATTGAAAGCAAGATATCAATTCGCAACAGTCAAATCAAAAGACAAAGACAGTATTTTGATAGTATTTTCTATTATTAATAGAAAATACTAAAACGTAAAATAGTTGCAGCTTTGCATTGTGTACGAGGATATACTTCATATTAATAATTTTCTTTATTATTAATACAATATAATATATAAATAAATAATTATATATGTATATATATATAAAACATGTTTGTTTAACTATAAAAATTAGTAAGATGTTAAAATTATATGTAAACTAATTATAATTAAATGTGCTTATATGTTCAATATTTAAATATCTTTTACATTTAATATGTTACTATATAAAATTTGTGATTGATTAGCTTTTTTAGTTTACAATAAATCACATAACACAATCTCCCTCTCTCTCTTTCTCCCTCTCTACCTCTAACCATTTTACTCCTCTTTTCTGTAAATCCTCATTTTAATTTCAATAAAGTTATTTAAATAAAATATTAATCTTAATATTAATATTTATTAAATTATGTTACATAACTTTCAAATTGTGCAATCTAATTCGGTGCTTATTATTAATGTTTTTAATAGACATAAAAATACTGCAAAATCGGAATTTTAACTTAGTTATATTTAATTAATTTTAGCAATTACATTTGAAAGAAATATAAGCATAGATAGAAGATAAAAAATTTTTATTATTAAATTGACGTTTTCAATAAATTCGCGTCTAACATGTGTTTCTTCCAATCAACGCGATAAGTTTTAATATTAACAAATTAAATTATTATTTTATTTGTCTCTATTATATATCGTTCCTTAGTATTCTTTAATAATAAATGTCGATTCTATTTTAGCAAAATAAAATTTGTACAACAGTGTTGCAACATTTTCGAAAAAGATATAGAAATCCGTTATACTGAAATCGGAAAAGAATTAATATATCTGAAAAACTTATATATGCACATTAAATTAAATTATATATACATATGGAGATGTATGTATGTTAATATTCTCTCTATGATAGCTTTTTGAATATTAATTTTATACTGTCATATCGTTATAAAAGAGAATTCATATCGATATAATATTATTTTTGGATAGAAACTAATATGTGTATCACCAGAGTTGAAATATTTATAATACTTTCCATTAAAATCTAAAGCGTGCACAATCTTGTCCTTTTTCACAATTAGTGGTTTGTTGCCACAATCACCTGTTTATAACACCATAATATAAGTAACAATATAAATAAAATCATGAATAAAAAATCATGAATAAAATCATGAATATAATCATGAATATAATCATGAATGAAAAAGAAACAATATAATAATAAAAAGAAAGAAAAAAAGGAGATAAATATCATACCGTATACCATAACCATACGAATTTTCATGATAAATTCGTGCTTTAATAGGCTCAAAATTGGCAAGTTTCTGAATTCCGGAGGATACAGTTTCTTCGCGAGATCGTATGGCGCCTCGCATGGCACGTTTCTTTTCTCCTCCTTCAGCATCTCTCTACGAATAGTTGATAACTTTCAGTTTATTAATTGTTGACTTCACTTTAACTTTAATTAATTATGTATTTTATGTCGCGTATGTTTATATCCTGTTTTCTTCTTGCGGTATTATATTTTGCCGGCCGACATCTGCGATTATTTCGACATTGCTGTGCAGTAAACTTATATGCGCAAAAACGCATAAAAAAAAAAAGAAGATTTACCCTTTTTTGTTTACGCTTGTCATTAAATTTCTTTCCTGCACGTCTTCGTCTTCTCAGGTACAAAGTGACTTTTCCGACGTCGACACGTTGATAACGCGATATTTTCCGGCGCGGTTTCTGTGTTTTAAACCTCAGTTACCACTCATTTTTGGCTATCCTATTTCACCACTTATGGGTTAGAGTCACTTAGAGTTTTCTTTTGTTTTTATTTCTGGATCTAATAAAGCTATTTTAAAGTATTTTTTACAATCGATACGCCAGACAGTAAAAAAAAAGAATATATCGGTATAAATATTACCAGATTTTTACGACTTAAGATATTTAAGAAAAAATAAAAGTAATCCTCTAAAATTTCGAAAAATTATTTTTGATATGGGTTAACGTAACCCAGAGAGGTAACTGAGGATTAATATTATTGCCAGTACTGAAAATCTATAGCCGTTGACGAAAGTTAGTACTGAAAATCAACGCAGCCGTTGACGAAAGAATTTGATAACGTTGATGAAAAGTAAAACTGTATTATTATTTTTTTATGTTTGCTGTTAATGGTGATGCACATTTGCACATTAATTAAATATTCACAATATAAACTGATTGAAGACAATATGTATCACTCGTTCTTCGTAGTGCTCTCGACTGTGGTTCGATCACAAAGAGACGTAGTGCAATAATTGCATCGTTCGTTCCTTATCTGCGACAGCGGATATGATACAATAAATATATAATATACAGGGTGTTACTTAATTGGCGTCCACTATTTATGTAACAATGTTCATCGTGAACTGAGTCGAAAAGTCCTATACCATTTTCTTCTGTAAGGCATAATAGAGTAGTAATTTTTCAGTATCGTAGTAACGTTTTTTAATGCTCATCGAAACCTATAAAATTTCATTGTTCAATTTTGGAAAATAAAATTTTATAGTTTTCGACGTGCTCTATAGTTCTATAGCATAGTTCCAATTGTAAGCTGCCATTAAACATATATTTAACCATAGAAACTCGAATTTTCCAATATATGATAGAGTGGCCGTATTTCGAGCATTTTATTTATTGTAAAATAATTTTTGTACAGTCTTGGGCACGTACATTAATTATCCAAAGTGGTGCTGTCTATTTAAATATTTAAAACATTTTAGACAATTATGTAACCCTAAAAATTTATAGATAAATTAAATTATCGCTTTAAATGACTGTAACTAATTAAAAAATTAAAAAACGAGCTTTAAAAATATTAAAATTGTTTATTATCAAACTGAGGACCATTTAAAGGACGTATTCCCACATTTTGAAGCTTGCGCTTTTATTCTTATAATTAGTTTTCGTACAGAATTGTACGAGAATTATTATGCAATAAATAAAATGTTCGAAATACGGCCAGCTCATAATATGCGATATTCAAAAATTCAAGTTTTTATGTTTAAAAATATATATATGTAGGATTGTTAACTCTATGCGTTATTAATCATATGTTATTATAATTCGATGTATACGCGCAATTAGATAATATAATATGCGAGTCTTTCGAGGATTCGGGTTTTCGTCAACTCGAATTCCTTTGTAGAAAAACAAGAGTGGGGACGGGATCAGCTGAGCGGCTGAGCGACTTGTAAGAGAGACGAGAGGCAGTCCGCTATAAGCCTCGAAAGGAGAAACAAATAAAATTACAAACCCTGATTCTCTAGATATTTGTGCAGAATATATCTTATCTCCAATACCGAATCCTACATTTGGGGGCTCGTCCGATCTCATAAAACAAAGTGAAAAAGAGAGACTAAGACGGTAGACGAACGCAAAAGTAAAGACGGTAAAGACGAATTTTAAAACAACGAAGTGTAGTGAAAGTGTGTTACGACGATGGAGAATTTAGCACAGATTCCAGCGATAAGAGGAAAAATTAAGACGGCAACAAAGGCCACTATAACAGCATTACATAAACTTATCTTTGAAGAAGAAGGCGATCGAGGAAATCGACAGCGTATACGTGGATTCCCAGGTTTCGATTTTTGCAATGACTCAGAAGAATTTCGTGCTAAACTCGATTATACAAGAAGGCTAACTATCGGAGACTTGATATCAATCTGTAATCTCCTAGGTTTAGACTATACCGGGAATGCAGAGATATTAAGAGAACGCATAGTACAAACATTAATGGATATAAATTCTTTGCAACAAGTGGCAGTAATTTCTGACGACGACGACGATGGAGAGCCAGGGGATGATGACGTGGCGGTCAACGAGAGAGAGGCAAACATTAACAACATACAGGTTGACATTGGAAACAATGAGGCAGCGGCAATATTTCACGGTGAACAAGGACAAGAAAACAGAAATCACGTGAACGAAAATAATACAAGATTCACACTAAGTTATAAGGATGTCGAGGATTCGGTACCATCTTTTGACGGAGGTGATTCTTATTCCGTGCAGCGGTGGATATCAGATTTTGAAGACGCAGCGTCTATGTTCCAGTGGAATAATTTACAAAAATTAATTTTCGCAAAAAGATGTTTGAAAGGATTAGCGAAATTATTTGTTCAGAGTGAAGGTGTAATAAAGTCCTGGACGGAATTGAAGACGGCCTTAACGGAAGAATTTTCTATGAAAATTACCAGCGCGCAATTGCATAAAATGCTCCAAGAACGCAAAATGAAAAGAGAGGAATCCATAGAGGAATATTTTTTGGCAATGAAAGAATTGGCCTCCCGCGGTACTCTCGAAATGGATGCTCTGTTCGATTATGTAATAGATGGCATACAAGACGAAACTCATAACAAAATGATGTTATTTGGAGCCAAGACTATCAGAGAATTCAAGGAAAAATTAAGGACCTATGAAAAAATTAGAAAGGCCTACCACGACAAATCTACGAAGTATTCAAAGGACAAGAATGATAGACCAAGGCAAACATTCGGTAGCACAACACGAGGGGACGGCAAGGAAAGAGCAACGATTTCTGACAAACAAAAAACGGAGACTCGATGTTTCAACTGCGGCATATACGGACATCACTCTAAAGACTGTAAGAAAAAAGCGCTAGGTAAGAAATGCTTCAATTGTAACGAATTCGGTCACGTAGCAGCTAAGTGTTTGGCGCCAAAAAATTACGCGCGAGATTCTAAATCATCGACAGTTAATTTAGTGACGTATTCTCAAAGAATCGAACCGCTTAAAGAAATTTTTATAGACAATATTAAACTATTAGCGTTAATAGACACCGGTAGTCGTGTTAGCTTGATTCGCGAAAATATGTTTCGTAAATTGAAGGGAACGCTTGTACAGTGCGCGCGAACATTTCTCGGTTTCGGCAAGGGCGAATCTAAGTCGCTGGGATATTTTCAAACAATCATTTATATCGATCATGAAGATTATCCAATGACGTTATATGTTGTTCCTAGCGATGCGATGGAAGTCGATGTTGTTATCGGAAGAGACATACTTGAGATGGCTGTACTTAAATTTGATCAAAATAAGGTTATTATTACCAAAATTGTTCCTACAGTATTTATAGCGCATATAGATTTGCCGGAAGAAACAAGAGTTGATCTCGGACTTATTCGCGATGAGAAAATACGTGATCGAGTGGAACAATTAATTAATTCATATCAACCGAATATTTGCAAATCGACGGGTATTAAATTGAGTGTGTCTCTGAAGGATAGCAAACCGATTTCACAAAGACCGCGCAGACTGCCCGCACCGGATAAAAAAATCGTTGAAGAACAAGTAGCCGAGTGGCAAAAAAACGGAATTATTGAAGAGTGCTCTTCCGAATATGCGAGTCCAGTGGTAGTGGCAAAAAAGAAGGATGGTTCTCCGCGTGTATGTATCGACTATCGTCCGCTAAATAAAGTTATAGAAAAAGATAAGCATCCATTACCTTTAATCGAAGATCAAATAGACAAATTAAAAGACGCGCGTGTATTTAGTACATTAGATCTAAAAAATGGATTTTTCCATGTCACAGTAGATGAGTCAAGTCGTAAATATACGGCCTTTGTCACGCATGAGGGACAATATCAATTTTTGAAAGCGCCATTTGGACTTTGCAATTCTCCGCCAGCGTTTCAGCGATATATTAATCATATTTTTAGACCGTTAATTAATAGTAATATAATGACATTGTATTTAGATGATATTATAGTTATTGCTTCAAATTTTGCGGAAGCTTTAGCGAATTTAGAAATAGTATTAAGAACGGCGAGCGATTATGGTCTCGAATTTAATTTTAAGAAATGTAGATTTATGAAAACGCGTATAGAATTCTTAGGACAGATCGTAGAAAATGGTAATGTTTATCCTTCTCCAAGTAAAATAGAAGCTGTCATGCGCTTTCCAGAGCCAAAATCGGTTAAAGATGTTCAAAGTTTTCTTGGATTAACGGGTTACTTTCGTAAATTTATGCCGTCTTATTCCTTGATAGCTAAACCGTTGAGTGATTTATTGCGCGGAAATAATGTATTTTGCTTTAATGATGACGAAAGGCGTGCTTTTTGTGCTTTAAAGGAACTTTTGACTAAAGAACCTGTATTAAAAATATTTAATCCTGATAGTGAGGCAGAACTTCATACGGATGCATGTCGAAATGGTTTAGGAGCGATATTATTACAGCGATCTTCTCGCGAAGAAAGTCTTCATCCCGTATATTATTGGAGCCGCAAAACAACGGCTGCTGAAAGCAATTATAGAAGCTATGAATTGGAGGTTCTAGCTGTGATGGACGCCTTAAAGAAATTCCGTGTATATCTGCTAGGTTTGAAATTTAAAATTGTCACGGATTGTGCAGCCTTTACTCAGACAATGAATAAGAAAGACGTCTCAGCAAAGATTTGGCGATGGGCTGAACAAATTGAAGATTTTGACTATGTTTTAGAACACCGACCGGGCACACGCATGAAACATGTAGACGCAATCAGCCGAAGTTTTGTGATGACCATTACGGAGGATAGTTTAGTAGCTAAGATAAGAAAGCTACAAGAAGAAGATCCTGAATGCAACGCGATAACGGAGCGAATCAGAGATAAGCCCGCAGCAGAGTACTCCTTAAGAGGAGGACTAATTTATAAATTCGTTAAGGGCGTTGATCTTCTGATGATACCAGGGTCAATACATAACGAAATTATCCAAATAATACATCAAAAGGCTCATTATTCTTTGAAGAGAACGATGGACATCATACAAAAGGATTATTATATACCCGACTTAAAAGGAAAAGTAGAAGCATTTATTGGTTCCTGCATCCCGTGCATTCTCGCAAATAAAAAAGAAGGAAAAGCCGAGGGTTTTCTGCATCCTTTGCCAAAAGCCGACTTACCATTATATACATATCATGTAGATCATTTGGGCCCATTGGAATCAACTAGAAAAAATTACAATCATATCTTTGCAGTAATTGACAGTTTTACGAAGTTTGTATGGCTTTATCCTACGAAATCAACAACGTCACGAGAAGCAATAGCCAAATTGGAACTTCAAAAACAGATTTTTGGCAATCCAGTGCAAATAATTTCAGACAGAGGAACTGCGTTTTCTTCAGGAGAATTTTGCAATTATTGTAAAGAAGAAAAGATTAAGCACATAATGATAACTACAGGATTACCTAGAGCCAATGGTCAAATTGAAAGGCTTAACCGCAGTATTATTCCGATATTAACTAAATTGTCTCTCGAGGATCCAACAAAATGGTATCAACACATTCCCGCACTGCAAAATACGTTGAATTCTACGTATCACAGAAGTATCGATATGACTCCTTTCGAATTATTAGTAGGCGTAAAAATGAAATCTAAAGAGGACCTTCAATTAAAAAAATTAATAGAAGAGGCATTCCGTGAGCAATTTCAAGAAGATCGTGAAGCACATAGATTGAGAGCCAAAAGTCAAATTTTAAAAACGCAAGAGGAAAATCGTAAGACATATAACTTTCGACGCCGAGTACCTCGTAAATATATAGTAGGGGACCTCGTGGCTATTAAACGAACTCAAATGACTCCCAGACGAAAATTACGTGCGAAATATTTAGGGCCATATCGCGTAGAAAAAGCGAAAATTAATGATACATACGATGTAAAACGAATGCGATCGGGCGACGGCCCGATTACGACCAGCACATGTGCGGAATACTGTAATAACTGAACTAAACCTATCCTTATCGATTTCGGAGCGGTTCCTCCAGCGTCTGGTAGAATCTCTTGGTGTCAGGAAAGCCTCGTGAGCCTTAGAGATCCTTGAGAAGGCGCGTGGATGCAGCTTATTTCCGAAGGATATCGATACAAGGTAGGAATCTTGGAGTCAAGGGAGAATAACTTTGAGACATTATTGGAATGGTAAGTTAAGATATAATTCCTTCAAAATTAACTCGTTTACACAAATTATCACAATGACCCTCTTGCTCGCGCTATTACCTATCGCTCGCAAAACCCGAAGGAGAGTGTCTCCCTTCCGATGCCGTAAGAATCTCGTGGTCACGCTCTCGCGTGCGCGCGCATACGTGCTCACCATCCGGTATACTTTGGTGGCAGCACCGCACGGTTGACGTCAAACGTAAGTTCCGCTGACAGCCGCGCGCCTCTTACAACTCGGCCAGCCTGATTCTACTTCGCCTCGAAGTTTATTTGGCCTGATGACCTAATAGTAGTTGGTGCACAATTACAACGTAGTGTCGATTACGTCTTGCAGACTAGGGCGCCTCAGGTATGTATTTTATCTTCATTATACGACACGCTCGCGCCTCAAGTTACGAGATTACTGTCTTCCTAATTCTATTGATTACATTATTTACAATATTACTTTCTATAGCTTATTTATAAGAAGTTTAACGCGTTGCCTGCAATTTTAACGATATCATTATTATCTTATTCGCTTTCAAGGGTGGCTATCTTTATCCACGGTTTGATTCGGTCTGATGACAAGATAGTGTCCATCGGTTTTTGACTCAAATTGAACCCAGGTATATCTTGTACGACGTATCTATTGTACCCTAGTACTTTGGTTATAATATATGGCCCTTTGAATAGAGGTTTCAATTTAGAACTGATCCCCGCCTTATTCCTATCGTTTCTGATCATAACTTTGTCGCCTTTCTTATACTGCGACGGTCTGATACTATGTTTGTCACGGTATATTTTATTGTAATTTCTAATTATCTCGGTGGCTTGCAAAGCCGTATCTCTAACTCGTTCTCTTTCTACCTCTAGGTCCTGGTCAATTTTTACCAATGCTCTCGTGTGCTGTGCTACCTTACTGTCTGCATGGTTACGCTGATCGTAACCAAGCATGAGCTTCGATGGGGTGGATTTGATCACTGAATGGTGAGTATTATTTAAAACGTATTGCATTGTGTATAATCCCTTTTTCCACTCCTCCTGGTGATTTAGCAATTTTGTTAGCGACGATTTTAAAAATCTATTTACCCTTTCCACCATCCCATTGGCCCAAGGTGCCGCTACAGCTACTTTACGATGCTTTATTTGGCGCTTTTCTAAATATTCTGTCAGTTCTTTTGACGTGAAGGCTGATCCTCTATCAGAAACCAGCTCAGATGGTCTTCCGAATGTTGCAAAAATATTTTCTAGATTAGAAATGACTTCCTTTGTCCCTGTAGACCTAGTTGGAGACAACCATGTAAACCGAGAAAAAGCATCTATTAGTACTAACACATGTTTAAAATTGTCAGACGTTTCCTGGAGCGGACCATAATGATCCATATGAAGTAATTCCAGGGGCCCTTTAGGCAAAGGAAACAGCTGCGTTTCTCCTTCCCTACTGTGCCATGAACTATTAGCGGTGAGACACGTCAAACAATTTTCTAAATAGTCATGTACTCGCTTTCTCATCTGCGGGAACCAGTAATTTTGTTTAATTCCTTGTAACGTTTTTTCGAAACCATTATGAGCCATGTCGTCATGGTGCGCTCTCATAATACTTATTATCATAGATTCTGGCACTAGAAATTTTAGATCATTATCTAATTTTTTATAGACTAATCCGTCTACCAACGCGAATTTATCACTGGCTTCTGTTTCTAACTCGTTACTGATTTTCTGTATGGCAGGATCTGCCAACTGAAGGAACTCCAACCGTCTTTCTAACGGAAGCTCCTCTACCAAGGCTACGCTACGGCTCAGAGCATCTGCATGAGCCATTCTATTCCCTGGCCGGTGGGTGATATCAAAATCATAATTTTGCATCGCCAACGTCCATCTGGCTATTCTCGGATTCAGATTTGCTTTTTTAACCGCGTGAACTAATGCATTGCAATCTGTAACTATTATGAACTTTATTCCATATAAGTACAAGTGAAACCTTTCTACAGCCCTTACTATTGCTAACATCTCTAATTCGAAGCTATGATACTTTGTTTCAGCTGAGTTAGTCGCCTGACTGAAGTATGCAACCGGGGCCCATTTCCCGTCACCTTGTTTCTGCAGAAGGACCGCACCGATACCGGAGCTACATGCGTCTGTATGTAATTGCGTTTCCGCAGACGGACTGTACAACCTGAGGACCGGATAAGATGTTAGTTCGGCTTTTATTTTTTCGAAAGACTGTACGCATGCCTTATCAAAATTGTAATCCGCCCCTTTTTTAACAGGTTTTGTAAAGGTTTCGCCTTCTGTGCGTAATCCTTTACAAACTTTCTAAAATAATTCGCGAGCCCCAAGAATCTTTGCAATTGAAGTTTATCTCGGGGTTGCCTATAGTTTTTCACTGCCTCAGTATGACGGGGGCTTATCGTAACACCCTCGCCTGATATTACATACCCTAAGAACTCTACTTGTTTTCTTAAAAATTTACACTTTTGGTAATTTAACTCGAAGCCATACATCTTGAGCAGTACTAACACTTCCTCTAAAACTTCTAGGTTTTCCCGGATTGTCTTCGACGCGATCAACACGTCATCGATGTACACGAGTACCTTGTCTTGCCGAATCAGCGGGCTCAGTATCTGTATGAGTCTCTTTTGAAACTCGGCAGGAGACTCACAAAAACCAAACGGTAGGCGTTTAAATTCGAATTGACCCTCCGGGGTCGCGAATGATAAATATTTCCTCGAATCTTTATGTATCTTGATTTGATAAAAACTATCACGGAGGTCTAAAAGAGTGAAAATCTTTTTCTCGCCTAAACTCGCTAGACAATCCTCAATGATTGGAAAAGGGTACTTCTGTTTGTGTACCCGACTATTTAGTGGTCGCAGATCTACGCATAGCCTTGGCTGTCCATTCTTTTTTTTAACTAGGAGGACCCTCGCACAATAAGGCGATGCGCTCGGCTGGATCACCCCTCGTCTCAATAGGTCATCCGTGATTTCTCGCATTTGCTTTCTTTCCTGTAACGCAAACCGTCTCGGAGCGTACGCGAATACCGACGTATCCTTCACGTTGACCTGTACCGCATAGTCATCGTCGACCGGTACAATATCCCGATTTCTAACATTTAATATCAAATTCTGTAATTGTTGCTTTACTTTAAAATCGAAATCTATATTATTATCGCTTATTATTTGATTCAGATCGTCCGTTCTTTGTTCGTCGACGCACAAGGGCAGAAACGAAAACAAGTTTATCTTTTGTTCGATGTCCTTCGCCGCCGGATTATAGACCAAGGTAAGTTTGTTTTTGTACAGAAACTCGCGACCTATAATGATATCACCTTGGAACGACTCGCTATTCAAAACATGTAAATCGACCGAAAATTCCTTAGAATTCAATTTTTCTATTTTCAGCTTTAATGAGATTATGCCAAGAATCTGTAATTTTTCATTAGACAAATTACGCAAATTTGTTTCTACGCTTGCGATTTCGCTACCGCTCGGGTCGATATATTTTTTATACGCGCTCGCCTTAACGAAGGACACGGGGCTGCCGGTGTCCAACATCGCTAACAATTTTTCCGTTGTCCTTGACAGGCTTACTTGAATTAGTGGGTTATCCACGACCAGCTGTGAGCCGACCTCGTCAACGGCCGCAACCTCGTTCGCGTCGGCTGGGTCTAGATCTCTGCACGTCGCAGCCACCGTCGATGCGCTGGTCACCTTAGCCGCCGTTCTGCTCTCCTTCTTCCTCAGGGCCGGACAATCGAACCTTCGATGTCCTCGCTCCTTGCAATAGAAGCAAGTAGCATCAGCCCTGCACTGTTGATGACTGTGTCCTTTTTTTCCACAGTTTTTACAGCTGCTATCCATCTTGGCCTGCGACGAACTAGGGGCAGCCTTCCTTTCGACCTCCATCGTGCCCTGCGTGATCGTGCGCATTTTCTCTAGAAAGGAGTCCACGCTGCCGGCCGACAACGACAACGCTGTGGCCCTCAGGGACATCTGCTGGATGCCACTCACCAGGAGTTGGATACGGTCGTCCTCAGGAAGGTCCAGCCGGTGCATCAGAGACAGCTTCTCTAACGCGTACTCGTCGAAGGATTCCTTGGCAGGTAACCATTTTCTCGCCTCAATTCTCTGCATGGATCTAAAGAACGGAATCTTTCGATCAAATATCTTTATCATTTCTGCGCGCAGGCCTACCCATGATTCGACGGCCGTGTCACCCTGGACGTCGAACCAGCGGCGTGCGGACTTCGTGAGCTTGCTGGAGGCCGCCAGCAACGTCGCTCCGTCTGTCGCTCCGTGTACTTGGGCAACCTTGTCCACCCTCTTCACCCAGGCATGGACGTTGTTCTCCTCGGAGCCGGCGAACTCTGGAATCTGATGGGCCAGCGCCTGCACTGCGGATCCCGTTGACCACGATTCCGTAGACCGTCGGCCCGTCTCATCCGACGGGGAGTCCCTCGACAGCACCCGGTCGAGAGTCGCCGTCGGCGCCTCCCGCTGCCGTGAGACCTCCGCCTGCTGATCCACCAGTAGCTGGAGGATCTTCGTCAACTGTTGCTGCTGGCCCTGCATCACCAGCAACATCTGTTGCATCGGGTCCGCCTCCGTTGGCGTCTGCGGACCGGTGCGTGCCGGGGCCGCCTTTGCTGTCTTCGGTACGGCACCCGGCTGTTGCCTGGGAGCAGCTAGGTCCAGCATCTCCGCCATCGGCCCATGCCTTTCCAGATGTGTCATGATGGTATCGATGAGCGTGCTGCTGGTCCCGGTAATAGGCAGTCTATATCTGGCCGCCTCGTCTTTTAGTTCCTCGAGGGTAAGCCTCTCAAGACTTGCCCGATCCATTACCAGCTGCTTACGTGTCCGTACCATGCGCCGATCACGTGTTCGAATGTTCTCGAACCTTCCGGTCACACTACTCCGTTCCTGCAACACGGAGCAATCCTGCTGCCAATCCCACTTCTGAGATTGTAATAACTGAACTAAACCTATCCTTATCGATTTCGGAGCGGTTCCTCCAGCGTCTGGTAGAATCTCTTGGTGTCAGGAAAGCCTCGTGAGCCTTAGAGATCCTTGAGAAGGCGCGTGGATGCAGCTTATTTCCGAAGGATATCGATACAAGGTAGGAATCTTGGAGTCAAGGGAGAATAACTTTGAGACATTATTGGAATGGTAAGTTAAGATATAATTCCTTCAAAATTAACTCGTTTACACAAATTATCACAATGACCCTCTTGCTCGCGCTATTACCTATCGCTCGCAAAACCCGAAGGAGAGTGTCTCCCTTCCGATGCCGTAAGAATCTCGTGGTCACGCTCTCGCGTGCGCGCGCATACGTGCTCACCATCCGGTATACTTTGGTGGCAGCACCGCACGGTTGACGTCAAACGTAAGTTCCGCTGACAGCCGCGCGCCTCTTACAATACATGAAACCTTGGTCATAACGCTAGCAATCATTCGAGACGAATAATTTATCAGAATGGCCGATTGTAGGATTGTTAACTCTATGCGTTATTAATCATATGTTATTATAATTCGATGTATACGCGCAATTAGATAATATAATATGCGAGTCTTTCGAGGATTCGGGTTTTCGTCAACTCGAATTCCTTTGTAGAAAAACAAGAGTGGGGACGGGATCAGCTGAGCGGCTGAGCGACTTGTAAGAGAGACGAGAGGCAGTCCGCTATAAGCCTCGAAAGGAGAAACAAATGAAATTACAAACCCTGATGCTCTAGATATTTGTGCAGAATATATCTTATCTCCAATACCGAATCCTACAATTATGTTGTATTCTTTATTATCAAAATATAGATATAAGATATATATAAATATATAAATACATAGAAAGTGTGCAATATATGTATATTTTGCTTCTTAGTATTTAATAAATTGTTTTATAATATTAACATTATACAGACAAAATTTTAACATATTTTTATACATTATACTTTTTGAATTTAGGATATCACATTTTTCAAGCTCGGCGCATCTTACTGCAATAATAGATAAAGATACGCGTGTACAACTAGTGAGAATGGAAGATTGGGCTTCGGAAAAGCATTGTCCTCTTATTAAAGTAGCACGAAGTTATGAGTTGATGGGCAAAACAATAGTATGAGTAGAATATAGTAACACATTAAAAATTCGCTACGTTCCTGTATCTTATACTACGGAAATATCTCCCGATTTTGACAATTTTACTATGCATTATTTACCCGTGTCAAAGCATTTCTTATTTCCATTTGAAAAGGATGGTTGGGTGATATTCAATATACAACAAGTTGGTAAATATGAACAAATGAACTTATTATGATTTATTTCTCGCCTTTATTTTACACACACATAATTGACATAATTTTATATTCTTATTTATTTTATTCATTGTCCTATAAAAATTTGAGATATTCATTGTATAACTATAATAGTTTTAAAATGTTTTGTGTAATTTTCTGCATTATATATATATATAATATTACATTTAAGATAGGTAGGCGTTTTCTAAATAATACAATTCAATGTTAATGTATTTTTTTTTAATAATAGTAAAAATGATTAAAAAGAGAATTATATTTGAAAAATTATTAATAGTAAGTGCAGGTAACTTACAATTTTCGTAACGTTACATGTTACAGAAATTATATTGGTTAGCATAAACTAAATATTATTTTTGCATAACTAGAATCAATTTTATTTTATGGCATATAACAATATTTTACCCAGTTTATTTTCTCTTCTATTTGAAGTATTAAGATAACATTTTTATAATTACTTTTTTATATATAATAGTATTTTATTTATATATATATAAAATTTTTGATATGTTTTCAATTTATAATTTACATATGTAAACAAAAGTATAAAACAAAAATTGAAGTTTGAAAATAATTAAAAAATAAGTTTAAAAATATTAAATATTAATGATAAAATTATTCAAAACCATCAGAATTGATAAAATTTATTTACTATTCGACAGGATATTATCGCGTTAATTATGATGATGAGAATTGGCGAAGAATTTCACATTATCTCAACTCTGATGATTACACGAAAATTCATGTTCTTAATCGTGCCCAAATTATCGATGATGCATTTCATTTAATAATAGCAGGCCAACTCAACTCCCACATTTTCTGGGATCTCATAGTGTATTTGCATCGAGAAAGAGATTATGTGGCATGGTATCCTATGTTTAAAGCTATGGAATATATGTACGGTACTTTTTCATGGAAAACAATAGTTGAAAATATTACGGTAAATATTAATAAATTTCAATAAAAAATATTATATTTTAAATATTTGCATCTACACCCATTGATTACAAATTAGAAAAATATGTCCATCAATGATAAAAATTTACATACTATTACGTCGTAAACAAATGTGCAAACAAATTAAATTTGAATCATCACTCACTCGAAGAACTGTCCGAATAATTTATGATTTTTATTACTCCAAATATTAGCATATAACATTGTTATTGGATATATAGGAAAGTGCTTAAAATCTTTGTCAATGAATGCAATTATATTGGCTTTATATTAATATTACATAAAAAACCACTCCTCAATGTTTAAAGTCGACCAGACTGGCAATAATTTATTATAAATAATTATTTGAAATACAACAACGTTTCGGCTGTCATTGCAGCCCTTTTCAAGTACATCTATAAAAAGTTCAATCAAAATAATTATAATTTAATACACTTATTCGCAACAATTAATTATACATTTAAAAACAAAAATGTGTTACATACCAAATTTAAAACAGTAAATCAACTTCTATGCAAACTACCGACAATGTTAACGCTTGTTTTGATGAACAATGCAAGACTGACAGAAGTAAGCACATATTAAATAGATGTTAACTGTTCACAAGAATCTTAGTCACTAAGCGTTAAGAAGATAGAGACGAAACTAAATGTGTCTTTCGTAATTTAAATCGTCATAATAAAGTCAAATAAATAAAAATAAATAAATAGGTGGATATAAAAATAAAAATAAAATTAAAAGTAAAAATAAATATAAAACGACTTAAATAACGTCAAGAACACGATCATAAATCCCACTGAAATTCTCCGTATCTTTCTGTAAATTAATACTTTTTCCTTGTTTTTTTATGTAAAACATTTCTGCAATTTCTCTTTTTCTTGTCTGTTTTTCCTCATGCAGAATCACCGGAGAATCCCAACGGAACTCATGATCGTTGCAAGTCCGATGTAAACTAACGACAGAATGCAATGTCGTTATTTTGATTGAACTTTTTATAGATGTACTTGAAAAGGGCTGCAATGACAGCCGAAACGTTGTTGTATTTCAAATAATTATTTATAATAAATTATTGCCAGTCTGGTCGATTTTAAACATTGAGGAGTGGTTTTTATTAATTATTACTGGCAACCTTAAGGATTATTATTTATTTAATATTACATGTTGTAATTAAAAAAAATTGAACATATATATATTAATATATTTTAGAAAAATTTAATTATATATTTCAAAAAGATATATTTTATATCTTATTTAAAATAAAATATGATTCATAAATAGTTATGAAATTTTGATATCTATTAAATATTATAAAACATTTCGCACAAGTTAAACCATATTTTTGCGTACGTGTATAATACATACGTATATTTGCACGTACATATGTACGTGAATAGATAACGTTAGCGTCTATAAGAGTTGCATGTATGTTTTTTTCATAGAGAAAATTTGAAGAATCTATTGAAAAATAATAAAAAATTATAATAATTTTTAAATACATTTATAATATAAACAAATAAATATATATTTAACAATTTTTAGTATATAGTAACAAACGCATTACACAAGGTACTTGTAGAAATAAAATATGAAGAAATTGATGATACAGACGAACTTAGAATATGTTTACGACAAGAAGCTGCAAAATGGGCATGTTTTCTCGATAGTCCGACATGTAAGAAAAAGCCAACGATAAATTAGAACAACATGTCCAAGATCCTAAAAACACAAGTAACTATTGTTATATATTTTTAGACTTTCTTAATTAATTTCTTTTGAAGATATCGCCTACGATGTTTAAATGATTTGATCAAAAGATCCATATGCTAATTTTTAATAAGAAATTTAATTTTTTATACGTTTTAGACTTTTGCCATGGTGGAAGAAATGGACATATTGTAACGGTTTGATGATAACTAACAACATAGAGACTTGAGGATTAGTGTATAGTATAGGATATGGTATAGATTATGATCGTGATACATTTGACCCTAAATTTATAGAATACTTGGCCTGCTCTGAAGATGCAGATATAATTAAACACTATTAAAAATTAAAGCTCTTAAAAAACGAGAAATTCAATATCTTCTTTTTAGTTTCTTACATATTATTACAAAGCATGCGAAGAATCGCATTTACTGCGGTACATATTAAATAATTTTTGGACTTAAAACCAAAGTAATTTAATATATTTTTAATATATATTTTCTACAAAAATTATTATGTGTATTATATGTATTTGTTTTTTTGTTTTTAGACATGTTGATATACCTGCAGCATTTATTATTATCATTAATAATGTATATTCCGTAAATCAAACTCAGGTAAAAATTTTACATGTTTATATATGTATGTATATACAAAATGTGATAAGAATACAATATTAATAATTGTTATTTCATAATGTTAAATCATTTTGATAATGTTATATTAACGTTGTTTATTAATAATGTCAAAAATAATACATTTTAGGAAATAAACAGATACGTTCAATGGTTGAAATACTATAGAGACATATTTGTTAAAAAGGAAGAAAGGGTAAATTTGAAAAATATTATTATGAAAAACGAAAGAAAATGAAATATTGTTCCATTTTATTAATTTCTAATTATTAATTTTATATTTGTTTTGTTTATTATATGAAAAGTATATATTGATTTTATGGTGCAAATCTCTGTTTATATATATTAGGATATTATAACGCAGACTTCTGGCAAAATTGAAAGCAAAATATCAATTCGCAACAGTCAAATCGAAAACAAAAACGGTATTTTGATAGTATTTTCTATTGGTAAATGTAAAAAATTGCAGCTTTACATTGTGTGCGTGGATATACCTCATATTAATAATTTTTATATAATGTACTATTTATATTTTATTGCTTTATTATACTAGTATATATAGTTTTATTATTACTAGCTACATAATAATTACTATAATCTGTATTGTTAGATATAAAATAAAAATAAAATTGTATAAATATAAAAAAAAATATATATAAGTTTGTTTGTTAAATAATAAATGCACTATCTATAAATTTTGAATTACATATTGACTTGTTTTTAATTTTTTTTTTTTAATAAAAAAAAATGTTTACGCACATACACATACACATGTATTGTATAAACGTGTGTACCCTTACAAAAAAACTACCAGAATATAAAAAAATTACTGGTATAACAATAATATATTATAGAAAAAGTATTACTATATCAGTAATTTTTTGTACTTTTCTGGTTTTTTGTACGAATATAAATAACGAATTTCATTTAAATATTATAAAAATTTACAGCCAACATATTTATACTTATACGTATTATTAAATTTGTCATTATCATATGTATATATATATGCGTGTATATGTGTGTGTGTTTGCATATATAAAATAATAATATATATTATATATTATGTATATTATATATATATATATACAGATCATATTATATATTAATTATGTAATTAATCCAATACAATTTATAAATAAATAAATATATATGTATAAATAAATCATGTTTGTATAACTATGAGAATTAGTAAAATGTTAAAATTATATGTAAACTAATTATAATTATATGTGCTTACATGTTCAATACTTAAATATCTTTTTATTTAATATTTTACTATATAAAATTTGTGATTGATAAGCATTTTTAGTTTACAGTAAATCACATAACACAATTTCTCTCTCTCTCTCTCTCTCTCTCTCTCTCTCTCTCTCTCTCTCTCTCCCTCTATACCTCTAACCCAGTTACTCTTTTTTCTGTAAATTCTCATTTCAATAAAGTTATTTAAATAAAATATTAATCTTAATATTAATATTTATTAAATTATGTTACATAACTTCCAAATTGTGCAATTTAATTCGGCGCTTATTACTAATGTTTTTAATAGCATATATATATATATATATATATATATATATATAAACATATATATATACAGGGTGTTCGGTAACAGGTGGGCCAAAATGTAAGAAGTGATTCTACATAATAAAATAAGACGAAAATCAAGAATGACAAAATTGCGTCCGAGACTTTGTTTATTAATTATAAATATTTTAAACTTCGCATTAAGGGCGCCTGACGCATGGCAATTTTCCGATATTTGCGTGCGTAAGGTACATCGGTAGAGTCGCCGTCAAAATACACTGTAACGCATATATATATACATAAACGACCTTACATGTTTTGTTGACCAAACACATCATATTTGTCATGATGACACGTACAGAGAATCAGTCAGTATTTCGTAGTCTGTCGGACCACATCGTGGTAGATATAATACTTTTAATAAAGCGTGTGTGAATATATTACATTCTTTCATCATTGCGTGCGGCTAGTATTAATTTGTTGGAGCTAATTGTTAAAAAAGTATATTTTTTATCAATATATATACTTTTACAATTAAATATTGTTTCGAAATAAACGGTAAGTCAGAATAAGTTAACAATATTAAAATATATGTATATTTGTCCACAAATACAAAATAATTTAATCATACTGTATTACGGATTTTTAAAGAATTACAAACGCGTATAAATATATAAAGAGAATAATTTTATTCTAAATCATCTTTATTTAATGCAGATTATTTTAAATAATATTGATAATATAATATTTTATATATACGAATTGTAATGTTGTAACATTCTGGAACTCACAAAAGATGATATCAAATAAATTATTTCTGAAACTTAAAAATACTGCAATTTACATAACGGATCATAAATATTATAATAAACACTTTTAATTATTTTTTTATTTCTATATAATTAAAATTCTGTTTTCTAAAATTTGTCGTACTTTTTATTTTTTATAAAAAATATCTGTGTGTATTTAATACTTAAATAACTATAAAATACTCTTTATGCTGTGCTGACATTGAGTAAATTAATTTTAAAAACAAAAACAAATCAATTATTAATATTTTTGTTGTGTGTTGAAGATCATATATGTAATTAACTTTGTATGCCTTTTATAGAAAAGGATCCGTGGCAAATTTAATACTTTAATTGATACTTAAGTAATTCTGACACTAAATAGAATACTGTGTACAAAAGAAATAATCGTGGATGTTAATTTTCATTAAAAATAATTAATATGAGTAAGATAAACAGAATTATTAAGAATTATTGTGAGATAATTATTACAATTATAAAATTAAAACAATTATTAAAATAAAATTATTGGAAACAATGTGTATATTACGAGATATTAGACCATATTTTTTACAACCATGTTTTTTGAAATAAGTAATATAAATTTGTAAATAATGCATATTTAATTGATAAATTGGGCAAAATTTGAATATGTTTAATTAAGACAACAGTTATACACAAATGCCTCCACACACACAGAAACACAAACATATATAAACGACTTCAGAAGTTTTGTTGCTCTAACACATCATATTTATCATGATGAAATGTTGAGAGAATCAGTCGGTTTATCATGGTCTTTCGAACCATATCGTGGTAAATATAATACTTGTAATAAAGTGTGTGTGAATATATTATATTCTTCCAACATTGTGTGCTGCTAAAGTATTAATTTGTAGCAATTAGTTGTTTAAAAATATAATTTTTATCAACGTACTTTTGCAAGTATACTGTTCCGAAAAATAGAGTAAGTCAGAATAAGTTAAAAAAATATATAAATGTATATATTTATCTAAAAAAAGATTAATCTTACAGCCTAACAGAATATTAAAGAATTATCAATTTCTAAAAATTATCAATCTACTAATTGTCAATCGAATGAAAAATTCATATTATATATTTCATGCAATTGTTAACTCCACATCTATTTTGATGTCTTCAATCAGGAATATCTACAAAAATCCTATTATATATACAGAATGTTCTGGAACTAGTAATCAATCTGTTAATAGTAGATTCCAGGGATCATTTGGAGTCGATATATTCTCTGTGAGAATGTCGAGGGAGGCAATCATATTTGCATGTTCTCAAATTTGCCATCATGTATCTTTTGCAATTAAGCCTTGAATTAAAGTTTTGTTAAAAGTAAACCTTACTTCAAATTTAATGACAAATGTGATTTTGTTAATATTTTATTTCCACAAGGCTTAGTTTGCGAGAAACCATTTATTTATAATAACTTATAACTATAAATTTATTATTACTTCGACAATTTTACTAAAAGAAAAATTGACTAATAAATGATATCAGATATCTGCTATTAATAGCTTCATTGCTAGTACTGGGATACCTTGTATATATGTATATAATTTTTATTATCAAGTTTATAATTCATACAATTTAAAATTGATTTTATGTTGGTTTTATTATCGGTGATTTTTGGAGTTTATAATATATAATTTAAGAAATGAAATAACACAAACCTCTAAATGAAAATAATAATAAATATGTGCTCTCTGTCACCGCTGCTTAGTCCTTCTTATCCTGTTATTGTCTTCTTCTTATTTTGAATAAACATACAGGTTCTCATGTAGGTAAATCAATATCAATAACTCGCGCAAAGCGCGCTTGTATTATCTGGCACATTACAAAAATTCAGAAATGAAAGTTATACACATAATTAAAATTCAGCAAATCAAAATTATGTATATAATTATAAAGACATTCGAAAATTAAAATAGAAGTGCAAATGGAAAATAATAATGTACCATATGCTCTCTTTCTTTCTCTTTCTCTCCTCTCTCTCTCTCTCTCTCTCTCTCTCTCTTTTTCTTTCTCTGTTTCTCTCTTATTTTCTTTGTCACCGTTGCTCAGTCTTATCCTTACGGTCTTCTTCTTATTTCGAATAAACACACATATATAAATTGATTAGAAAAAGAAATTGTGCAAATAGAGAAATTTGCACATAAATTTTATCTTTACCATATAATATTTCATTAACTAGAATGGTTTTTAATTAATAATTTTAATACGTTTTGCATTTAAATTATTTTCTTGTTTTTATTTCTTTGTGCATCAAAGACAGAATTTGCTTATAGTGCTGAAAGCGTCAAAGCGAACACAGCCTAATGTTACATTAATAGCATCATACATATTTGCCATCGCGAAAGCTAACAATTTAACAGTTGTAAAATAATTAATAGAAATAATATCACTTGCGCGAGGCGCTCTTGAGTCGTCTAGTGATTTGAAAAAGACATCAAAACTACATATAATTTCTATATTTATTTTTTGTTTAGAAGATCTAAAATAAATATTGTCTTCCCGACATGATGATATTTTTAAAACTATTATTAATAAGTAGCGGATTAATGTTTATCTCTGAGGCGGCTTCTATTCATAATGAATCATCTTTATGCTACCAACCATCAAAATACATAAAACCGATCCATTACGATATCAAGCTTATATCATGTATTGAAGGACATATTTTCTATGGAGAATACAATATCAGCATAAGCATTCTTAACAAAACGCAACAAATATTTTTACAATCAGAAAAATTAAGTATTAAAGATATAGTTTTATTTACAAATGTAAAAAAATATCATGAGTATGATAAAGATACAGTTTATAAACTGACATATAATATTGTAGAAGACACAATTAATATTTCGTTAATAGCTGAGTTATCACCAGGAAATTACATTTTAAATATAAAATATCATGGTATTGCTGATGAAGTTTTTAGAATTTACGACGTGAAAGGAAAAATTGCGTAAGTAAATAATATGTTTATTAAAAAAGTACAATGTGCAATTACATAGAACGTTGTAATTAATATATTTTATTTATGTATTAAATGTTTCAAACATTATTATATATCATGTAATTTAAATATAAATACGTTCAATCTTTATCTTTTATGCATATTATTACATATAATACTTATACGTTTTTTAATTCTCAATATTTTTATGCTTATTAAAAATGTTTCATTAATCTATGTTCTTTGAAATGTATAGCTGGGTAGCTGATATTCATTTCCATATAATATGCACGCGTCAAAGGTTTTCATGCTGGGATGAACAGAATTTATTGTTAAAAACAACCTTTAACATATCTGTAGGATGTAATCAATGTACGGCTTTGTCAAATATGCCATTGCAAAATGTGGAAGAAAATGAGTACAAAGTGTTATGGACACACTTCGCTACCACATCTGCAATGTCGCCTTATCTTGTAACAATGATTGTGTCTAATTTCCTATCACGTATTGATTATGACAATCAAAACATTCAAATGTGGTGCAATAACGAATATGAGTTTCACATGAAATTTGCAAAAAATTTTGCTGAAAATATCACGTTGTTGCTTAAAAATAAATGGAATTTACGTTCAAAGCAAATTTTAAACGTGACTCATATTGCAATTCCAAATTTCCATGACAATGGCATAATAGATATCGGACTTGTTTTTTATAAGTGAGTACAAGTGCTTAAAATTATATTAAAAATAAAATTATATTAATATGCAAAATCATAAAATTTAAAAGCACGTATAACTTTTGCTTCTGTTAACGTTCGAAATAAGTTACAGTATATCGGTTTAATACGTACATAAAGGGTAAACTATGTATGCTAAATCGTACCCCCTAAGGTAGATGTTAAAACTGCAATAAAGCTATAAAAGAAATGACATTTTTTTACTTATTTCAGACTAATGTTTTCTGTCAACGATATACACATTAGCAGAAATTTATCGTTGTTGCATATTGTAATTAAAAAATAAAAATGTTATTTGGTACGATTTATACTGATTTGCTCAATTGTACTCATAAGTTTGTAAATCGTACATATAACAATTAAATTAAAATTTTGCAACAAAAATAAAGTTTTATTTAAGTTATGAGTCTTTACATTTAAATATAATTTTCAGGGAAACAGATATCATCTACGATAAAAATTTATATCCTATTAGTCACAAAATCGAAGTAGCTCAATTAATAGGACGTAAAGTAATAGAGGAATGGTTTAATATCCCGTTGAATAGTCTGTTAATGTCGAATTTTCTGATTAAAAGAGGTTTTAATGCATTATTTGCAATGTATGCTGTTAATATGGTACGTCATATCAAATATTTTAAACGCTATCTCGCTCCCACCTTCTCGCAAATAATGTAATACTGAAGCATTCATATTGCAAGATTTTATTAAATCAAACATTTTTCAAAATCTACATGCATATTCTTTGTGAATTGTCTTGAAAACATATTTAGCATTATTTAAAATAATAAATTTTTTTTAGAAAATACTTTTTTCACATGTTAACATGCATATATAATTATAATTTAATTTATTAAAATTTTTATCTTTTAACACCATTTTATTAAATATTTTAAAATATTTGTAATATAAAATATAATAAATTAATCACAAACAAGTACACATAATATACATTTAAATAAATTTGCAGACTTTTTTTTAAAATAAAGAGATGTCTGCAATATAATATCATGAGACAATAGTTTAAAAAGTATATAATATATATTATTTAATTATATTAACATAAAATTCTAGATTTATTTATTATATTTGTTTTAATGTGTGTTTTTCAAAATGTGAAAGTGTTTTGTTTCAACAATAAAGTAACGGAAATAATATTTAGTATTTGTATTTAATGCAAGTATATTTAGTACGGTTATATCGATATATTAATTTTTTTTATAGAGTTATCCAGATTCTCGAATAGGAAATTTATTTGTTGTTCAAAATCAACATTACTCTTTTAATTTGGATGATTATTTGTGGAATTGGTATTATTATATGGGGAATTCTACTTTAAAAGTTCACGGATTATTGGAAATTCCCAATTCTATCAGAGGTATACCTAATATAATAATAAAATAGCCAGCTTAAATTTTTAACTGTTAGTATTTAAAAAATGTGTAAAATTACAATATAAATAATTTTTTTTTTATCTGGATTTTAATTAAGTATTATATTTATAAAAGTATACACATACGAGCGCATACGCCGACGCACATATACATATAAATAAAGGAAATTAATTAAATGATTTTTTTAAAGCTTAGCTGTCTTCGTAGGTATTAACGAAAAATGTACTTATAAAATAGAATAGAATAATAAAAGATGCGGCTATAAAAAATATTCTATTCTTACGCGATTACAACCCTGTGTACATACATAATATTTATTTTAAAAAATCACTATGTTTACATGTAACCTTTACAGTAAATATGTATTTATAATATATCTAATTCATAATTTTGATGTAAATCATAGCAACTTTTATGCTGCGCATGATGGAACACTTATTCACAGGAGGAACATTGCAGAAATTAATGAGCTCATATCACGAGTGAGTAATAGAATATAGAATTCTTTTTGTAAAAAAAGGCATGTTAAGTCGATTCTTGCATGTATTTTTGTTTCTTTTCTGCGTTGGTTGTCTCGATTTGCATTGTGTGTTATATTCATATCAAACAGCTGTTATTGCGAAAGTTAATAGTTTGATAGTTGTTTAAAATAATATATATCAAATCAAAGCACACCAAATTATTGTTTCGCGCGCGAAGCGCGCGCTTGTGTTGTCTAGTATGTCATAAAATTAATATTGTACTACGTAAATAATTTAGAATAATTTAGAATAATCAAAGTTTTATATTATGTCCCTTATCTTCTTTTGTTTTTTCTGACAATATTTTATAATGTTTTTCTCTCAGTGTTACAATTCCGCTTTTCTTCTGCATCTTCTTCTAGAATTATTTTAATATTTCATTACTTTTCCTATAAAAACTGATTCTCCAGAAAGAAATTGTTGTTTTATCGTTATCACTTTTTTATTTACATATTCATTGATTCATTTTTGTTTTATTATTTGTTATTTTTTAAATAATTTTTCAAATTATTTTTCTTTTTCTTTCTTCTTTTATTTCTTTATATCGTCTATAATTCTTATAATATCTATTTCTTTAAATTGCATTTTGTGCTACATTGGTTTCTAATTTTATTTAACAAGTTTTTAAATATGTAACACTTATATCTATTTTCCATTACTTTCCCTATTTTTATTATCTTCTTTCAAAAATCGATCTCCTTTATATTATTTTACATTTTTGTTTTGTTTAACTTTTTATTTGTTTTATTTCTTTATTTAACCGTTTTATACTCTCTCAAAACTTTGTTGAAATATAATCTGTATTAATGCTAATAATGCGTAAAAAATTAAATAAAATTATTAAATATTATTTAAAATGATATTGTGTATTTTTTATTATCAGAATATAGATATAAGATATATAAAATATACATAGAAATGTGCAATATATGTAAGCTTTGCTTACTTAGTATTTATTAAATTGTTTTATAATATTAACGTTATACAGACAACATTTTAACATATTTTTATATATTTTAATATTTTGTGAATTTAGGCTATCACATCGTTTAAGCTCTGTGGGTCTTGAGTTAAATGTTACTGAATCATTAAATCAATATATGCATTATGAAATACCGAGAATAAAAGATTGGGCTTTGCAAAAGCGTTGCCCTCTCATTAGAGTAGAACGAGGTTATAATGATTCTAGGGGCCAAACACTATTAAGGATACAATATACTCGTACTGACAAAATAAAACTTCGTGACATTCCACTAACTTTTACTACGGAAACATCTCCCAATTTTGACAATTTCATTACTCAATTTTTATCCGTGTCACAAATTTCAAATTACCATTTAAAGAGAATGGTTGGGTGATATTCAATATACAACAAGTTGGTAAGTATCGACGAATGAACTTATTATGATTATTACTCGTCTTTATTTTACACACACATAATTGATATAATTTTATATTCTTGTCTATTTTATTCATTGTCTTATAAAAATCTGAGATATTTATTATATAATCAAAATATTTTTAAAATGTTTTATGTTATCTGCATTATATATATATATATATATATATATATATATATATATATGTATATATAATATATTTAAAATTTAGGTAAGCGTTTTTTAAATAATTTAATTTAATATTAATGTTATATTTACAAATACTTTATTCTAATAATAGTAAAAATTATTAAAAGGATAATTATATTTATAAAATTAATAATCATAAGTCAAGGTAACATACAATTTTCGTAACGCTACATGTTACATAAATTATATTGGTTAACATAAAATCATTATTATTTATATATAACTAGAATCAATTTAATTTTATGATATATAACAATATCTTACAGTTTTATTTTCTCTACTATTAGAAGTATTAAAATGACATTTATAATTATTTTTTTATATGTATTTGCATTTTATTTATATGTATAAAATTTTTTATATGTTTTTAATTAGAATTTATATAAACAAATGTATGAAACAAAAATTGATCTTCGAAATAGGTATATTAATGATAAAAATATTCAAAACAATAAAAATTGATAAAATTTATTTATTACTCGACAGGATATTATCGCGTTAACTATGATGATGAGAATTGGCGAAGAATTTCAAATTATCTAAACTCTGATAATTACATGAAAATTCATGTTCTTAATCGTGCCCAAATTATCGATGATGCATTTCATTTAATGATAGTAAGCCAACTTAACTGCCATATATTCTGGGATCTCATAAAGTATTTACATCGAGAAGAAGATTATGTGGCATGGTATCCTATGTTTAAAGCTATGGAATACATGTATGGTACTTTTCCATGGAAAGAAATGGTTGGAAATGTTACGGTAAATATTAATAAATTTCAATAAAAATATTATATTTTAAATATTTGCATCTACACCCATTGATCACAAATTAGAAAAATACGTCCATCAACGATAAAATTTACATACTGTTGCGTCGCAAACAAATATACAAACAAATTCAGTTTGAATAATCACTCACCCGAAGAACTGTTCGAAAAGTCTGATTTTCATTACTCCAAATATTATTGATATATAACATTGTTATTAGATATATAGCAAGGTGCTTAAAATCTTTCTCAATGAATGCAATTATAATGGCTTTATATCAATATTACATGTTGTAATTTAAAAAAATTAAACATATATGTAATTGGAAAATATTAATTATATATTTCAAAAATCCATATTCTATACCTTATTTAAAAATAAAATATGATTAAGTAATAGTTATGAAATTTTAATATCTATTAAATATTAAAAAACATTTCGCACAAGTTAAACCATATTTTTGCGTACGTGTATAATACATACGTATATTTGCACGTACATATGTACGTGAATAGATAAACGTTAGCGTCTATAAGTGAATTGTATGTATGTTTATTTCATAGAGAAAATTTTATTAATCTATTAAAAAATAATAAAAAAATATTTGTTATATTTTAAATACATTTATAATATGAACAAATACATATGTATTTAACAATTTTTAGTTTAGAATAAGGCACACATTATACAAGGTACTTGAAAGAATCAAATATGAAGAAATTGATGATACAGACGAACTTAGAATATGTTTACGACAAGAAGCTGCAAGATGGGCATGTTTTCTCGATAGTCCGACATGTAAGAAAAAAGCCAACGATAAATTAGAACAACATGTCCAAGATCCTAAAAAACACAAGTAAATATTGTTATATACTTTTAGACTTTCTTAATTAATTTCTTTTGAAGATATCGCCTACGATATTTAAATGATTTGATCAAAAGATCCATATGCTAATTTTTAATAAGAAAATTTAATTTTTTTATACGTTTTAGACTTTTGCCATGGTGGAAAAAATGGACATATTGTAACGGTTTGATGATAACTAACAACATAGAGACTTGGGGATTAGTGTATAGTATAGGATATGGTATAGATTATGATCGTGATACATTTGACCCTAAATTTATAGAATACTTGGCCTGCTCTGAAGATGCAGATATAATTAAACACTATTCAAAAATTAACGCTCTTAAAAACGAGAAATTCAATATCTTCTTTTTAGTTTCTTACATATTATTACAAAGCATGCGAAGAATCGCATTTTACTGCGGTACATATTAAATATTTTTTGGACTTAAAACCAAAGTAATTTGACATATTTTTATAAATATTTTTTACAAAAATTTATTATGTGTTTTTTATATATATATATATATATATATATATATATTTGTTTTTTTTGTTTTTAGACATGTTGATATACCTGCAGCATTTATTATTATCATTAATAACGTATATTCCGTAAATCAAACTCAGGTAAAAATTTTACATGTTTATATATGTATGTATATACAAAATGTGATAAGAATACAATATTAATAATTGTTATTTCATAATGTTAAATAATTTTGATAATGTTAATTACCGTTGTTTATTAATAATGTCAAAAATAATACATTTTAGGAAATAAACAGATACGTTCAATGGTTGAAATACTATAGAGACATATTTGGTAAAAAGGAAGAAAGGGTAAATTTGAAAAATATTATTATAAAGAACGAAAGAAAATGGAATATTGTTCCATTTTATTAATTTTTGAAAATTAATTTTATATTTGTTTTGTTTATTATATGAAAAGTATATATTGATTTTATTGTGCAAATCTCTGTTTATATATATTAGGATATTATAACGCAGACTTCTGGCAAAATTGAAAGCAAGATATCAATTCGCAACAGTCAAATCAAAAGACAAAGACAGTATTTTGATAGTATTTTCTATTGGTGAATGTAAAAAAAGTGCAGCTTTGCATTGTGTGCGTGGATATACTTCATATTAATAATTTTTATATAATGTACTATATATATTTTATTGCTTTATTACTAGTACATATAGTTTTATTATTTCTACTAGTTACATAATAATTACTATAAACTGTATTGTTAGATATAAAATAAAAATAAAATTGTATAAATATAAAAAAAATATATATAAATTTGTTTGTTAAATAATAAATGCACTATCTATTAATTTTGAATTACATATTGACTTGTTTTTAATTTTTTCTTTAAATTAATAAAAAAAAATTTTTACGCACATACACATACACATGTATTGTATATACTTGTGTACCCCAAAAAACTACAAGAATATGAAAAAATTACTGGTATAACAATAATATATTATAGAAAAAGTATTATTATATCAGTAATTTTTTCGTACTTTTCTGGTTTTTTTTGTACGGGTATAAATAACGAATTTTTATTTACACATTATAAAAATTTACAGCCAACATATTTATACTTATACGTATTATTAAATTTGTCATTATCATATGTAATATATATATATATATATATGCGTGTATATGTGTGTGTGTTTGCATATATATAATAATAATATATATTATATATTATGTATATTATATATATATATATATATAGATCATATTATATATTAATTATGTAATTAATCTAATACAATTTATATAAATAAATAAATATATATGTATAAATAAATCATGTTTGTATAACTATGAGAATTAGTAAAATGTTAAAATTATATGTAAACTAATTATAATTATATGTGCTTACATGTTCAATAATTAAATATCTTTTTTATTTTATATTTTACTATATAAAATTTGTGATTGATTAGCATTTTTTAGTTTACAATAAATCACATAACACAATTTTCTCTCTCTCTCTCTCTCTCCCTCTCTCTTTCTCTCTATCTTTCTCTCCCCCCGCCGTCCCTCTTCTTCTTGGGTAAATCCACATTTTAATTTTAATAAATTTAATTAAATAAAATATTAATCTTTATATTAATGTTTATTAAATTATATTACATAACTTTCAAATTGTTCATTATTATATCTAATTAATTTTAACAATCACATTTTAAAGAGATGTAAGCATATAGATCCAAGGAGAACAGAAAAGTCAAAATAATGTCAATTTGATGTCATATTGACTAAATATTGACCAAAAAATGACATAAATTTAGTCAATATGACATCAAATTGACATCATTTTGACCTTCTGTTCTTCTTGGAATCACACGAAAGAAAAAATTGATACGCTTGTATTATACTCTTTTCTTTTCTCTTTCTTTTTCGGTTTGCAAAATAGTGGACCATCTCATCTAATACTTTCACAGAAATGTTCTCTTTCCCTGTTTTGTTTGCACGATGATTGATGAGAGATGACTCGTTTCTCGTTTTTAAATTTCAGTCTGCATTTTTACAAACGATAGAGGATATACGATATTTTATATTTTTATTACGCAAATATGTATATGTATAGTTGATATAAATATACAAGAATATTTTTCGATAGAACTAAGATTTTCGCGTATTAAAACATCAAAACGTAATTTGTTCATTGAATTGACAGGTTAATAAAATAATTTATATAAAAAAGCGATTTGGATGTACGTATATTTAATTACGTTTGACTGACAAATCAATATAAAGAACGATGAAACTCACAGACAAAATTCTCGCGTATTAAACATCGACAGTGCGTGAGAAGTATAACAGCTAAAATCTGGACATCGCGAACGAAAAAAAATGCAAGTGCAAATGTTTCGAAACTTCTTGTACGAAGACAATTCCTGATGCAGAGGTTGTTTCTCTACAGAAAAAATGGTGCTGACGAAAAATCCGGAAGAATTCGCATAGACAAGAAAAAATAATAATAAAAATGTGATTCAAATTACTTAAATATAGAATATTATTATTTTTTATATTTTATAAATTATACATATATTTTAGCTTTAAGATTAATTGTAATATTCTTTATGGTAAATATGACTGATATATATATGTATATATATACATAAACGACCTTACAAGTTTTGTTGACCAAACACATCATATTGGCCATCATGACACGTACAGACAATCAGTCAGTCTTTCGTAGTCTGTCGAACGACATTGTGGTAGATATAATTCTTTTAACAAAGCGTGTGTGAATAAGTTATATTCTTCCAACATTGCGTGTTGCTAGTATTAATTTGTTGCAGTTAATTGTTAAAAAATATACTTTTTATCAATATACAATATACTTTGGCAGTTAAATACTGTTTTGATATAAACGGTGAGTCAGAATAAGTTAAAAATATTAAAATATATGTATATTTGTTCACAAATACAAAATAATTTAATCATATTGTATTACGAATTTTTAAAGAATTACAAACGTATAAATTTATAAAGAAAATAATTTTATTCTAAATCATCTTTATTTAATGCAGATTATTTTAAATAATATTGATAATATATTATTTTATATATACAAATTGTAATGTTGTAATAATCTGAAACTCACAAAAGTTTGATATCGAATAAATTATTTCTAAAACTTAATAATACTGCAATTTACATAACAAATAATAAATATTATAATAAACACTTTTAATTATTTTTTATTTCTATATAATTAGAATTCTGCTTTCTAAATTTGTTGTATTTTTATTTTTTATAAAAAATATCTATGTGTATTTTAATACCTAAAATAATCTCGAAGCTGTGCTGACATTTAGTAGAATAACTTTAACAAGAAAGAAGAATCAACTATTAATATTTTTGTTGTGTGTTGAAGATCATATATGTAATTAACTTTGCATTTCTTTTATAGAAAGAGATCCGTGGCTAATTTAATACTTTAATTGATAATTAAGTAAGTCTGACACTAAATAGAATACTGTACAAAGAAAAAAATCGTGGATGTTAACTTTCATTAAAAATAGTTAATATGAATAAAATAAACAAAATTATTATAAATTATTGTAAGATAATTATTACAATTATATAATTCAGACAATTTATTAAGATAAAATTATCGGAAGCGATGAGTATATTACGAGATATTAGACCATATTTTTGCGACCATGTTTTTTGAAATAAGTAATATAAATTTGTAAATAATGCATATTTATTTGATAAATTGGGCAAAATTTGAATATGTTTAATTAAGACAACAGTTATACACAAATGCCTCCACACACACACACACAAACATAAACATATATAAACGATCTCAAAAGTTTTGTTGCCCTAACACATCATATTTATCATGATAAAAAAACTGAAGTAGTTTACAAAATTAATTGTAAGGATTGCAACGTGTCATACATCGGACAAACAAAGAGACATCTTTGTACACGTGTAAAGGAACATTTCAGCAACATCAAAATGCATTCGAGTAATTTATCAGTTATCAGCAAACATAAAATTGAATTCGATCACGATTTTGACTGGACTTCGCCTGTTATTTTGCACAGTGAAAAACACGTAAGAAAACGAGAAATCGCTGAAATGTTTTTTATTAAGTAAAATAATAACGCTATTAATTTACAAAAGGATATCGACAATCTAAGTAATATCTACGACAAAATAATAAAGGTCGTTTAGTCTCCAATAATTCGTCTAGCAGTCTTGACGTGTTGTCAAACCGACACTAAGTTCGTTCTTGACATCTTAAAATTATAATTTTATTTTTATTTTTACAAGTAAGTTTCGCTTCTTTTTATCATTTTGTAATATTGTTAGTAAAGTAATTTTGTTTTTTATTGTATTAATCTCTGTCTATGTATATCTAGATCACTTGATAAAGACTCAAAAAAAAAGTCGAAACGTTGTGATTGAATAAATAATATTTGCCAGTACGGTCGAGAGAAGATTCTTACATTTTTTAAATTCTGTCTGGCGATTCTCAAATATCTACGTTCTTATTTTTTTATATGTATTTGCATTTTATTTATATGTATAAAATTTTCGATATGTTTTTAATTTATAATTTATATAAACAAAATATAAAACGAAAATTGAGTTGATTTAAAAATAATTAAAAATAGGTTTAAAAATATTAAATATTAATTATAAAATTATTAAAAACAATAAAAGTTAATAAAATTTATTTTCTATTTGACAGGATATTTCGCGTTGACTATGATGATGACAATTGGCGAAGAATTTCAAATTATCTAAACTCTGATAATTACATGAAAATTCATGTTCTTAATCGTGTCCAAATTATCGATGATGCATTTCATTTAATGATAGCAGGCCAACTTAACTGCCATATATTCTGGGATCTCATAAAATATTTGCATCGAGAAGAAGATTATGTGGCATGGTATCCTATGTTTAAAGCTATTGAATACATGTATGGTACTTTTCCATGGAAAAAAATGGTTGGAAATGTTACGGTAAATATTAATAAATTTCAATGAAAATATTACATTTTAAATATCTGCATTTCCTCATTGATCACAAATTAGAAAAATATGTTCATTAATGATAAAAATTTACATACTTTTGCGTCGCAAACAAATGTATAAACAAATTCAGTTTGAATAATCACTCACCCGAAGAACTGTCCGAAAAGTCTGATTTTCATTACTCTAAATATTGGCATATAACATTGTTATTGGATATATAGCAAAATGCTTAAAATCTTTGTCAATGAATGCAATTATATTGGGTTTATATCAATATTACATGTTGTAATTAAAAAGAAATTAAACATATATATAATAATATATTTGGAAAAATTTAATTATATATTTCAAAATAATATATTATTTATCTTATTTAAAAATAAAATATGATTATAAAATAATTATGAAACTTTAATATTTATTAAATATAAAACATTTCGCACAAGTTAAACCGTATGTTTGCGTACGTGTATAATACATACGTATATTTGCAAGTGCATATGTACGTGAATAGATAAACGTTAGCGTCTATAAGTGAATTTGTATGTATGTTTATTTCATCGAGAAAATTTTAATAATCTATTGGAAAATAATAAAAAAATATGATATATTTTAAATACATTTATAATATAAACAAATAAATATGTATTTAACAATTTTTAGTTTAGAATAAAGCACGCATTATACATGGTACTTAAAAAATCAAATATGAAGAAATTGATGATACAGACGAACTTAGAATATGTTTACGACAAGAAGCTGCAAGATGGGCATGTTTTCTCGGTGACTATTTTTGTATGAGAGAAGCGAAAAATAAATTAGTACATCATCTCCAAGATCATACAAAACACAAGTAAATTTTATTATATATATTTAGCCTTCCCTACATAATCAAATTCTCTTGTATGTATCGCCTACAATGTTTAAACGATTTGATCGAGAGATCCATATGATAATCTTTAATAAGAAAATTTAATTTTTATTATGCTATAGACTTTTGCCATGGTGGCAAGAATGGACATATTGTAACGGTTTGATGATAACTAACAACAAAACGATTTGGCGATTAGTGTATGATATAGGATATAAAAATTTAATCCTAAATTTATACAATATTTATCTTGCCCTGATAATGCTTATATGACTAGAGACTATTTACGATTTAAATCTATTACAGAACGAGAAAATCAATATGTTCTTACATACAGTCTCTTACATATTATTACGAAACATGCTAACGATCAAACTACACTGTTTTTTATATTAAATGATCTTTTGAACGTAAAACCAAAGTAATTTGACATATTTTTATAAATATTTTCTACAAAAATTTATTATGTGATTTTTATATATATGTATATATGCATATGTATGTATATGCATATATATATGTATATTTGTTTTTTCGTTTTTAGACATGTTCATATCACTGCAGCAATAATTATTATTATTAATAACGTATATTCCGTATATCGAACTCAGGTAAAAATTCACATGTTTATATATGTATGTATATACAAAATGTGTTAAAAATACAATATTAATAATTATTATTTAATGTTAAATAATTTTGATAATGTTACAACAACATTGTTTATTAGTAATATTAAATAATAATACATTTTAGGAAATAAACAGTTACGTTCAACGGTTGAAGGACAATGTACACAAAAATATTGATATGGAAACAAAGATAAATTTAAAAAATATTATTTTGGCAAGCGAAAGAAAACGAAATATTTTTCTATTTTATTAATTTCTGAATATGAATTTTATATTCGTTATGTTTCTTATATAAAGAGTATATATTGATTACATTATGCAAATCTTTGTTTATATATATTAGGATATCATAACGCAGAATTTCAACAAAATTGAAAGCAAGATATCAATTCGCAACAATCAAATCAAAAGACAAAGACAGTATTTTGATAGTATTTTCTATTATTAATAGAAAATACTAAAACGTAAAATAGTTGCAGCTTTGCATTGTGTACGAGGATATACTTCATATTAATAATTTTCTTTATTAATTAATACAATATAATATATAAATAAATAATTATATATGTATATATATATATAAAAAACATGTTTGTATAACTATAAGAATTAGTAAGATGTTAAAATTATATGTAAACTAATTATAATTAAATGTGCTTATATGTTCAATATTTAAATATCTTTTACATTTAATATGTTACTATATCAAATTTGTGATTGATTAGCTTTTTAGTTTACAATAAATCACATAACACAATCTCCCTCTCTCTCTTTCTCCTTCTCTACCCCTAACCACTTTACTCCTCTTTTCTGTAAATCCTCATTTTAATTTCAATAAAGTTATTTAAATAAAATATTAATCTTAATATTAATATTTATTAAATTATGTTACATAACTTTCAAATTGTGCAATCTAATTCGGTGCTTATTATTAATGTTTTTAATAGACATAAAAATACTGCAAAATCGGAATTTTAACTTAGTTATATTTAATTAATTTTTGCAATTTCATTTGAAAGAAATATAAGCATAGATAGAAGATAAAAATATATAAAAGTTTTATCATTAAATTGACGTTTTCAATAAATTCGCGTCTAACATATGTTTCTTCCAATCAACGCGATAAGTTTTAATATTAACAAATTAAATTATTATTTTATTTGTCTCTATTATATATCGTTCCTTAGTATTCTTTAATAATAAATGTCGATTCTATTTTAGCAAAATAAAATTTGTACAACAGTGTTGCAACATTTTCGAAAAAGATATAGAAATCCGTTATACTGAAATCGGAAAAGAATTAATATATCTGAAAAGCTTATATATGCACATTAAATTAAATTATATATACATATGGAGATGTATGTATGTTAATATTCTCTCTATGATAGCTTTTTGAATATTAATTTTATACTGTCATATCGTTATAAAAGAGAATTCATATCGATATAATATTATTTTTGGATAGAAACTAATATGTGTATCACCAGAGTTGAAATATTTATAATACTTTCCATTAAAATCTAAAGCGTGCACAATCTTGTCCTTTTTCACAATTAGTGGTTTGTTGCCACAATCACCTGTTTATAACACCATAATATAAGTAACAATATAAATAAAATCATGAATAAAAAATCATGAATAAAATCATGAATATAATCATGAATATAATCATGAATGAAAAAAGAAACAATATAATAATAAAAAGAAAGAAAAAAAGGAGATAAATATCATACCGTATACCATAACCATACGAATTTTCATGATAAATTCGTGCTTTAATAGGCTCAAAATTGGCAAGTTTCTGAATTCCGGAGAATACAGTTTCTTCGCGAGATCGTATGGCGCCTCGCATGGCACATTTCTTTTCTCTTCCTTCAGGATCTCTCTACGAATAGTTGATAACTTTTAGTTTATTTATTGTTCACTTTAACTTTAATTAATTATGTATTTTATGTCGCGTATGTTTATATCCTGTTTTCTACTTGCGGTATTATATTTTGCCGGCCGACATCTGCGATTATTTCGACATTGCTGTGCAGGAAACTTATATGCGCAAAAACGCATAAAAAAAAAAGATTTACCCTTTTTGTTTACGCTTGTCATTGAATTTCTTTCTTGCACGTCTTCGTCTTCTCAGGTACAAAGTGATTTTTCCGACGTCGACACGTTGATAACGCGATTTTTTCCGGCGCAGTTTCTGTGTTTTAAACCTCAGTTACCACTCATTTTTGGCTATCCTATTTCACCACTTATGGGTTAGAGTCACTTAGAGTTTTCTTTTGTCTTTATTTCTGGATCTAATAAAGCTATTTTAAAGTATTTTTTTACAATCGATACGCCAGACAGTAAAAAAAAAAGATATATCGGTATAAATATTACCAGATTTCTACGACTTAAGATATTTAAGAAAAAATGAAAAGTAATCCTCTAAAATTTTGAAAAAATTATTTTTGATATGGGTTAACGTAACCCAGAGAGGTAACTGAGGATTAATATTATTGCCAGTACTGAAAATATATAGCCGTTGACGAAAGTTAGTACTGAAAATCAACACAGCCATTGACGAAAGAATTTGATGACGTTGATGAAAAGTAAAACTGTATTATTATTTTTTTATGTTTGCTGTTGATGGTGATGCACATTTGCACATTAATTAAATATTCACAATATAAACTGATTGAAGACAATATGTATCACTCGTTCTTCGTAGTGCTCTCGACTGTGGTTCGATCACAAAGAAACGTAGTGCAATAATTGCATCGTTCGTTCCTTATCTGCGACAGCGGATATGATACAATAAATATATAATATACAGGGTGTTACCTTATTGGCGTCTACTATTTATATAACAATGTTCATCGTGAACTGAGTCGAAAAGTCCTATACCATTTTTTTCTGTAAGGCATAATAGAGTAGTAATTTTTCAGTAACGTAATAACGTTAATGCTCATCGAAACCTATAAAATTTCATTGTTTAATTTTGGAAAATAAAATTTTATAGTTTTCGACGTGCTCTATAGTTCTATAGCATAGTTCCAATTGTAGGCTGCCACTAAATATATATTTAACTATAGAAACTCGAATTTTCCAATATATGATAGAGTGGCCGTATTTCGAGCATTTATTTATTGTAAAATAATTTTTGTACAGTCTTGGGCACGTACATTAATTATCCAAAGTGGTGCTGTCTATTTAAATATTTAAAACATTTTAGACAATTATGTAACCCTAAAAATTTATAGACAAATTAAATTATCGCTTTAAATGACTCTAACTAATTAAAAAATTAAAAAACGAGCTTTAAAAATATTGAAATTTTTTATTATCAAACTGAGGACCATTTAAAGGACGTATTCCCACATTTTGAAGCTTGCGCTTTTATTCTTATAATTAGTTTTCGTACAGAATTGTACGAGAATTATTATGCAATAAATAAAATGTTCGAAATACGGCCAGCTCATAATATGCGATATTCAAAAATTCAAGTTTTTATGTTTAAAAATATATATATTTAGTGGCAGCCTACAGTCGGAACTGTGCTACAGAATTATAGAACTCATCGAAACCTGTAGAACTTCATTGTTCAAATTTGGAAAATGTGAAATGATGTGCTAACTTTCAATCCAGGTTAGATGTTAATTGTCCAAGTCAATGGTCAACGAAAACAATTCCTGAAATAGAGGTGGTTTTCTACAGAAAAATGATGCTTGCGAGGAATCCGGAAGAATACGCAGAGACAATTAAGAAGAAATAGTAATCGAAATGTGATTCAAATTATTTAAATATAGAATATTAATATTTTTATATTTATAATTATACATATATTTTAGTATTAAGATTAATTGTAATATTCTTTATGGTAAATGTGACTGATATATAATATATATATATATATATATATATATACTAATGGACCAACAATTACAAATGGATTTTTTGGTCAATTTGGGAACGATTTTTTCTCAGCGAAAATGTCGAAAAAGGTCATTATTTTTTACAACTTTTCAATATTTGTCATTATGTATCTTTATAACTAAGCCTCAAATTAAAATTTTATTATAATAAACTTTACCTGTAATAACTGAAAATGTATTTTAGTTAAACTCTTAACTTCAAAATGTTTAGTTTTCAAAAAACCCATTTTATTCAATCGCTTATAACTCAAAATCTCAACATTCTCAACATTTTTCTAAGGAAAAATCGTCTCCAAATTGGCCAGAGAATGCGCCCTTAATCATTGGTCCTTAATTATTGGACACTTTGTATATTTATATATACATATATATATATATATATATATACATGTTTTGTTGACCAAACACATCATGTTTGCCATGATGACACGTACAAAGAATCAGTCAGTATTTCGTAGTCGGTCGAACCACATCGTGGTAGATATAATACTTTAATAAAGCGTGTGTGAATATATTATATTCTTCCAACATTGCGTGCGGCTAGTATTAATTTGTTGCAGCTAATTGTTAAATAAATAAAATTTTTATCAATATATATATACTTTTACAATTAAATATTGTTTCGAAATAAAGGGTAAGTCAAAACAAGTTAAAAATGTAAAAATATATATATTTGTCCACAAAACACATCATATTTATGATGAAATGTTGAGAGAATCAGACAGTATTTCATGGTCTTTCGAGCCATATCGTGGTAGATATAATACTTGTAATAAAGTGTGTGTATATAAATATATTATATTCTTCCAACATTGTGTGATGCTAGAGTATTAATTTGTAGCAATTAGTTGTTTAAAAATATAATTTTTATCAACGTATTTTTGCAATTATACTGTTCCGAAATATAGAGTAAGTCAGAATAAGTTGAAAAAATTTATAATTGTATATATTTATCTACAAAAAGTTTAATCTTACAGCTTAACAGAATATTGAAAAATTTTCAATTTTAAAGAATTATTAATCTACTAATTGTCAATCGAATGAAAAATTCATAATATTATATATTTCATGCAATTGTTAACTCCACATCTATTTTGATGTCTTTAATCTGAAATATCTACAAAAATCCTATTATATATACAGAATGTTCCAGAACTAGTAATAAATCTGTTAATAGTAGATTCCAAGGATCATTTGGAGTCGATATTTCTTCTGTGAGAATGTCGAAAGGAAAGCAATCATTATATTTGCATGTTCTCAAATTTGCTATCATGTATCTTTTGTAATTAAGCCTTAAATTATAGTTCTGTTAAAAGTAAACCTTACTTCAAATTTAATGACCAATGTGAATTTGTTAATGTTTTATTTCCACAAGGCTTAGTTTGCGAGAAACCATTTATTTTTAATAACTTATAACTATAAATTTATTAGTACTTCGACAATTTCACTATAAGAAAAATTGACTAAAAAATGATATCAGGTATCTGCTATTAATAGCTTCATTGCCAGTACTGGGATATCTTGTATATATGTATATAATTTTTATTATCAAGTTTATAATTTATACAATTTAAAATTGATTTTACGTTGGTTTTATTATCGGTGATTTTTGGAGTTCATAATTTACACAATTTAAGAAGAGAAACAACACGGACTTCTAAAGGAAAATAATAATATACATGTGCTCTCTTTCTCTCTCTTTCTCTGTTTCTCTTTCTCCCTCTCTTATTGCCTTTGTCACCGCTGCTCAGTCTTTCTTATCCGTACGGTCTTCTTCTTATTTCGAATAAACACACAGGTTCTTATGTACGTAAAAATAACGGGTCTTGCGTTTATAAATGTAATTTGTTTCAGACATTTAACTTTATGTTCTATAAATCTTTATATTTTAATAACTTATTTTCTAATTTTATAGATTTTAAATGTATATTATTTTTGATCATGAAATAATCTTTTGTCAATTTAATTCTTTTATATTGCTGTCGATTACAATATATGCAACATTGAAATACACACACACACACACACCTATAAATTCATTAGAAAAATGAATTGTGCAAATAGAAATTTGCACATAAATTTTATCTTTACCATATAATATTAAATATTTCATTAACTAGGATGGCTTTTATTTAATAATTATAATACGTTTTGCATTTAAATTATTTTCTTGGATTTATTTTCTTGTGCACATCAAAGACAGAAAATGCTTATAGTGCTGAAAACCTCAAAGCGAACGCAGCCTATATGTTACATTAATAGCATCAAACAACTGCCATCGCGAAAACTAACAATTTAACAGTTGTAAAATAATTAATAGAAATAATATCACTTGCGCGAGGCGCTCTTGAGTCGTCTAGTGATTTGAAAAAGACATCAAAACTATATTTAATTTCTCTATTTATCTTTTGTTTAGCAGATCTAAAATAAATATTCTTTTCCCGACATAATGATATTTCTAAAACTATTATTAATAAGTAGCGGATTAATGTTTATCCCTGAGACGGCTTCTATTTGTAATGAATCATCTTTATGCTACCAACCATCAGAATATATAAAACCGATCCATTATGATATCAAGCTTATAACATATATTGAAGGACATATTTTCTATGGAGAATACAATATCAGCATAAGCATACTTAACCTAACGAAAAACATATATTTACAATTAGAAAAATTAAATATTCAAGATATAGTTTTATTTACAAATGAAAAATATCATGAGTATGATAAAGATATAGTTTATAAAGATACAGTTTATAAACTGACATATAATATTGTAGAAGACACAATTAATATTTCGTTAATGGCTGAGTTATCACCAGGAAATTACATTTTAAATATTAAATATCATGGTATTGCTGATGAAGTTTTAGAATTTACGACGTAAAAGGAAAAATTGCGTAAGTAAATAATATATGTTTATTAAAAAGGACAATGTGCAATTACATAAAACGTTGTAATTAATATATTTTATTTATGTATTAAATGTTTCAAAAATTATTATATATCATGGAATTAAATATAAAGACGTTCAATCTTTATCTTTAATGCATATTATTACATATTATATTTATACGTTTTTTAATTCCCAATATGTTTATGCTTGCTAAAAATGTTTCATTAATTTTTCCTTTATGAAATGTATAGTTGGGTAGCTGCTATTCATTTCCATATAATATGCCCTCGACGAAAGCTTTCATGCTGGGATGAACAGAATTTATTGTTAGAAGCAACCTTTAACATATCTATAGGATGTAATCAATGTACGGCTTTATCAAATATGCCATTGCAAAATGAGGAAGAAAATGAGTACAAAGTGTTATGGACACACTTCGCTACCACATCTGCAATGTCGCCTTATCTTGTAAGAATGATTGTGTCTAATTTCCTATCACGTATTGATTATGACAATCGAAACATTGAAATATGGTGCAGTAACGAATATGAGTTTCACATGAAATTTGCAAAACATTTTGCTGAAAATATCACGTTGTTGCTTAAAAATGAATGGAATTTACGTTCGAAGCAAATATTGAAGGTGACGCATGTTGCAATTCCCAATTTCCATGACAATGGCATAACAGATTTTGGACTTGTTTTATATAAGTGAGTACAAGTGCTTAAAGTTACATTAAAAATAAAATTATATTAGTATGCAAAATTGAAATATTTAAAACAAGTATAACTTTTGTTTCTGTAAACGTTCGAAAGTATAAGGAATTGCAAAAACGATTTTAGTAGAATTAAGTATATTCATATTATTACAAAGTTAAAGTATATCGTTTTAATACGTACATAAAAGATAATGTATGTATGTCAAATCGTACCCTTTAAGGTAGATATTAAAACTGCAATAAAGCTATAAAGGAATGACATTTTTTTATTTATTTCAAACTATTGTGCTTTGTCAACAATATATACATATTAACACAAATTTATAAATGTTAGATATTGTAAATTAGAAAATAAATAAATGTTATTTGGTACGATTTATATTGATTTGTTTATTTGTACTTATAAGTTTGTAATCGTACATATACATCAATTAAATTAAAATATTCTAACAAAAATAAAGTGTTATTTTTTATAAAATTTCTGAGTCTTTACATTAAATATAATTTACAGGGAAACAGATATCTTCTACGATAAAAAATTATATCCTATTACTCGCAAAATCGAAGTAGCTCAATTAGTAGGACGTAAAGTGATACAGGAATGGTTTAATATCCTGTTGAATAGTCTGTTAATGTCGAATTGTTTGATGAAAAAAGGTTTTAGTGCATGTTTGCAACGAATGCTGTTAATATGGTATGTTATTCTAAATATTTTCAACACTATCTCGCTCTCATCTTCTCGCAAACGATGTAATACTGAAGCATTCATATTGCAAGATTTTATTATATCAAACTTTTTTCAAAATTTATATGCATTGTTTGTGAATTGTCTTGAAAACATATTTAGCATTATTTAAAATAATGAACTGTTTTTTAGAAAATATTATTTTCACATCTTTACATGCATATACAATTATAATTTAATTTATTAAAATTTTTATTTTTTAACACCACTTTATTAAATATTTTTAAAATATAATTGTAATATAAATTGAAATAAATTAATCAAGAACCATTACACATGGTATTTATTGAAATAAATTTGATAAAGAGAAATCTGCATATAACACTATGAGACAATAATTTAAAAAATATGTAATTTGTTAATATTAATATAAAATTTTAGATTATACATTATTATATTTATTCATTATATTTATTAATGTGCGTAATATATTTGTTAATGTGTGTTTTTCAAAATGAGAAAGTGTTTTGTTACAACAATAAAGTAACTGTAATAATATTAGTATCTATTTGTATTGAATGCAAGTATCTTCAAAACGATTATATCAATATCTTAATTATTTTTTTCTATAGATTTATCCTGATTCTCGAATAGGAAATTTATTTGTAGTTCAAAGTCAACACTACTCTTTTAATTTAGATGGTGATTATTATATGTGGAATTCTGCTTTACAAGTTAACAGTTCATTGGAAATTCCCGATTTTATCAGAGGTATACCTAATATAATAAAATAGTCCGCGTAAATTTTTAACCGTTAAAATTTTTAAATATGTGTAAAATTAAAAGATAATTAATTCTCTCTTATCTGGATTTTAAATAAATATTATATTTATACAAGTAAACATATCGCGCGCGCACGCCCACGCACACGCACATACAAGTGTGTCCGATAATAGCCGCACATATCGTATGTAGGTAGAGGGAATTAATTGAATAATCCTTTAAAATTTTGCTATCTTCGTAGATATTAACAAAAATGTATTTATAAAATAAAATAATAAACGATGCTGCTATAACAAATATTTCATTCTTACGCGATTACTACTTTGTACACATATATAATATTAATTTAAATAATCACTATGTTTACAAGTAACCATTACAGTAAATATATATTTATAATATATCTAATTCATAATTTTGATGTAAATCGTAGCACCTTTTATACTGCGCATGATGGAACACTTACTCGCAGAAGGAACGTGGTTGAAATTCATGAGCCTTTATGACAAGTGAGTAATACAATATATATGGAATATAATATGAAAAAATTACAATTGTACAACATTAATATTTTATAATAATAGAAGTTTTATATAATGTCCCTTATCTTCTCTTGTTTTTTCTGATATTATTTTATAATGTTTTTTTCTTAGTGTTATAATTCCGCTTTTTTCTGCATCTTCTACTAGAATTATTTTTAATTTCCTTACTTTTCCTATGAAAATTGATTCTGCAGAAAGTAATTATTGTTTTATCGTTATCACATTTTCAATACATATTTATTGTTTCAGTTTTGTTTTATGAATTATTAGTGTGCACAAAGTGCAATTTAAAAAAACAAATATAAAAATTATAGAAAATCATATAAATTATTTAAAAAAATTATTTTTTTTATTATTCTTTTATTTCTTATATTGTCTATAATTTTTATATCTATTTTTTAAATTGCACTTTGTGTTACATTGGTTTTCTAATATTTAACAGGTTTTTAAATATGTAACACTTACATCTATTTTCCATCTTTCTCTATTTTTATTATCTTTTTATAAAAATCGATCTCCTTTATATTATTTTTCATATTTTTGTTTTGTCTTCAACTTCTTATTTGTTTTATTTTTTTATTTAATCAGTTTTATACAATCTCAATACTTTGCTAAATATAATCTGTATTAATGTTAATAATGCGTAAAAATTTAAATAAAATTATTAAATTTTATTTAAAATTATGTTGTATTCTTATTATCAAAATATAGATATAAGATATATATAAATATATAAATACATAGAAAGTGTGCAATATATGTATATTTTGCTTCTTAGTATTTAATAAATTGTTTTATAATATTAACATTATACAGACAAAATTTTAACATATTTTTATACATTATACTTTTTGAATTTAGGATATCACATTTTTCAAGCTCGGCGCATCTTACTGCAATAATAGATAAAGATACGCGTGTACAACTAGTGAGAATGGAAGATTGGGCTTCGGAAAAGCATTGTCCTCTTATTAAAGTAGCACGAAGTTATGAGTTGATGGGCAAAACAATAGTATGGGTAGAATATAGTAACACATTAAAAATTCGCTACGTTCCTGTATCTTATACTACGGAAATATCTCCCGATTTTGACAATTTTACTATGCATTTTTTACCCGTGTCAAAGCATTTCTTATTTCCATTTGAAAAGAATGGTTGGGTGATATTCAATATACAACAAGTTGGTAAATATGAACAAATGAACTTATTATGATTTATTTCTCGCCTTTATTTTACACACACATAATTGACATAATTTTATATTCTTATTTATTTTATTCATTGTCCTATAAAAATTTGAGATATTCATTGTATAACTATAATAGTTTTAAAATGTTTTGTGTAGTTTTCTGCATTATATATATATAATATATATAATATTACATTTAAGATAGGTAGGCGTTTTCTAAATAATACAATTCAATGTTAATGTATTTTTTTTAATAATAGTAAAAATGATTAAAAAAGAATTATATTTGAAAATTATTAATAGTAAGTGCAGGTAACTTACAATTTCGTAACGTTACATGTTACAGAAATTATATTGGTTAGCATAAACTAAATATTATTTTTGCATAACTAGAATCAATTTTATTTTATGGCATATAACAATATTTTACCCAGTTTATTTTCTCTTCTATTTGAAGTATTAAGATAACATTTTTATAATTACTTTTTATATATATAATAGTATTTTATTTATATATATATATAAAATTTTTGATATGTTTTCAATTTATAATTTACATATGTAAACAAAAGTATAAAACAAAAATTGAAGTTTGAAAATATTAAAAAATAAGTTTGAAAATATTAAATATTAATGATAAAATTATTCAAAACCATCAGAATTGATAAAATTTATTTACTATTCGACAGGATATTATCGCGTTAATTATGATGATGAGAATTGGCGAAGAATTTCACATTATCTAAACTCTGATGATTACACGAAAATTCATGTTCTTAATCGTGCCCAAATTATCGATGATGCATTTCATTTAATAATAGCAGGCCAACTCAACTCCCACATTTTCTGGGATCTCATAGTGTATTTGCATCGAGAAAGAGATTATGTGGCATGGTATCCTATGTTTAAAGCTATGGAATATATGTACGGTACTTTTTCATGGAAAACAATAGTTGAAAATATTACGGTAAATATTAATAAATTTCAATAAAAAATATTATATTTTAAATATTTGCATCTACACCCATTGATTACAATTTAGAAAAATATGTCCATCAATGATAAAAATTTACATACTATTACGTCGTAAACAAATGTGCAAACAAATTAAATTTGAATCATCACTCACTCGAAGAACTGTCCGAATAATTTATGATTTTTATTACTCCAAATATTAGCATATAACATTGTTATTGGATATATAGGAAAGTGCTTAAAATCTTTGTCAATGAATGCAATTATATTGGCTTTATATTAATATTACATGTTGTAATTAAAAAAAATTGAACATATATATATTAATATATTTTAGAAAAATTTAATTATATATTTCAAAAAGATATATTTTATATCTTATTTAAAAATAAAATATGATTCATAAATAGTTATGAAATTTTGATATCTATTAAATATTATAAAACATTTCGCACAAGTTAAACCATATTTTTGCGTACGTGTATAATACATACGTATATTTGCACGTACATATGTACGTGAATAGATAACGTTAGCGTCTATAAGAGTTGCATGTATGTTTTTTTCATAAAGAAAATTAGAAGAATCTATTAAAAAATATAATAATTTTTAAATACATTTATAATATAAACAAATAAATATATATTTAACAATTTTTAGTATATAGTAAGATACTCATTATACAAGGTACTTGAAATAATCAAATATGAAGAAATTGATGATACAGACGAACTTAGAATATGTTTACGACAAGAAGCTGCAAGATGGGCATGTTTTCTCGATAGCCCGACATGTAAGAAAAAAGCCAACGATAAATTAGAACAACATATCCAAGATCCTAAAAAACACAAGTAACTATTGTTATATATTTGTAGACTTTCTTAATAAATTTCTTTTGAAGATATCGCCTACAATGTTTAAATGATTTGATCAAAAGATTCATATGCTAATTTTTAATAAGAAAATTTAATTTTTTTATACGTTTTAGACTTTTGCCATGGTGGAAGAAATGGACATATTGTAACGGTTTGATGATAACTAACAACATAGAGACTTGGGGATTAGTGTATAGTATAGGATATGGTATAGATTATGATCGTGATACATTTGACCCTAAATTTATAGAATACTTGACCTGCTCTGAAGATGCAGATATAATTAAACACTATTCAAAAATTAAAGCTTTAAAAACGAGAAATTCAATATCTTCTTTTTAGTTTCTTACATATTATTACAAAGCATGCAAAGAATCGCATTTTACTGCGGTACATATTAAATAATTTTTTGGACTTAAAACCAAAGTAATTTAATATATTTTTATAAATATTTTCTACAAAAATTTATTATGTGTATTATATGTATTTGTTTTTTTGTTTTTAGACATGTTGATATACCTGCAGCATTTATTATTATCATTAATAATGTATATTCCGTAAATCAAACTCAGGTAAAAATTTTACATGTTTATATATGTATGTATATACAAAATGTGATAAGAATACAATATTGTTATTTCATAATGTTAAATCATTTTGATAATGTTATATTAACGTTGTTTATTAATAATGTCAAAAATAATACATTTTAGGAAATAAACAGATACGTTCAATGGTTGAAATACTATAGAGACATATTTGTTAAAAAGGAAGAAAGGGTAAATTTGAAAAATATTATTATAAAAAACGAAAAAGATGAAATATTGTTCCATTTTATTAATTTCTAATTATTAATTTTATATTTGTTTTGTTTATTATATGAAAAGTATATATTGATTTTATGTGCAAATCTCTGTTTATATATATTAGGATATTATAACGCAGACTTCTGGCAAAATTGAAAGCAAGATATCAATTCGCAACAGTCAAATCGAAAAACAAAAACGGTATTTTGATAGTATTTTCTATTGGTAAATGTAAAAAATTGCAGCTTTACATTGTGTGCGTGGATATACTTCATATTAATAATTTTTATATAATGTACTATTTATATTTTATTGCTTTATTATACTAGTATATATAGTTTTATTATTACTAGCTATATAATAATTACTATAAACTGTATTGTTAGATATAAAATAAAAATAAAATTGTATAAATATAAAAAAATATATATAAATTTGTTTGTTAAATAATAAATGCACTATCTATAAATTTTGAATTACATATTGACTTGTTTTTAATTTTTTCTTTGAATTAATAAAAAAAAATGTTTACGCACATACACATACACATGTATTGTATAAACGTGTGTACCCTTACAAAAAAACTACCAGAATATAAAAAAATTACTGGTATAACAATAATATATTATAGAAAAAGTATTACTATATCAGTAATTTTTTGTACTTTTCTGGTTTTTTGTACGAATATAAATAACGAATTTTCATTTAAATATTATAAAAATTTACAACCAACATATTTATACTTATACGTATTATTAAATTTGTCATTATTATATGTATATATATATGCGTGTATATGTGTGTGTGTTTGCATATATAAAATAATAATATATATTATATATTATGTATATTATATATATATATATATATACAGATCATATTATATGTATATTAATTATGTAATTAATCCAATACAATTTATAAATAAATAAATATATATGTATAAATAAATCATGTTTGTATAACTATGAGAATTAGTAAAATGTTAAAATTATATGTAAACTAATTATAATTATATGTGCTTACATGTTCAATATTTAAATATCTTTTTTATTTAATATTTTACTATATAAAATTTGTGATTGATTAGCATTTTTTAGTTTACAGTAAATCACATAACACAATTTCTCTCTCTCTCTCTCTCTCTCTCTCTCTCTCTCTCTCTCCCTCTATACCTCTAACCCAGTTACTCCTTTTTTTGTAAATTCTCATTTCAATAAAGTTATTTAAATAAAATATTAATCTTAATATTAATATTTATTAAATTATGTTACATAACTTCCAAATTGTGCAATTTAATTTGGCGCTTGTTACTAATGTTTTTAATAGTCATAAAAATACTGCAAAATCGGAATTTTAACTTACAAGGGGACACTACACCCAGTACATCGAGAATCAGGATGCCAATTTTTTTGGTGATTCTAGAGGTTAAAAAAGGTATACGTGTTTCGGCGTTTTGTCGAATGCTCCGTAGTTTTCGAGTAAAAAATTTTTTAAAAATCGAAAAGTGCAGCAGCGATTAAGAGCTAACTCGTAGGTCGCAAGTTCGAGTCCGTGTCTTGTTACTATTTTTTTGTTTTATCTTGCTAGTTTTGAAAAAGTGTTGTTTTTAAATATATTTATTTATTTATTTAATTAAATTATTACAATAAAAAAATTTTTTTTCAAATATTTTGTTTTTATATCTTATTTTTATTTAAATTATATTTGTCATTACACATTATATATTTAAATATATTTAAACAACAACACTTTTTCAAAACTAGTAAGATAAAACAAAAAAAAAGTAACAAGACATGGACTCGAACTTGCGACCTACGAGTTAGCTCTTAATCGCTGCTGCACTTTTCGATTTTTTAAAAATTTTTTACTCGAAAACTACGGAGCATTCGACAAAACGCCGAAACACGTATACCTTTTTTTGACCTCTAGAATCACCAAAAAAATTGGCATCCTGATTCTTGATGTACTGGGTGTAGTGTCCCCTTGTTAGTTATATTTAATTAATTTTAGCAATTACATTTAAAGAAATATAAGCATAGATAGAAGATAAAAACATAAAAACTTTTATCATTAAATTGACGTTTTCAATAAATTCGCGTCTAACATGTGTTTCTTCCAGTCAACGCGATAAGTTTTAATATTAACAAATTAAATTATTATTTTATTTGTCTCTATTATTTATCGTTTCTTAGTATCTTTTAATAATAAATGTTAATTATATTTTAGCAAAATAAAATTTGTACAACAGTGTTGCAACATGTTCGAAAAGATAGAAATCCGTTATACTAAAATCGGAAAAGAATTAATATATCTTAAAAGCTTATATATGCACATTAAATTAAATTATATATACATATGGAGATGTATGTATGTTAATATTCTCTCTATGATAGCTTTTTGAATATTAATTTTATACTGTCATATCGTTATAAAAGAGAATTCAAATCGATATAATATTATTTTTGGATAGAAACTAATATGTGTATTACCAGAGTTGAAATATTTATAATACTTTCCATTAAAATCTAAAGCGTGCACAGTCTTGTCTTTTTCACAATTAGTGCTTTGTTACCACGATCACATGTTTATAACACCATAATATAGGTAACAATATAAATAAAATTATGAATAAAAAATCATGAATAAAAAATCATAAATAAAATCATGAATAAAATCATGAATATAATCATTAATAAAAAAAAACGATATAATAATAAAAAGAAAGAAAGAAAGGCGATAAATATCATACTGTATATTATAACCATACGAATTTTCATGATAAATTCGTGCTTTAACAGACTCAAAATTGGCCAGTTTCTGAATTCCGGAGGATACAGTTTCTTCGCGAGATCGTATGGCGCCTCGCATGGCACGTGCGCATTCTCCCCTTGTCTTTCAGCATCTCGTCTTCAGCTAACGAATAGTTGATAACTTTCAGTTTATTAATTGTTCACTTTACTTTAACTTTAATTAATTATGTATTTTATGTCGCGTATGTTTAGATCCTGTTTTCTTCTTGCAATATTATATTTTGCCGGCCGACATCTGCGATTATTTTGATATTGCTGTGCAGCAAACTTATATGCGCAAAAACGCATAAAAAAGAGAAGAAGATTTACCCTTTTTTGTTTACACTTGTCATTGAATTTCTTTCCTGCACGTCTTCGTCTTCTGAGGTACAAAGCGACTTTTCCGACGTCGACACGTTGATAACGTGATTTTTTCCGGCGCGGTGACGTTTTTTGTGTTTTAATTCTCAGTTTTTTACCACTCATTTTTGGCCACCCTATTTTATCACTCATGGGTTAGAGTAACCCAGAGTTTTCTTTTGTTTATATTTCTGAATTTAATAAAGCTATTTTGAAGTATTTTTTTACAATCGATACGCCAGACAGTAAGAAAAAAGAATATATCGGTACAAATATCACCAGATTTCTACGACTTAAGATATTTAAGAAAAAATGAAAAGTGATCTTCTAAAATTTCGAAAAAATTATTTTTGATATGGGTTAACGTAACCCAGAAGGGTAATTAAAGATTAATATTATTGCCAGTATTGAAAATCTATAGCCGTTGACGAAAGTTAGTACTGAAAATCAACGCAGCCGTTGACGAAAGAATTTGATGACGTTGATGAAAAGTAAAACTGTATTATTATGTTTTTATGTTTGCTGTTAATGGTGATGCACATTCGCACATTAATTAAATATTCACAATATAAACTGATTGAAGACAATATGTATCACTCGTTCTTCGTAGTGCTCTCGAATGTGGTTCAATCACAAAGAGACGTAGTGCAATAATTGCATCATGAAATTGCATTGTTCGTTCCTTATCTGCGACAGCGGATATGATACAATGAATATATAATTTAGAGAATGTCACTTAATTGGCGTCCCCTATTTGAGCAATGTTCCTCATGGAAAACTGAGTTGAAAAGTCCTGTACCATTTTTTTCTGTAAGGCATAATAAATTAGTAATTTTTCAGTAACGTAATAACGTTAATGCTCATCGAAACCTATAAAATTTCATTGTTCAATTTTAGTAAATAAAATTTTATAGTTTTCGACGTGCTCTATAGTTCTATAACATAGTTCCGATTGTAGACTGCCACTAAATATATATTTAAACATAGAAACTTGAATTTTCCAATATATGATAGAGTGGCCGTATTTCGAGCATTTTATTTATTAAAATAACTTTCGTACAGTCTTGGGCACGTACATTAATTATCCAAAGTGGTGCTGTCTATTTAAATATTTAAAACATTTTAGACAATTATGTAACCCTAAAAATTTATAGATAAATTAAATTATCGCTTTAAATGACTGTAACTAATTAAAAAATTAAAAACGAGCTTTAAAAATATTGAAATTTTTATTATCAAACTGAGGACCATTTAAAGGACGTATTCCCACATTTTGAAGCTTGCGCTTTTATTCTTATAATTAGTTTTCGTACAGAATTGTACGAGAATTATTATGCAATAAATAAAATGTTCGAAATACGGCCAGCTCATAATATGCGATATTCAAAATTCAAGTTTTTATGTTTAAAAATATATATATTTAGTGGCAGCCTACAGTCGGAACTGTGCTACAGAATTATAGAACTCATCGAAACCTGTAGAACTTCATTGTTCAAATTTGGAAAATGTGAAATGATGTGCTAACTTTCAATCCAGGTTAGATGTTAATTGTCCAAGTCAATGGTCAACGAAAACAATTCCTGATATAGAGGTTGGTTTTCTACAGAAAAAATGATGCTTGCGAGGAATCCGGAAGAATACGCAGAGACAATTAAGAAGAAATAGTAATCGAAATGTGATTCAAATTACTTAAATATAGAATATTAATGTTTTTATATTTTATAAATTATACATATATTTTAGCTTTAAGATTAATATTCTTTATGATAAATGTGACTGATTATATATAAATTTATATATATATATATATATATATATATATATATATATATATATATATACATATATATACAGGGTGTTCGGTAACAGGGCCAAAATGTAAGGAGTGATTCTACATAATAAAATAAGATGAAAATCAAGAATGACAAAATTGCGTTCAAGACTTTGTTTATTAATTATAAATATTTTAAACTTCGCATTAAGGGCGCCTGACGCACGGCAATTTTCCGATATTTTGCGTGCGTAAGGTACATCGGTAGAGTCGCCGTCAAAATACACTGTGACGCATATATATATACATAAACGACCTTACATGTTTTGTTGACCAAACACATCATATTTGTCATGATGACACGTACAGAGAATCAGTCAGTATTTCGTAGTCTGTCGGACCACATCGTGGTAGATATAATACTTTTAATTAAGCGTGTGTGAATATATTACATTCTTCCATCATTGCGTGCGGCTAGTATTAATTTGTTGGAGCTAATTGTTAAAAAGTAAATTTTTTATCATATATATACTTTTACAATTAAATATTGTTTCGAAATAAACGGTAAATCAGAATAAGTTAACAATATTAAAATATATGTATATTTGTCCACAAATACAAAATAATTTAATCATACTGTATTACGGATTTTTAAAGAATTACAAACATATAATCGTGGATGTTAATTTTCATTAAAAATAATTAATATGAGTAAGATAAACAGAATTATTAAGAATTATTGTGAGATAATTATTACAATTATAAAATTAAGACAATTATTAAGATAAAATTATCGGAAAGAATGTGTATATTACGAGATATTAGACCATATTTTTTACAACCATGTTTTTTGAAATAAGTAATATAAATTTGTAAATAATGCATATTTATTTGATAAATTGGGCAAAATTTGAATTCGTTTATATTAAGACAACAGTTATACACAAATGCCTCCACACACACACAAACATAAACATATATAAACGATCTCAAAATTTTTGTTGCCCTAACACATCATATTTATCATGATGAAATGTTGAGAGAATCAGTCAGTATTTCATGGTCTTTCGAGCCTCATCGTGGTAATTATAATACTTGTAATAAAGTGTGTGTGAATATATTTTATTCTTCCAACATTGTGCTGCTAAAGTATTAATTTGTAGCAATTAGTTGTTTAAAAATATAATTTTTATCAACGTACTTTTGCAATTATAGTGTTCCGAAATATACATAGAGTAAGTCAGAATAAGTTAAAAAAAATATATAAATGTATATATTTATCTAAAAAAAGTTTAATCTTACAGCCTAAAAGAATATTAAACAACTATCAATTTTAAAGAATTATCAATCTACTAATTGTCAATCGAATGAAAAATTCATAATATTATATATTTTATGCAATTGTTAACTCCACATATATTTTGATGTCTTCAATCTGAAATATTTACAAGAATCCTATTATATATACAGAATGTTCTAGAACTAGTAATAAATCTGTTAATAGTAGATTCCAGGGATCATTTGGAGTCGATATTTTCTCTGTGAGAATGTCGAGGGAGGCAATCATTATATTTGCATGTTCTCAAATTTGCCATCATGTATCTTTTGTATTAAGTCTTAAATTAAGGTTCTGTTAACAGTAAACCTTACTTCAAATTTAATGACAAATGTGATTTTGTTAATATTTTATTTCCACAAGGTTAAGTTTGCGAGAAACCATTTATTTTTGATAGCTTATAACTATGAATTTATTTGTACTTCAACAATTTCACTATAAAGAAATTTGACTAAAAATGATATCAGGTATTGCTATTAATAGCTTTATTGCCAGTACTGAAATACCTTGTATATATGTATATAATTTTTATTATCATGTTTATAATTTATACAATTTAAAATTGATTTTATGTTGGTTTTATTATCGGTGATTTTTGGAATTTATAATATACAATTTAAGAAATGAAATAACACAGACCTCTAAATGAAAATAATAATAAATATGTGCTCTTTGTCACCGCTGCTCAGTTTTTCTTATCCTTTTATTGTCTTCTTCTTATTTTGAATAAACATACAGGTTTTCATGTAGGTAAATCAATATCAATAACTCGCGCTAAGCGCGCGCTTGTATTATTTGGTAAATTACAAAATTGAGAAATTAAAGTTATACACATAATTAAAATTTAGCAAATTAAAATTATGTATATAATTATAAAAACATTTGAGAATTAAAATAGAAGCGCAGATGAAAAATAATAATATATTGTACATGTGCTCTCTTTCTCTCTCTTTCTCTCCTTCTCTCTATCTTTCTCTCTATTACTCTCTCTCTCTCTCTCTCTCTCTCTCTCTCTCTCTCTCTCTCTTTCTCTTTCTCTTTTATTTTCTTTGTCACCGCTGCTCAGTCTTTCTTATCCTTACGGTCTTTTTCTTATTTCGAATAAACACACAGATTCTTATGTACGTAAGAATAACGGGGTCTTGCGTTTATAAATGTAATTTGTTTCAGGCAACTAACTTTATGTTCTATAAATCTTTATATTCTAATAACTTATTTTCTAAATTTTATAGATTTTAAATGTATATTATTTTTTGATCATGAAATAATTTTTTGTCAATTTAATTCTTTATATTGCTGTTAATTACAATATATGCAACATTGAAATACACACACACACACACACACACCTACAAATTCATTAGAAAAAGAAATTGTGCAAATAGAAATTTGCACATAAATTATATCCTTACCATATAATATTTCATTAACTAGGCTTTTAATTAATAATTTTAATACGTTTTGCATTTAAATTATTTTCTTGTATTTATTTTCTTGTGCACATCAAAGACAGAAAATGCTTATAGTGCTGAAAGCGTCAAAGCGAACGCAGCCTATATGTTACATAAATAGTATCAAACAACTGCCATCGCGAAAACTAACAATTTAACAGTTGTAAAATAATTAATAGAAGTAATATCACTTGCGCGAGGCGTTCTTGAGTCGTCTAGTGATTTAAAAAAAACATCAAAACTATATTTAATTTCTCTATTTATCTTTTGTTTAGCAGATCTGAAATAAATATTCTTTTCCCGACATGATGATATTTCTAAAACTATTATTAATAAGTAGCGGATTAATGTTTATCCCTGAGACGGCTTCTATTTGTAATGAATCATCTTTATGCTACCAACCATCAGAATATATAAAACCGATCCATTATGATATCAAGCTTATAACATATATTGAAGGACATATTTTCTATGGAGAATACAATATCAGCATAAGCATTCTTAACAAAACGCAACAAATATTTTTACAATCAGAAAAATTAAGCATTAAAGATATAGTTTTATTTACAAATGGAAAAATATCATGAGTATGATAAAGATACAGTTTATAAAGATACAGTTTATAAACTGACATATAATATTGTAGAAGACACAATTAATATTTCGTTAATGGCTGAGTTATCACCAGGAAATTACATTTTAAATATTAAATATCATGGTATTGCTGATGAAGTTTTTAGAATTTACGACGTAAAAGGAAAAATTGCGTAAGTAAATAATATATGTTTATTAAAAAAGGACAATGTGCAATTACATAAAACGTTGTAATTAATATATTTTATTTATGTATTAAATGTTTCAAAAATTATTATATATCATGGAATTTAAATATAAAGACGTTCAATCTTTATCTTTAATGCATATTATTACATATTATATTTATACGTTTTTTAATTCCCAATATGTTTATGCTTGCTAAAAATGTTTCATTAATTTTTCCTTTATGAAATGAATAGTTGGGTAGCTGCTATTCATTTCCATATAATATGCTCGCGACGAAGGATTTCATGTGGGATGAACAGAATTTATTGTTAGAAGCAACCTTTAACATATCTATAGGATGTAATCAATGTACGGCTTTATCAATATGCCATTGCAAAATGAGGAAGAAAATGAGTACAAAGTGTTATGGACACACTTCGCTACCACATCTGCAATGTCGCCTTATCTTGTAAGAATGATTGTGTCTAATTTCCTATCACGTATTGATTATGACAATCGAAACATTGAAATATGGTGCAGTAACGAATATGAGTTTCACATGAAATTTGCAAAACATTTTGCTGAAAATATCACGTTGTTGCTTAAAAATGAATGGAATTTACGTTCGAAGCAAATATTGAAGGTGACGCATGTTGCAATTCCCAATTTCCATGACAATGGCATAACAGATTTTGGACTTGTTTTATATAAGTGAGTACAAGTGCTTAAAGTTACATTAAAAATAAAATTATATTAGTATGCAAAATTGAAATATTTAAAACAAGTATAACTTTTGTTTCTGTAAACGTTCGAAAGTATAAGGAATTGCAAAAACGATTTTAGTAGAATTAAGTATATTCATATTATTACAAAGTTAAAGTATATCGTTTTAATACGTACATAAAAGATAATGTATGTATGTCAAATCGTACCCTTTAAGGTAGATATTAAAACTGCAATAAAGCTATAAAGGAATGACATTTTTTTATTTATTTCAAACTATTGTGCTTTGTCAACAATATATACATATTAACACAAATTTATAAATGTTAGATATTGTAAATTAGAAAATAAATAAATGTTATTTGGTACGATTTATATTGATTTGTTTATTTGTACTTATAAGTTTGTAAATCGTACATATACATCAATTAAATTAAAATATTCTAACAAAAATAAAGTGTTATTTTTATAAAATTTCTGAGTCTTTACATTTAAATATAATTTACAGGGAAACAGATATCTTCTACGATAAAAATTATATCCTATTACTCGCAAAATCGAAGTAGCTCAATTAGTAGGACGTAAAGTGATACAGGAATGGTTTAATATCCTGTTGAATAGTCTGTTAATGTCGAATTGTTTGATGAAAAAAGGTTTTAGTGCATTGTTTGCAACGTATGCTGTTAATATGGTACGTTATTCTAAATATTTTCAACATTATCTCGCTCTCATCTTCTCGCAAACGATGTAATACTGAAGCATTCATATTGCAAGATTTTATTAAATCAAACTTTTTTCAAAATTTATATGCATTGTTTGTGAATTGTCTTGAAAACATATTTAGCATTATTTAAAATAATGAACTGTTTTTTAGAAAATATTATTTTCACATCTTTACATGCATATACAATTATAATTTAATTTATTAAAAATTTTTATTTTTTAACACCACTTTATTAAATATTTTTAAAATATAATTGTAATATAAATTGAAATAAATTAATCAAGAACCATTACACATGGTATTTATTGAAATAAATTTGATAAAGAGAAGTCTGCAATATAACATTATGAGACAATAATTTAAAAATATGTGATATTTGTTAATATTATATAAAATTTTAGATTACATTATTATATTTATTCATTATATTTATTAATGTGCGTAATATATTTGTTAATGTGTGTTTTTTAAAATGAGAAAGTGTTTTGTTACAACAATGAAGTAATTGTAATAATATTAATAATTGTATAAATTTTTAAGAGTTTAACAAGGCTCTGTAATATAAATGTAAATTTAACGTATAAGACGGGCAATAAGAGCCAAATCGCGGATGACAATGCGTTATCCTAACGAAACTAAATTTTTTTCGTTAGAATTAAATACCGGTGCACAAGGCACCAAATTTTACTTGGACACAGCCAAGATTTTAAATATGAAATAATCTCATACTTGAGATTTAATTTCAATACCCTTTAACCCCCCTACGGAAAATAATAAATGAATGCAAGAGAAAAATATAGATCCGAAAATCGCTGAATCGGGAATCGAACCCGAGACCTTTCGCTTGCCGGGCGACTGCTCTTCCAGCTGAGCTATTCAGATCCCTTCGATTCTATACTTTTCTCTGTTATATATATATTAATGTTGGTAAACAAATTCCCGATTCAGCGACTTTTGGATCTATATTTTTCTCTTGCATTTATTTATTTATTTTCCGTAGGGGGGTTATAGGGGTATTGAAATTAAATCTCAAGTATGAGATTATTTCATATTTAAAATCTTGGCCGTGTCCAAGTAAAATTTGGTGCCTTGTGCACCGGTATTTAATTCTAACGAAAAATAATTTAGTTTCGTTAGGATAACGCATTGTCATCCGCGATTTGGCTCTTATTGCCCGTCTTATACGTTAAATTTATATTAATAATTGTATTTAATGCTAGTATATTATTCAGAACGGTCATATCTATATATTAACTATTTTTTTTATAGACTTATGAAGATCATCGAATAATAAATTTATTTGTTGTTCAAAATCAACACTACTCCTTTAATTTGGATGGTGATTATTATATGGGGAATTCTGCTTTACTAGTTAACAGTTCATTGGAAATTCCCGATTCTATCAGAGGTATACCTAATATAATAAAATAGTCCGCGTAAATTTTTAACCGTTAGAATTTTAAAATATGTGTAAAATTAAAAGATAATTAATTCTCTTTTCATCTGGATTTTAAATAAATATTATATTTATAAAAGTAAACATATCGCGCGCGCACGCCCACGCACACGCACATACAAGGTGTCCGATAATAGCCGCACATATCGTATGTAGGTAGAGGGAATTAATTGAATAATCCTTTAAAATTTTGCTATCTTCGTAGATATTAACAAAAATGTATTTATAAAATAAAATAATAAACGATGCTGCTATAACAAATATTTCATTCTTACGCGATTACTACTTTGTACACATATATAATATTAATTTAAATAATCACTATGTTTACAAGTAACCATTACAGTAAATATATATTTATAATATATCTAATTCATAATTTTGATGTAAATCGTAGCACCTTTTATACTGCGCATGATGGAACACTTACTCTCAGAAGGAACGTGGTTAAAATTCATGAGCCTTTATCACAAGTGAGTAATACAATATGAAATATAATATGAAAAAATTACAATTGTACAACTTTAATAATTTATTATAATAAAAGTTTTATATAATGTCTCTTATCTTCTCTTGTTTCTTCTGATATTATTTTATAATGTTTTTTCTTAGTGTTATAATTCCGCTTTTTTCTGCATCTTCTACTAGAATTATTTTTAATTTCATTACTTTTCCTATGAAAATTGATTCTTCAGAAAGTAATTATCGTTTTATCGTTATCACTTTTTCAAATACATATTTATTGTTTCAGTTTTGTTTTATGAATTATTAGTGTGCACAAAGTGCAATTTAAAAAACAGATATAAAAATTATAGACCATATAAATTATTTTAAAAAATTATTTTTTTTTATTATTTTTTTAATTTCTTTATATTGTCTATAATTTTTATAATATCTATTTTTTAAATTGCACTTTGTGCTACATTGGTTTTCTAATCGTATTTAACAGGTTTTAAATATGTAACACTTATATCTATTTTCCATTACTTTCTTTATTTTTATTATCTTTTCTTAAAAATCGATCTCTTTTATATTATTTTTCATATTTTTGTTTTGTCTTCAACTTCTTATTTGTTTTATTTTTTTATTTAATCATTTTATACAATCTCAATACTTTGCTGAAATATAATCTGTATTAATGCTAATAATGCGTAAAAATTTAAATAAAATTATTAAATTTTATTTAAAATTATGTTGTATTCTTTATTATCAGAATATAGATATAAGATATATAAATATATAAATACATAGAAAGTGTGCAATATATGTATATTTTGCTTCTTAGTATTAATATATAATAAATTGTTTTATAATATTAACATTATACAGACAAAATTTGAACATATTTTTATACATTTTAAATACTTTGTGAATTTAGGATATCACATCTTTTAAGCTCTGCGAATCTTACTGCAACAATAAATACAGATATGCATTTACATCTAATGAGAATGGAAGGTTGGGCTTCGGAAAAGTATTGTCCTCTTATTAAAATAAAACGATATTATAATGAATCTATCGGTCAAGCATGGGTACAATATAGAGACACATTAAAAATTCGCTACGTTCCTGTATCTTATACTACGGAAATATCTCCCGATTTTGATAATTTCACTATGCATTTTTTACCCGTGTCAGAGCATTTCTCTTTTCCATTTGAAAGGATGGTTGGGTGATATTCAATATACAACAAGTTGGTAATATGGACAAATAAACTTATTATGATTTATTTCTTGCCTTTATTTTACACACACATAATTGACATAATTTTATCTTCTTATTCATTTTATTCATTGTCCTATAAAAATTTGAGATATTCATTGTATAACTATAATAGTTTTAAAATTTTTTGTGTAGTTTTCTGCATTATATATTATATATATATATATATATATATATATATATTAATTACATTATTAATATTATTAATATATATATATATATATATACATATATAATATTACATTTAAGATAGGTAGGCGTTTTCTAAATAATACAATTCAATGTTAATGTATTTTTTAATAATAGTAAAATTATTGAAAAGAGAATTATATTTGAAAAATTATTAATAGTAAGTGCAGGTAACCTACAATTTTCGTAACTTACATGTTACAGAAATTATATTGGTTAGCTTAAACTAAATATCATTTTTGCATAACTAGAATCAATTTTATTTTATGGCATATATAACAATATTTTACCCAGTTTATTTTCTCTTCTATTTGAAGTTAGGATAACTTTTTTATAATTACTTTTATAATATAATAGTATTTTATTTATATATATATATAAAATTTTTGATATGTTTTTAATTTATAATTTATGTAAACAAAAGTATGAAACAAAAATTGAAGTTTGAAAATAATTAAAAAATAAGTTTGAAAATATTAATATTAATGATAAAATTATTCAAAACCATCAGAATTGATAAAATTTATTTACTATTCGACAGGATATTATCGCGTTAATTATGATGATGAGAATTGGCGAAGAATTTCACATTATCTAAACTTTGATGATTACACGAAAATTCATGTTCTTAATCGTGCCCAAATTATCGATGATGCATTTCATTTAATAATAGCAGGCCAACTCAACTGCCAAATATTCTGGGATCTCATAGTGTATTTGCATCGAGAAAGAGATTATGTGGCATGGTATCCTATGTTTAAAGCTATGGAATATATGTACGGTACTTTTTCATGGAAAGAAATAATTGAAAATGTTACGGTAAATATTAATAAATTTCAATAAAAATATTATATTTTAAATATTTGCATCTACACCCATTGATTACAAATTAGAAAAATATGTCCATCAATGATAAAAATTTACATACTATTACGTCGCAAACAAATGTGCAAACAAATTAAATTTGAATAATTACTCACCCGAAGAACTGTCCGAAAAGTTTATGATTTTCATTACTCCAAATATTAGCATATAACATTGTTATTGGATATATAGCAAAGTGCTTGAAATCTTTGTCAATGAATGCAATTATATTGGCTTTATATTAATATTACATGTTGTAATTAAAAAAAATTGAACATAGATATATTAATATATTTTAGAAAAATTTAATTATATATTTCAAAAGATATATTTTATATCTTATTTAAAAATAAAATATGATTAATAAATAGTTATGAATTTTAATATCTATTAAATATTATAAAACATTTCGCACAAGTTAAACTATATTTTTGCGTACGTGTATAATACTACGTATATTTGCACGTACATATGTACGTGAATAGATAACGTTAGCGTCTATAAGAGTTGCATGTATGTTTTTTTCATAGAGAAAATTTGAAGAATCTATAAAAAATAATAAAATTATAATAATTTTTAAATACATTTATAATATAAACAAATAAATATATATTTAACAATTTTTAGTATATAGTAACATACGCATTACACAAGGTACTTGTAGAAATAAAATATGAAGAAATTGATGATACAGACGAACTTAGAATATGTTTACGACAAGAAGCTGCGAAATGGTCATGTTTTTTCAATAACCCGGTTTGTAAGATAAAAGCCAACGATAAATTAGAACAACATGTCCAAGATCCTAAAAAACACAAGTAAATATTGTTATATATTTTTAGACTTTCTTAATAAATTTCTTTTGAAGATATCGCCTACGATGTTTAAATGATTTAATCAAAAAATCCATATGCTAATTTTTAATAAGAAAATTTAATTTTATTTATACGTTTTAGACTTTTGCCATGGTGGAAGAAATGGACATATTGTAACGGTTTGATAACTACCGACATAGAGACTTGGGGATTAGTGTATAGTATAGGATATGGTATAGATTATGATCGTGATACATTTGACCCTAAATTTATAGAATACTTGGCCTGCTCTAAAGATGCAGATATAATTAAAAAATATTTAAAAATTGACGCTTTTAAAAACGAGAAATTCAATATCTTCTTTTCAGTTTCTTACATATTATTACAAAGCATGTGAAAAATCAAATTATACTACGGTACATATTAAATGATTTTTGGAACATAAAACCAAAGTAATTTGACATATTTTTATAAATATTTTTTACAAAATTTATTATGTGTTATATAGATATGTATTTGTTTTTTTGTTTTTAGACATGTTGATATACCTGCAGCATTTATTATTATCATTAATAACGTATATTCCGTAAATCAAACTCAGGTAAAAATTTTACATGTTTATATATGTATGTATATACAAAATGTGATAAGAATACAATATTAATAATTGTTATTTAATAATGTTAAATAATTTTGATAATGTTATATTAACGTTGTTTATTAATAATGTCAAAAATAATACATTTTAGGAAATAAACAGATATGTTCAAAGGTTAAAAGTTAATGTAAACGAAAGTGTTGGAATAAAAGAAAAGGTAAAGTTAAAATATTATTTTAGAAAGCAAAAGGAAACGACCTATTGTTCTATTTTATTAATTTCTGAATATTAATTTTATATTTGTTTTGTTTATTATATAAAAAGTATATATTGATTTCATTGTGCAAATCTTTGTTTATATTTATTAGGATTTCATAACGCAGAATTTCAACAAAATTGAAAGCAAGATATCAATTCGCAACAGTCAAATCGAAAGACAAAGACAGTATTTTAATAATATTTTTTGTCGGAGCAAGTAAAAATTGCAGCTTTGCATTGTGTGCGTGGATATACTTCATATTAATAATTTTATATATTGTACTGTTTATATTTTATTGCTTTAATTATTACTAGTATATATAGTTTTATTATTATTAGCTATATAATAATTATTATAAACTATATTGTTAGATATAACATAAAAATAAAAATGTATAAATAAAAGAAATATATATATAAATTTGTTTGTTAAATGATAAATGTACTATCTATTAATTTTAAATTACATATTGACTTGTTTTTAATTTTTTTACGCAAATTAATCAAAATATATTTTTACGCACACACACATATACATGTATTGTACATATATATATATATATATATATATATATTTATATTTATACCCTTACAAAAGAATTACAAGAATATGAAAAATTACTGGTATAGAAAAGTATTATTATATCAGTAATTTTTCGTATTCTTGCAGTTTTTTTGTTTGGGTATATATAATGAATATTTATTTAAATATTATAAAAATTTACAGCCAACATATTTATATTTATACGTATTATTAAATTCGCTATTATCTATATATATGCGTGTACCATTTATGTGTATGTGTATGTGTGTGTGTGTGTGTGTGTTGGCATATATAAAATAATAATATATATTATATATTATGTATATTATATACATATACAGATCATATTATAAGTTAATTATATTATTAATACAATATAATGTATAAATAAAGAATTATTTATGTATATATATATAAAACATGTTTGTATAACTATAAGAATTAGTAATATGTTAAAGTTATATATAAACTAATTATAATTGTTTGTGCTTATATGTTCAATATTAAAATATCTTTTACATTTAATTTGTTATTATATAAAATTTGTGATTGATTAGCATTTTTAGTTTACAATAAATCACATAACACAATTTCTCTCTCTCTCTCTCTCTCTCTATCTTTCTCTCTCTCTTTCTCTCCCCGCCGTCTCTCTTCTTTCTTGGGTAAATCTACATTTTAATTTTAATAAATTTAATTAAATAAAATATTAATTTTTATATTAATGTTTATTAAATTATATTACATAACTGTCAAATTGTGCAACCTAATTTGGCACTTATTACTAATATTTTAATAGATATTGAAATACTGCAAAATGTGTTAATCGGAATTTTAACTTTAATTATTATATTTAATTAATTTTAACAATCACATTTTAAAGAGATGTAAGCATATAGATCCAAGGAGAACAGAAAAGTCAAATTGACATCATTTTCATCTGCTGTTCTTCTTGAGATCACACAAAAGAGAAAATCGATACGATCGAATTATGCTCTCTTTTTCTCTTTTTTTTTTATTTGCAAAATATTGGACCATCTCATCTGATACTTTCACAAAAATGTTCTCTTTCTGTTTTGTTTGCACGATGATTGATAAGAAATGACTCGTTCCTCGTTTTTAAATTTTAGTTTGCATTTTTACAAACAATAGAGGATATACGATATTTTATATTTCTATTACGCATATATGTATATGTATAGTTGATATAAATATACAAGAATATTTTTGAATAGAACTAAGATATAGATTCTCGCGTCTTAAAACATCGAAACGTAATTTATTCATTGAATTGACAGGTTGATAATTTATATAGAGAAAAGCGATTTGGATATACATATACTTAATCACGTTTGACTGAAAAACCGACATAGAATGAAACAATAAAGCTCACAAACCAAATTATACAGATTGTTCCTGAAATGAGTTGCTCTACTTTAACATCCTGTACAGATTTCAATTTCCGTTCATTTCTTACGAGTTTCTTCAAGCACAGGACTGATCAAATTAAATGAAAGGACATAAACACACACACACACACACACACACATATATATATATATATATGTATATATGTGTGTATAAAGATCTCGAAAGCTCTTTTGTAACAACATTTATTTCTAATGCTATTTTCTATATACAATTACACATGATGTGATCTATTCAACGCAAATACAACGAGTTCCTACAAATTACGTGTGCGATTGTTAACAATAATAAGATTTTCAGAGGCGACTCACAGATATTATTACCATAAGTGATAATCACATTTTATCAATATAAATATAATCTGTCCTTTTTTTTATGGAAGCGTAGAAATCCTATCAGACGTAGATATGTACTTCTATATATGTGCACACACACACACACGTGTATTCGTTCGTGTAATCATTTGTGAGAATGTACATACGCATTCGTATACTCGATAATTGTGCAGTTTTGTTTTATGCAGCCGAAAATTGCTGACTGCAATAAGTGAAGAACTTGTATTTGCAGCAACATACAATCAGTTTGATAGACTAATAGGATCACATAATTCGAGGATCTAAATTCCAAATCATGCCGCGAATTTCAAAAATTATTAAATTGATAAATTATTATTATTATTATTTCATAAATTATTATCATCCACTATAATAATAAGTCTTTCAATTCCAAAGACAAACATTTTTACGAAAAAGAAATTTTATCATCCAGGTCGCTTTTATATTCGTTTCTCGAGATGCAAATTTTTTATCTTTACATCTTCGAAAAAAATTCTATAATTATTATCGATCGATTATAATAAACGTCGTTTTTGTAGCATGGTCTAGAATTTAGATGTTTCTTGCAACGCGACTTGAAAATTTTTGGCTCTTAGAGAACCTCAAATTATTGTCGTCCTTCCTAAATTAAGCTTGTCGCACAACGCACACACAATACGCAACACGTTTGTCTGAATTTTTTATCCTAAGAGGCGTCTATATATCACGCAAAAGATACATCTATACTTGATCTGGAAGAAACGTAACATCACACATATTCGATCCTTTTTGCATTCTTTGGTAGCAATGTGCATTTTTTTCCATTATTAAGGCTGTATTACGCGTTGAAGTTATGGTTGACAGTTGATCAGCTGATCAGCTGTTTGGATCCGCAACTGTCAATCGTAACTTCAATTGCAACCGAGCTCGCAACTCAAAGTGTAATGCGGCCTTTAATGATATTCGTATTGTAATTATTAAGAAACATCGCGTTGAATAACAATAGTGACTAGTTGATACGACGTTATTACTTTTCAATGCATATAAAGTGCATGCGAAGTCGCATCAACTCGTTGCTATAGTTATCACGAGAACGATATTCTTTAATAATTAATAATATTAATATATATTAATATTATTAAACTTATTATTAACATATATTAAAATTATGATACATTAATATTATTATATCAATATTATTAATACATATATTTTAATAATATTAATATGTATAATATTAAAAATTTCTAGCTCTTTCGCTTGAGATCTTTGAGAAATGTTCTGAGAAATCCAGATTCATTAAATCCGCAAATTTTGGCATCTGTTTGCTCTCGATTCGCCGCAAAATTTAGCGCGATTTTTTCTCCAGATCTTAAGTCGAAAGTAATGCACAAATTTAAAATAATTATTGCTCGATCGATATAAGAAGCTAATCTTGAAGCTAATCGTTTGATTCATTGGTACTTGACTTTGGTACAGATATATTACACAGCCGCTATATGTATATTTACATGAAATAGTCTACGAGATTCCTGCCCAAAGAGTCCGATAGAATCACACGAAAGAGAAAATCGATACGGTCGAATTATGCTCTCTTTTTCTCTTTCTTTTCTATTTGCAAAATATTGGACCATCTCATCTGATACTTTCACAGAAATGTTCTCTTTCCCTGTTTTGTTTGCACGTTGATTGATAAGAGATGACTCGTTTCTCGTTTCTAAATTTCAGACTGCATTCTTACAAACGATAGAGGATATACGATATTTTATATTTCTATTACGTATATGTATATGTATAGTTGATATAAATATACAAGAATATTTTTGAATAGAACTAAGATATAGATTCTCGCGTCTTAAAACATCGAAACGTAATTTATTCATTGAATTGACAGGTTGATAATTTATATAGAAAAGCGATTTGGATATACATATATTTAATCACGTTTGACTGAAAAACCGATATAGAGTGAAACGATGAAGCTCACAAACGAAATTATACAGAATGTTCCTGAAATGAGTTGCTCTGCTTTAGGAACATCCTGTACAGATTTCAATTTCCGTTTATTTCTTACGGGTTTCTTCAAGCAGGGAATGCTATAAAAAAAAAGAAGAGTCTCTTACTAATCATTCTCGACTTGGCTTCTTATATAAAATAGTGTTGGATAAGTCTGCGGGAAAAGATGAGCCAAGAATATAATCGAACATTCAAAATCAATAAATCCTATAATTTTATAGATTTTTATGGAATTTTCGAACGTTCAATTACATTCTTCGACTCACGAGATTCACTTTAAATTATCCCTTCTATCAATTAACAATTTTTCATCTTTCCATGTATGGATACCCAATTATTTTATTTAATTAATTCTTTTTTAATATAAATATAAATATAAATATAAATATAAATATAAAATAAATGTAAATACGAATATAAAATGAGTGTAAATACAATATAAATATAAAATATTGTGTAATTATAAATTTTTTATATAAATAAAATTTTTATTTAATTTCTTAATTTTTTAGCAGTTGCTGGATATTGAAAATTCGTTTTCGTTATATTTTAGGTTTCCGAATACAAATCGGTCTTTTGTGATGTGTTGTCAGAAATAAAGAGAAGTTTCAACATATTTTTATAGCATTTAAAATTATTTGGATATCTTGGTATCTGTTCATTAACAGAAGGGTTAATTACTTTATTACACAAAGACATCGATCTCTAAAGGCGTCTATTATCGATCTACGCGCCCGCAAACCTCTTAGGCAATTTATTTATAATTTTGCACTAATAAGACGCCCGATTATCGATCCTCGCGGGCGTTAATGGAAAACTAAAGAAACTTCCTTAAAAGATGTCCTCAATTTCGGTGAAATTACGATCCCAATATCCGCCCCGATATATCCAATCTTCCTGACCTGTGTAAGGATTCGTGCCGGATTGAAACCATCTGCAAATTCATTTTTGATATTACTAGATAGAGAAGTAATGAGAAATTAGAGATCATTAATCGGTAATTTATTTAAACTACAATACAATATAATAAGGATAATTTTTAATTAAACACAATTTTTATTTTTTGTAAATGTCAGACTAATATTATAATTATTTTAGCAAAGAAAAATTATCCATATATTATTAATATTTGAATTTTAAATTAAATTAAAATAAAAAAACATGAAAATTAAATCAGAATTAGAATTATAAGATTCCGTCACTTTCGAATGTCTTTAAAATTCTTTAAATCTTTCAAGTTCAAATTTTTATATTTTTTAAAAATATTAAATATATTATTTTAAAATGGAATGCACACCTGGGAATATATTCGTGTCCTTTCTTCTGTTTGCGCGCTTTGCGGGTATCCCTCTGTTTCTCTTCGAGCCTAGCTTTCTCAGACGCGGCACCATCTTGATCACCATTTTCCAATTTCCGGATGTCCGGCCTTAATCTGGAGTCGGTCGGACACAGGGCCTCTTCCATATCCGGTTCTAGCTCATTCAGTGACATTGCAAATGTCGTAAACTGATAGTACTGTAAATTATATTTTTAAATTAATATATATTTTTGCATCTCTCAATCAGAGAAAAGTTTAAGAAAAATATAATTTATAAAATAAAAAAGAATATAGATAATAAAAATAATAAAAACTATTGGCAAAAGAACGTCTACCGCGGTAAGAGAGGCGCTACTGAAGCAAAACAAATATGGCCGCCGTGAATATACAACAACGACAGTTTTAAATGTAAAAATAAACTTTTTAGTGAAAAAGATGTTGTCATTGCGGACATAGACACACTTTGTGATTCTACAAAAGCTACGCCTTTTTCAAGGAATATGATCGAAGGCCAGAATGTTATAAATTCCGGTATGATTATATTATGTGCGATGTAACTATGAAAAGTCTAGAAAGAATAGATTTATATTCCTTATGTCTACAAGTGGAACATTATTAATTAATTTTTCCAATAATAATAAGATAATGTTAGATGCATATTCGCGACGACCATTTATGATAGTTCACGCGACTACTACTAGTGTCGCATTGAATTTTTAAGCCCCGAATTATATTTCTTTAGAGATTTTAGCAAATTTTCGAAAAAAAGGATATATCTGTCAAAATATTTTAATTATCAATTTAATTAAACTGACATCCGAACTATTGCTAGGTCTCGGTGTGGCTTCCCACAATGTAATAGATCCTGGAATTTCCTCCACGATTGGAATGTCATCGACAACCGTACTCAAAGACTCGTCTATCGCGTCCTGTAAATTTAATCAATGAAATTTAAAAATATGTTTAGTATACAGAGGGTCCCAAGATTAATAGTAAATCTTTTAATGGTAGATTCCTGGGATCATTTAGAGACGATTTTTCTTCAGCGAAAATGTCGAGAGAGGTCATCATTTTTTGCATGTTCTCAATTTTTGCCATCATGTATCTTCGTAATTAAGCCTTAAAATTTTATTAAAATAAACTCTACATGAAATTAATAAAAAAATGTAATTTTATTAATATTTTATTTCCACAAAGCTTAGTTTAGGAAAAACTCCTTATTTGCAATCGCTTATAATTCGAAAATGATTGATGTCTCGACATTTTTGTGTAAGAAAAATCGTCTCCAAATGATCCCAAGAATCTGAATTAAAATATCTGCTATTAATTTTGGGACACCCTGTATATAATAAATTTGAAAAGGAAATAAAATTTAATTTATCAGAGAAATGGATTGATTCGTTGAGGGAGAATTGTTCGATACCTGATGTAAGGGCTTAAAAGCTCCGACCTTGAGACTGTGAAGTTTCGCTAGGACCTTTTTGTGTCCTGGACTACCCTGTGGGCTTTTCGCCTCCATTCTGAGCTTCTCTAGTGTCTCTTCATACAAAGATGGCTCACAGGATCGTAAAATTTCAATCCATTTGCCATAAAGAAAAAGTAACTTTCTTTTTCTGAAAATATTACACATATATTTAATATATTATACCATATATTTTATATATATAATATTTTTAATAATATTTAATATACATATATAATATATTTTATACATATAATATTATATATATATTTTTTTCTATATATTTTAAAATATATATTAATATAAATATATATTTGTATGTCAGAAAATAATATCGATAATTCATCTTATTCAAATTTGCATGGCAAATAAATTAATCAAGCTAAACTTCTTCTCTCTTGCGATTATGTCATCTTTTGTCAACCTTGGAAATTTTTTAAACTTACTCCTGATCCGTTATGAAACCTTCGACGCGATGAATGTCCTTGCCGTTCAAGGTGCTTTTAATAAAACATAGTTTAGCTTTCAAATTGTCTCCTCCGTGTTGTCTGATCTCCAAAGGGCCCGATTGTTCCATCCACAATTGTCCCACCAGAACATTGTGAAGTATGCAATTGACATTTTGCCAAGTGTAAGCCTCTTTCCATCTATTTAAACACAATTATTAACAGCGAGGTCCGTTGAAAAAGTGTTGAGTTTTTCTCCAAGTTTTTCTTAAATCTTCTTTTCTTTTAAATCTTAACTAATAATTAATTAACGCTTCTTAATTAGCCCGTTCGTTAGCAAAATATTCAATATCAGAACCGTTTACTTCTTAATTAATTAAGATTGATAGGAATAATTGAAAATTGAGACAGAAATATTGATGATAATATACACTATTTAAAAAAATAAGGAATACTTTTATACCCTAAAAATTAGACTATTTTTAAACCGCTAAAATTCGGGGAAAATTCATTGTAGACAAAAATTAAAGAAGTATTTTAAAGTTTCAACTTTAACACGTTATAGTTGGTTGGAAAAAAATTCTTTTATTTTCCTTGTCTTTAAAAAAAATACATATTGCTTCCCAGATAGCCACAGTAATTATTATGACATCAAAATGTCATAATAATCACTGTGGCTATCTGGGTTTGTTCTTTAAAATTACATATTTTTGACACTCTAGCTGCTCGATAAAAAATTTCTCTTGAAAAGTTGAAGTTCTCTCTTAAGTTAAAACTTTAAGCTTTGAAATACTTTTTTAATTTTTTGTCTACAATGACTTTTCTCCGATTTTCAACGCTTTAATTTTTACGATATAAAAAAGTACTCCATATTTTTTTTACCAGTGTATGTTAGGAAATAATCATTTAATTTATTAACATTGTGTAAAAATTTTTTAATAACTTAACTTTGTTTTAAAAATTATTGAGCTTTTAATAAGATTTTTTAGTGTCTAATGATAATGAAAAAAAAATGAGAGATAGAGATATTGACAAAATAATATAAATAAATAAATATATATATATATATATATATATATATATATATCAAGGAAAAATATTTAACACATGAATAAATTAAATTAATTAAGTTATAAGTTAATTATATGAGATGGAGATATTCACAAAATAATATATATACATATATATATCGAGAAAAATATCTAACACACAAATAAAATTAATTATAAGTTAATTATGGTCATAATTAAAAGGACTTACTTAAGTAGTTCAACCGTGACAATTCCTTTCGGGTGCACCTCCAAGGATTTTCCCCAGAATTTCAATTTGGGATGAATGCTGCCATGAAAGATGAAATCCTCGCTATCGGCATAAAATGCGGACACCGGAGGATGATGCGAGACCTGTTCGCATATTATCCTGAAAACAAATTTAGAAGTTGTTTTCGGTATAAAGATTTTTAAACTAAAAAAAATTTAAACTCTAATTTTATTTTTTTGTTAAAAAAATTCTCGTATTTTTAATATGTGGTTAATCTATAGTAGACATCAAGAAATTTGGTTAAATTTTCGAAATTGTGATGTTTGTATGATCTTATTATTTGTAAATAATATTTATTAAAATTAAAAGATTTATAAGAAATAATTTTTAATCGTGTGTGTGTGTGTGTGTGTGTGTGTGAATTTACTATCACTTATAGCAGTAATTATGAGTTCTACATATATCATGATATCTGAGGGTTAAAGTAATCTGATTTTCTATAGAATAACAGTATTACAGTAAATTATCAGAATTAAATAATACTGAACAATAATTTCAATTAATAAATAAGAAAAATAATTAAAAAATTAATTAATCGAACAAATTAATAAATAGAAATTGAAAAAATAATAAATAAAATTATACAAAATATATAAATAAATTATAAATTAAAAAATTGATAGATAAAAACTGAACGGAGTCGATTACCGGAAGTCCTCGCGTTGCAGCTCGTACGTTTCGCCTAAGATCGGATTGAAGGGTTTTCCAAAGCGTTCCCAGTTCGAAGCGAGGGCACTCACAGCAAAAGCCGCGACGTACTGTGCGAGATTATTAATTTTTTTAATTGAATCATTACCCCACCAACATATTAACGTTATGTAAACGTTTAAAGGATTGCTGCTATTGTTCTGTTTTACCGACTTTAAGTTAGGTTAGGCTCACTTCTTATTGAATATATAGAATTGAAAAATCCTCCACAATGAAAGTATTGATAATATCTTTATTACTTCTGTATTATTCTTTCATGTCATCTTTATTGGGAGCGCCACATTTTGTACACAAATAAACTACAGAACTTTTGTATTAAGTAAGTATTGTTATGAACTGATGCACGAGGTCGATAAAAACTGTAATTTTTAACTTTAATGGTTTTTTTATACGAAATTGAAGCGCTCCCCGTTCACTATTATCAGTACTTTAATTGCGGAGAAGGATTTTTCAATCTGTATAACCAATAAAAAGAAAATCCCTTGAACTCAAAGTCGGTAAAACAGTCATGGTCAGCATCTCCTTAACAAACGTTTTTATTTGTTAACCTGTCGAATGATTTGTTCCTTTAACGATGTGAACGTCCGTGTAGAACAGTAAAAATTCAAAGACTTGTATCATTCGAAGAATTGTGAGTCTTTATATTTTTAGTGCACAGAGAATATTGATGCGCCCAATTAAATTTGCAATCTTTTAAAAATCTATTGAATAAGCATCAATAATGAATGACAAGTATTATAACGTTTCACTAGATGGACATTCACATGTTTTATGAACGTTAAGGTTTGAACATTCCTGAAACGCTTATATATAATTAATGTGTTGGTGGGGTAATTAATTTTCCAAATTTTCTCGTTCACCTGTAGTCTGGAAATAGGCGACTGTTCCTGGGCTGCCTGTTTGAGCAATTTGGCATATTCCATATACTCCGCGACGCGTTGCAGAAACGAGAGGGGCTCGTTGAAGATGACTGGCATGCTGGTCTTGCTGATGTCCTTGCCCAGCTGCAGCGTCATCGAGCAGAGATTTATTTCGGAATGACCCGGAACTGGTAACGATGTCCTTGCAAAGTAAGACACGCTTTTACGAGGGAGGGTTAACAAATAAAAAGAAACAGATTTTTCAAATTTAAATTAAAGCAGTTTTATAGTTTACAAGTTCTGAGTGAATTCTTGAGACAGGATTACATATTCTATTATTAGACTGAAAAATTTTATTGGATTCGGATAAGTACTTATTTCAATACTTCCTAACTAATCATTTATTATTTGGAACTGATAATATTGATTTGATGTGAAAAATATTTATTTGATATAAGAAAATCCTTTTTAAAATAGATAAATATTTATTTGTTTCAAATAAATGTTCTATTAGACAGTATTGAAATATTTATTAATTTAATAATTTTTCAGTGAAATTTGCTTTCAATATAAAGGTTTTTTAACTCTTCTGTCAATGCATAATTTGTCACCTTTTCATCAACATATGGATACTCGGGAACTCGTTCACTGACAAAAGGATTAAAATTCCAAAGAAACAAAAATGTCTACATTTATAAATTTATACATTCATAGAAATTTATACGTTTTGCCAACCTGTATTGGTTTGATGCCTTTTCGCTGGCCATTGTAAGGATCTCTCGTGGCTATCAACCGTCTCGACGACGGCAAGAGCTTCCAAACTGTAGCTCTTATAGGTCGATACTTCGATTTTCATCAACATTGACTAACGATTACGAGAGGTTTTATTATTTATTACAAGTTTACAAGGGTTCTCGAATTACTTGGTCGCATCTTCTTGTTGGAAAATTCTTCAGGAAGCTCGTGGATTCTTGAACGATCCAAAAATTCTTTAGGATTCTCAAGTAGATCGATGGAATTTAACAGATCGATGAAATTGATTTCTAAAGCCTCGTCTATATATCTAAATCCAACTGTTTAATTAAAAACCGGAATCTCTTTACGCAAAATTTTATTCATCGATTTCTTCAGGAACCTATATCGGTTCTCTAAATCCTGATTAAAAATTGAAATCTTCTAAAGTCGTGTCCGGTCTTTAAATGCTCAGAGGGCTTTGTGCATTTGGAGGAGTTCTTGTTTGTGAAAAAAATATGTGTATCTATTTAATTATTTTCTCAATATTGATATTTCGACTGAAGCAGATACTTTTAGGTCCTCTTCGAAATAAATAAATCGTCGGATTCTCGGATATATACGTTCTTATCTTTTACAGCGAAAATTGGGCGAGAAGGAGGTATAGCTCTTCTGGGAATGGACCGTCCGGTTCTTTAGAAACAGAGACGGAGAGGCAAAGAGAGAGTGAGTGAGTGAGTGAGTGAGTGAGAGAGAGGGAGGAGCTTATCTCGCTATTCTGGATGACATTACGG